GGGAATGATGATTACCGATGATGACGGGTGACGGGTGACAGCACACTGCTTGCCGCTGCTAAGTGCTTCAATCATAGACGAAAACCGGGAAACCGTTCAAAACTTTGAAACTTTGAACTTTGAACTTTGACCAGCATGTTTCTGTTTGGCCCCATACATCCATCCATACATCCATCCATACATCCATCCCCGTCAAATATAAACAAAAAGGCCAGCTTCCGGGGCAGTCAAGAGCGAATACACACCATACCGCACATACATCACATACATGGGGGCTCATCACAGCTTAGCATGTAGATCTGGCATGAAGGAAAAGCAAAGGCCGGGAAAAAAAACCTGGGGAAGAACAGCACTCACCCGCTCGTCACGCCAATCTACTATACACACATACATCCTACATACTTGGCCATGTATGATGTATGTAGAGTAACCAAAGCCCAGCCCAGTCCCGCCCCGCCAACGGCCAATCTCCAACCTCCAACCTCCACGGCCAGCATCCTACTATGTAGGCAGCCCTGGTCTGCAAATCTGCAAGTCTGCAGCACTGCAACTGCAAACCCGGAACGAAACACGGCCAGCTTCCGCCTTCCGCCTTCCAAGTTCTAAACTCCGGAGATTAGCTCTGGAAATCCCGATGTACATCATGTACATAAGATGTATGTGTATGTGCGTGATCGTCTGACATCTCTTAAATTATATTTCCAAACAGAACGAAAACAAAAAAAAAGCCGGGGAAAAAAACACCGTTGATTAAAGACCCTCCCTCCCTCCCTCCCTCCTGAATCCCAGCGCAGATTCCGGTGTGCGGCGGGCCATGGATGATGGATTTCGGCCGACGCGAGAAAGCTGCTGCTGCAACATATACTTTTTGCCTGTGCCTGTGCGGAGTTGGTTACAGCGGATGAAGAGACGGATCGGTATATCACCGCCCCGGGTGGGACCGTGGGCGATGTTTTTTTTATTTTTTTATTTTTTTTCTTTTTCTCTGCGTCGCTATCGGGGAGGGCAGCAGCCACGCTTCATGCGGGGAGGGAATTAGGGAGGGGAGGGAGGGGTGGGTTGCGATAATTCCGAGCATCGGTCTGGTCCGACTTTCTGGATGGACTGATCACGGACAATATAAGTGTCATGTACGGTATGGTATGTATGGCAGACAGGCAGCGTCCAGGCATTTGGCAAGATCTCGCTCGCTGCCGCCCCCTCCCCCCGTCCCCCCTCCTCCAAAAGGGAACAGATTAGATCCAGAAAGAACCCCGCAGATGGACGGACGGGGCGGTTGACGTAAAGGGTCTGACGGATTTTTTTTATGGGGGGGGGGGGGGGGGGGGGGGGCACAACAGCGAGCCTATTTTGATTAGCTGGTCTCAGCCAGCCCATCGCTCTGTTTTTTTTTTTTTGCCTTCCTTCTTTCCCGGGGAAACACAACTCGGACTGTGACGTTGCCGGGCGTGAGTAGAGGCTAAGAGGCAGAAGGCGCAGACAGGCGCAGACAGGCAGACAGGCAGCTGGCAGGCAGCTGGCAGGCTGGCAGGTAGGCAGGCAACAGGCGTACATTACTTACTTACGTTGGATGATGCCAGCCATGGCAGCCATGCTGCGAAGAGGCGCCAGTTAAGGTATGTAGGGCGAGGTGCCGTCCCCGGTTTTGCCAGACGCTTACTTCCCCGCAATTGCTCGCTATCCAGATATGAAACCAGTAGTCGGCGGCCCAGCTATCTCGACGACATTGCATCATGCAACAGAGATGCACACCTGATCGGATAGTGTGGGGGCACGAGAGGAGGTTCCGTTTCGTCACCGCCTGCGAGACCCTGGGAAGAGCCTGGAGGTTCCGTAATCTCCCCTGATAGCGAGTCACTGCACCACCACTGCACGTACATAGGGATTCCGATCCGGAACCTTCACCGACGGCCGACGACCGGCGTCACCTGCTGCTCTGCACACCGACATCGACGAAGACGATAAACATATCTGGCCGGGGTGGGGGAGAGACAAACAACGAGGAGCGGGAGAGGGGGAGGGGGATGAAGAGGGGGAGGGGGGGGATGAAAAGGGGGGGAAGGGGAGGGGGGTTGGACTCACCAAGACACTAAGACACCGCGGTTGGTGATACCGTAAGTACTCTAATGCGGTGGTGCTAGTCTTTTCTTTTCTTCGGTGGGCACCGTATGTTGTGCATGTACATACATCATACACGAATGGAGTACTCACTTAGGTACAGCCACGCATGGGTCTCGCCAGCAGATAGATAGCGGCGAGTTCCCTGGGATTGCAGCCCCCCACCCATGCCGAGGGGGGACTTTTGAAGGGCACGCCTGGCTCGTTGTCGGACCCCACATGTTCCTGATGATCCGGCGACGGGGGGCAGAGGCGTGTTGTGTGGGACATCGACAGCAACCTAGGCGACAGTCGGTGATCGGGAAGTTGGCGGGATCAGGATGCTGCGGATGAGCCAAGCACTCCGCTGGACTGCGGGTCGGTCTCGAAACGAAGACACGACCGTTACGAGCTGCCAGATTCCACCGTGCAGCCCTCATAGAGGGGCCAGGGCAATCCTGCGGTGTCCATCCGCACCTGGTGGTCAACCAGCCAGCCATCGTCGAGGCGGACGGTGCGGAGATGAAGCTTCCAGATAAGCAATCGTTTTCTCGGAGAGCCGTCCGTGTTCAGCAGCTGTGCATGTAGCTGAGTACCTAATGTACTTGGGCATGCTAAGTACACAGGTCGATTCGCAACCGGCGTGGTATTTTCCCGCAGCATATAGACCGCGGCCGATGGCCACTAGGCTCGAGCGAGTGAGGTGGCATGTGCAAGCACTCGCATCGCATGCGAGACGATCGGCGAAGACGAGGGGACCTGACCGGGAATTCGAAGGTAGGCAAGTCGGTAAGTACCTGGGCAAGTAAGCATGTACCAAGCAAGTACCTGCTCCTTACACACTTGCTCACCCACATCCATACAAGCCCTCCCGGCCCACCGCGCTGCAGATCGGAGCCCATGAGAAGGGTTACATACGCCCGCCAGCATCCCACGAGAGTGTCGTTGGAGCCGGACACTCTAGAGCATTGTACACTGGCGCCCGCACGCACGTCTGTAAGTAAGAAGCATGTAAGTGAGTGAGAAGTGCGTACCTGCTCACTCACTCACCTGCTCGACAGACCCCTACTTTTCAAACGGCTCGGGGCTGGAGGGGAGAGCCTGCTGCAGTGCAGCTGCTCGATCGATGCCATCGTCCCAACCTTCCCGAACGGTCTGGCCTTCTTTTTTTCCCGTTTTTTTTTCTTTTTTTCTTTTTTTTTTCTTTCTTCCCGTGTGTTTCGCGTGGATCCTTTCCTTGCTTTTCCGCCTGCTGCTTGCTGCTTGTTTTTTGTTATTCCTCGCCTTTCTGTGTTATTTTTGACGCTTTTCTTCAGCATTTCCCCGGCCACCTGCATCCATCTATCTGGTCTGCATCTGGAACGGGGCCAAAAATAATAAGCTGCAGGAGGGGCACAAACGACAACTTGCTGCTGCTGCTGCTGCTGCTGCTGCTGCTGTTTGTTCGTGGCCACTCACCTTACTTAAAGTTCGTGAGAGGGAAGCTCAAGAACAGACGAACACTTCCCCTCCTCCCACAGCCCTTTGCCTCCAAGAGCTCGAGTTGCTTCCCTGGACCCACATTCGACTCCCCTCCCCTCCCCAACTCGTCTTCGTCCGCCGCCTCCTCCACCGCCTCCTCCACCACCTCCTCCACCACCTCCTCCACCTCCCCTACCTCCACCACCTCCTCCACCTCCCCTACCTCCACCTCCTCCACCTCCTCCACCACCTCTACCCACACGCCGATTCCCTTCCTCGGCCCGCCCTAACCGTGGCCGCTGTCCCCCGATCTACCGGCCAACAAGACTTTTCTCCCGCTGTCCCTTCACCCCCATCGATCGTTAGCACTCTAACGAGCCACTCTAACGAACACTCCTCGGCGCCGCTGGTGGTTGGCCTGGCCTGTCTCGCCTTGTCGCTATTAATTCACTTGCACGTCCACCTCAACCCCGTCCGCCTTCCATCCATCTGCCACCCACTGTTCCGAATAAAAAAATAATCCCACTACGCCCCACCTTGTTCTCCCGTCGCCGCCACCGTACGCCACACCACCGCTGTTTCATCCCGTCGTCGTGTTGACCCCCAGTCCTACATACCACAGACCGCTCCCTTGTTTGCCAGCCCAGCGTCGTCCGCCGTCCGCCGTCGTCGTCTCCGCTCGTTTGACCGGCCCCCCGTAATCTGCTGTTGCTGTTGCTGTTGCTGGCCGTGTGTGTGTGAGCGTCCATCATAACACTTGTTCCCTAAGATCGATCGGCCGCCCCAGCACATCATCAACTTCGGCTTCATCGTCAGAGTCGTCACGCCGCCGCTGCCTCCGCCGCCTCTGCCTCCGCCGCCGCCGCCGCACGCTTCCCCATCTGGTGGCTGCTCTTTCGTCTCGTCTCCTGTGTAAATATCCTTCCGGCCTCCCGCATTACCGTAATCCCGCGCCCTCGGTTACCTGCGCTCTGTCCTGTTGGTTGTTCTGGTGCCTTTTCTTTTTTTTCTTCTAGTCTTTGCGAGCCGTGGCCGCCAGGAAAGCGTGGGGACGGACGGGCGAATCGACTGCGCTGGCCCACATCGTCAGGGGCGACAACGACAAGACAACGCTAAGTCGTGATAAACAAGCGCGTTATACCGCCGACAGCGTTATCGCCGGGGTCGTCTCTTCTTATCCGTGCAGAGTAGAGGCAGCTCACCGCGCAAAAGACAACGACACTCTGATTCCGACCGACTCAGCGTGGCCGACACGCAGAGAAGTTACACACTAACTACGCCCAGTCGAGAAACCGGACAGTGGCCGCGGGCATAACATCTACAGCCTCACCATTTCTGCACTCGGCAACCGTTCTTCTTCTTCTTCTTCCTCTTCCTCTTCTTCTTCTTTTTGCCAGGAACCCTCACGCCTTGCCTCCCTCCCACCCCCCCCCCCCCCCCCTCCACCCCTCCACCCCCGTTCTTCTTCCCCACACCCCACACGCAGTATCTGGAGTAGATGCTGCGGACGAGCGTGGATGATGTCGCCTGGACCCCCTCCTCAGCCACCGCCGAGGTCCCTCCCGCCGTCCTCTGCCGCCATGGCCGATTCCCCGCGTCCGTTCCATTCCCTCGCCTTTCCGCACCATCACCAACTACCCCCGCCTTCTCTACACTTCGGCAATTCTCCGGTTACCGCGCCCCCCAGTTTTCCCGGTCACATCCTCGCGCCCATCGCAATCCCTGGTCCCGGCCTCAATCTCATTCATAGCACAAGCGGCAGCGGGGGATCGACACCGCCGCGGCACCACTCTGTTCTGCAGCAACCAGGTCTTCTCGCGCACGTTGCACCACCACCACCATCCCACCACGACCAGCAGCACCCGCAGCACCACCAGCACCACCAGCACCACCAGCACCACCAGCAGCAGCACCACCACCAGCAGCACCAGCCGCACCACCACCAACACCACCACCAGCAGCAGCACCAATCACCCGCTCCCGTTTCCCATCCCCAGCCCCATCCGCATGTCAATGGTCGAACCAATTCGCCGTTCGGCCGTCCGCCGCATTCCCACCCTACAACCTTCGCACCCTCGACCACTGCACCCACATTTCCCTCAGCGCCTCCATACGATCCAGCCTACGACTCTCGCTACAGTCGTGAACCCGACGATTGCAGAAGGTACAACCTTGTTCGCTCTCGTGTTCCGGGCGGTGCGGGGCGGGTGGGGAAATTGCGCTCAAAATCTAACTTTCGCGTGCGGGGCAGGTCCAGTTTAAGCACCATGGCTCCGTCACCAACTTTCGCGGGACAGATGACGTCGTCGGAAGGTAGTGGTAGCTACTCTTCGGGATTCTCGCTACCTCCCGTCGCTGCCGAGGAAAGTGGTGGCAGTGCGCGTCTCGACGCGCCACCGCTGGGCCGCAGGTGAGCCCTCTCCTCTTCCTTCACGTCGGCATCACCGTCGCAGATGGTGCATCGTAGCTTACACTCTTCGCGTAGCCAGGGCGGAAATTATCAGATCCATGTGAGACAACAACCGGCGGCGGCCCGGGCGTGCGGGTTCGGCGAGCGGGACCGGAGAGTGATCGACCCACCGCCAATAGTCCAACTCACGATCAACGATCCGGTGACCGGGCTCGCGGATGCGAACGAAATACGATACCCGTTTAACGTGATGCATTGTACGTTGTGGAGCGAGGACGGCACCACGGATGAGACCGCGTTGACGGGCGCCGACAAACGCATAACCCGCAGACTAATGGGCACATTGGTTTCGTCGCCGTTCGTGGGGTTGGACGAGGCCGGGAATGAGGGCTGCTTCTTTTGCTTTCCCGACCTGTCGTGTCGTACACATGGCAAATACCGGTTGCGCTTCGTCCTGATGAGACTGGAACCTTCCGACCTGCAACCCGAGGGTTATACGCCGGTCATCACTCAATGCATGAGCGACGTGTTTTCGGTCTACACGGCAAAGGAGTTCCCCGGAATGCGTGCCAGTACCTACCTCACGAAAGCGCTGAAGCGACAGGGTTGCGCCATCTCCGTCAAGAAGGGGAACGAGAAACCAGTTGAACAGGCGGGCGGCAGTGGAAGGGACGATGAGAGCGGCGATGAGGACTCTACGACAGACACAAAACGTCGGCGGAAGACTTGACACTTGTACAAAAAATAATGAAGGATGGTTTCTGGCTGTATCGTACATATATCTTGTCGGGTTGATTGACCTCCTTCCCGTCTTTTTCCCTTTCTTTCTCTGTGTCTTTGATCTTTGTCTCGCTTCCTTAACTTGGGCATCTTCTGGATTTTCATTTGGCATGTTTCTTCCGTTATTCATCATCTTCCCCATCTTCTTCTTCTTCTTCTTCTTCTTCTTCTTCTTCTGGATCACTGATAGCCGTGTGGACCCTGTGGATACTTTCCCCTATCTATTCTTTTTCCTCCTTGTTTCTTTGTATTCCGCGTTTTTGTTTATTTGGGGTTTTGGGGCATTGGATTTGGGGAGGGGGTGGGCTTGGGGGAAGGTGTGGATGTGGATGCTATGTAGATGGATGGAGTAGTTGGAGACCTCGTTGTGTTGTGTTGTTTCGAAGCAGGGCGTTTGTTCTCTTCTGGGGGATGTACAGATGTTCTTGGCCTGGGCAAAATATTGACCTTCTTGGGTCCTGCGTGCCTCGTTTTGACGCTGCGGATGCCGGATATGCATGGCTCGTGAATACATGTTCTTACATACTCGACCTGGACCTATGTACGGCCAAGTGGAAGACCTCCCTGACTCTGTAGAGGCCTCCTCACCGCGGCTTGCAGAATGTTTGAAACCCTGACGACGACGAAAGATACTACTATTCCTCTTGCAGAGAATGCCGTGTGGAGTAACTATCCCTACCTCATACTTGGATACGGCTTCCTCCGACGACCACCGATCGATCTCTCGGATCTCCCGTCGTATCTAATTGTATCTAATTCAAATCCCTCTCGTATGTATGTACGGTAGGTATTACCGTCAACGGTTTAAGCACAAGCGTGCGTATCATGAATATACCGCGGACAGCTCCCCGAACTAGGTAGGTTATGTGGGCCAGCCGCCACACCATAGCCGTTACCATAGCCGTTGCGCACCATAGCATGCATCATAGCATGCATCATAGCATGCAGCAGAGCACGCATCATCGTCTTTCTTTTCCTTTTCTTTCCCTTAACTTTCGCCATAGTCTAGACGGGCTGCATGCGAAACAAACTGAAGATCTCCCTCTCTCTCTCTTTCCTTTAACTAACTAGCCTGGAGGACATTCCGCTCCTCCCTCCCTTCCTTCCCCCTCGCCCCGGGTCGGCCCGCCACCATCCACTACCGGTATCCATCCATCCATCCGCCATCCACCATTGATCACCTATCCACCATCCATCGTCCATCTAACCCTATCTATGTAACAGGTGCATACCCTCACAAACGAGTAGTTATGTAGGGTAGTGTGGGATTCGGAGGTAGGGGCGGCTCTGTGCTGCGGAGAATGGGGAGCGGCGGTATCGGGCAGGCCCGATGCGGTCGTTCAATGTTGAAAGTTGAAACGTTCTCTGTGGCCGCTTTTATGTTCGTCTCTCTTGTTAACACATCGGACTTCAGACATTACCAACCACCACAGATAATCCCCCATGTAAAAGTTCATAGGCCTGGTTTTCTTTCTTGTTACTTGGTACTTATTGCTTTTCTAGTCCAGTTCATCAGTTCATCAGTTGCCCGTAGATATGCCGTATGCACCCGTCGAGAACCCCTCGTAAGGATAGCCGTTAGCCGCCCTATAACTACCTAACCGGTAGCGTGATTATGTTTTTTGTGCTGCCCACGAAATCCGGGGTTTGCTAGATGATCCGCAACAAGGGTGCGGCCCGGCTCGCTCCCTCCTTCCCTCCCTCCTTCCCTCCCTCCCTTCTGCCTGCGAATCCTGTCTGTCTCCTTCTCGGCTGGATAAAAAATGAAAAGAAAGAAATAACGGGCGGATATAGTGCACTAAATATATAGAGTAGAGTGGGTAGAGTAGACGCGCATGTGCTCGCAGACAAAGAAACCGCTCTCCTGGTTCAAGCGCTAAGATACTGTGCGTGGCTTGAGCCTGGAGCTGACCCGGCTGAGGGCTGACTGGGGGCTGACTGGGGGATGACCGGTCGCTGGGGCCATTGGAGAGACGGTCCGCTTTTACCGGTCGTGGCTCGTGCGCGCGCACACTCAACCACAACCCAACATCAACCCAAACCCAAACCCCAACCCCGGTTGAGTGATACAATATGATACATGTCCAAGCAGTAGCACACAAGTTACAGCCGTCATCTGCAGCAAGCGAAGTGTTCGAGCGGGAGCTGAGGCGAGAGGAGGAGGAGGAGGATGAACCGGGAACACTCCCGCTGTTCCTGTCCACGCCCACGCCCTCTTTCATCATTTCATCATTTCGTGGCATCTCGCATCTCCTGTTGAAGAGGCAGGAGGAGCGGACTGTTCTTTCCTATGTACCGTAGGTAGGTTTATTTCCCCGGCCTTTGGTGCGCTCATATACTTACCTCTTACCTATCCTCGAAGGGACAGACCAGACCAGCGCTGAGCGGAGGGCAGGGCAGTGAAAGCCACATCACATCGGGCCGCCGCTCGATGAAAGTTGGATTGGGTTGGACAGTGGCGTGGAACGGGAGTATGACCGAGGCGGATACCTATTGTCATGATCTAGATTCTACACGGGTCGCATGCAACCCACCAATGAATAAACAAAAAAAACAGCACCACCACACAACCACCGCCACCACCACCACTACCACCACCACCACCATGCAAGCCATCGTTTCCAGATACACAGACGTCGGATGGAATCCCCATTCCCATCCCCATCCCCAACCAAAGGGCTTAAGCGAACCCTTGTGCCCTTACTTAGTGGGTCGCATTGCCCAAAGCCAAAAGCCAAAAGCCTTTTCATCCCCGACCTGCCGTATGTACAGGCTACATGCCCGACGGTACGGGAAGCGAGCTGCTGTGACAGTGTCTATGAGGCCTCCGTGAGTCCATCTTATGTGTACTTCTAGGCTTGTAAACTCCTAGACTCCTGGACTCCTATCTACTTGGGAGGTATGATTTCAATGTTCGAAGTTCGAAGTTCAAACCCTGAGGTACACAGCATACATAGACTTTTCAAGAAGTGCAAGAGTGCTAGAAGTGCAAGAACGAGTACCTACACCGGCCCTGGCCCCCGATGTTCACTTTGAGCTCGCACTGCGCAATCCTCCGCCACGCCCCCCTCCACGAAAAATACCCGCCGTTAACTTAATGGTCGAGCTCGGAGCTGTGTCGTCGCGCGCCGAGTGATCGCCCCGTGAAGCTACAGACGCATATACATGAACCCCAAGAGTTCCAACTTCCCGGTTCCCCGGTGGTGGTGATGAGAATGCAGGAGTTGCAGCCGGCCATTACATATGCACTGGTACTTGATTAGGTACACTCACTCCATACGCTTCCGACCTTAGATCGGGGGGGTGGGAGGGTGGTCCCCCATAGGCACGGTACGGGTACGGTATCATGCGGCCACTTGGGCCGCCTCCAGTTACCCACTCCAAAAACAGCCGATATGTACATACATACAAAAGATGTCTCTCGATATGTGTCAGTTATCTTTTTTTTCCGCGCGTGCTTCATGTAGGGGAGGTGGTAAAAAGGAAAAATGTACCTAAGGAAAAGGGAAAAAGCAAGGAAACTCCCTATTGATGATACTCATTCTACCGTACCGGACCGGCGACGGGCGAGGACGTGCCCCTTAACAGATGGCCGGTCTAACATAGTTACTAGTACCGTATGTACGGTATTGTACGGCATGTACGGCATGCAATTACATATCATACACGCGGTCGGGCTATTGTTGGAATGCCTCCGACTCTCCGACAGTCCGACTATCCAGGCTCCGACTCTCCGAGCGAGCGAGCGAGGTCGGAGGAGGATCGTGGAAAAGAGAAGAAAAGAAAACCTATGGACATATGTAAATCAAACCGTGAGAACGGCCCAGGCCGCCAACTCGACGTTTTGCTTTTGCTTGATTGATATGTAGGCGTGGCGTGGCGAGGCGGGGCGGGCAAGGGAGAAGGGGAGAAGTGGTCCGTGGAGAAGTCCAAAAATCAGCAGCAGCTCATGGCTGCATATGCAACTGCAACTGCAAGTTTTTTTGTTCTCCTTATATGCACCGTTCATGTCTCGGGAAAAACAAACGATGGATGCCCACAACGGACCGGACGCACCACGGTCCACCACTCCATCGCAACCAACCAGCCAACCAAACCAACCAACCAACCAACCAACCAACCAGCAAGCCAGCAAGCCAGCAAGCCACAACTCGCGTGATGCAGTGGGCTTTCCAGGGACCGTGGACCAAGGTTCATCGAGCTCGTGCATCCCTCCCATCCTAATGGTGCACGTAAACGAACAAGCAAGCCGGTTGGACGCTCGCACTCGTATTGCCCCGAACTCCAAATGCCCGAACTCGAAATGCCCGAGCCCGGGCTCCTCCATGAGATCTCAATACCGACATCTAATTTATTTTCAACGAGCAAAAAAAGAAACCTTTTGGTGAATACCATAAACAAACGCCAAGTGCCCACAAAATAACCCAAAACAACGCATGATCAGAAGTCAGAAGCCCCCAAGGTTTTTGCTGTGTTGTCTTACGCCGACTGCGGGATAAGCGCGTACTCGAGCTGCCCGCTCCTCTCGAACTCAGCCATGTCCAGGGCCACCTCGGCGCTCTCCCTGACCACCCTCTCCTCGTCTTTGGCATACTCCTTGAGGAACTCCTCCACCCGCTCATCTGCGATACTGCCAAGCGCCTCGACCGCCTCGTGCCGCACCATCGACGCCTCGCTCTTGTTGCCGGCCGCCTTGATTAGGGCTGGGATCGAGTGTGGGTCCGACAACTGGCCGAACACGAATGCAATCTATCACCATGTGAGCCGTCGTCGTCCGGACATCAACCAGAAAAGAGGGCGGGGAAAAAAAAAAGAAAACCGCAATTACCTCGTGCCTAAACAGAGCACTAGGATCGTCCAGGCCACTGGCGAGCGCATCGATAGCCTCCGGCGATGCAATGTCCCTAAGCCTGAACATGGCGCGGTAGCGCTCAAATAGCGGCACGGACTGATCATTCAGCTTCATCTGCAGCTTCGCACAGTCGACCTCCTTGACAGTTCCGGGGAGCGGAGGAGCGGGATCGATGCTTGCGAACGCGCTTGTCTGCAGCAGCTCCGTTTTCGCCGCCTCGCTGGCCTCCCACTCGATGCGGGCGACCGCCAGCTCGCACGTCTGCGAGATCACCTCCTCCTTGTGGCCGATGTAGCTGCGCAGCAGCTCCAGCGACGGCGTGTGGCCGAGCGCGCCGAGAGCTTCGCCGGCTTCGTGGCGGACCATAGAGTCTTCGGCCTCGTCTTGCAGCACGGCTTGCAGTGGCGCCGCCGCCGAGAATTGCTTGCTCTGCCCGAGGCAGTAGGCGAGCTCGTGCTTGAGCAGTGCGGAGTTCGAGACGAACGCCGCCGCAATCGCTTCCACTGCGGAGGTGTTGCCTTGCGTGGCTAGGTGCTTCAGCGAGAAGAGGGCGCGGAAACGGAGGGCGAGGTTCGGTGAGGCGTCATCGCACAGGATGCGGCAGAGCTCGGGCACAGGGTCGGTAATGGTCATTGTGGCTGCTTGGTCGTATGGGGAATTGGTCTGGTTTCTGAAAGTTGATGTTTTTTTCGAGCTCGTTTGTTTGGTTTGGTTTGGTTTGGTTTGGTGGGGCGAGATGAGGGACCCCGCGATCAAGATAGAAATTCTAGCAAAGTCTAGGCATCTGATAACTATAAACTGTGTGTGACATGCTGGCACGTGCTCATCTGTGTTTGTACCTCCTCCTACGCCCACTCTCCATCATTTGACAAACTCTCCAAAAACTCTCCAAAAACTCTGTATTCTATTCTGCGCACAAAATTCATTCTTCCCCATGGGTTCCGTTGTTCTTCCCCACCTAAACACCGGCTGGCTTGTTGACCAGACCATATTGACCGAGGAAGACCGCCTAGTGGTCATCCGTTTTGGACGTGACTGGGACCCGGACTGCATGCGACAGGATGAGGTTCTCTACCGTGAGATCACTTCTCTCCTCCATCCTTTTTTTTTGTGATGTATGATCCATCTAACCTCTTCCTAGGCATCGCCGATAGAGTCAAAAACTTCGCTGTTGTCTACGTTTGCGACATCGACAAAGTCCCCGAATTCAACAAGATTTACGAGCTCTACGACCCCATGACCGTCATGTTCTTCTTCCGTAACAGACACATGAAGTGTGATTTCGGCACGGGAAATAACAACAAGATGAACTGAGTTCTGGAGGATAAACAGGAGTTAATTGGCATCATCGAGGCCATCTACCGGGACGCTAGGAGGGGTCGTGGTCAAGCGGTTTCGCCCAAGGACTACAGTACTAGTTACAGGTATTAGGTTTGTGGGATTTGGTTGGACGGTGTTTTGATGGATCACAGGAGTTGGCGTTTCATTGTCTGATTGGGTTTAATTGGTTGGATACCCATTAATTACCTCCTGCTGCTAGAGGGGTTGAATTGAACTCATCTATTCTATCGCTTGAGCTCCCTGAGCACCTTAACCGCGTCGGCCTCTGCGTTCAAGTCTCCAAACAGTCCCATAACATTTAAGCACCTTACTTGATCCCCCTTAGCTTTCGACTCCCTTAGTGCGCTCCGTAGGTCAATCAAGAGCGTCTCTTTGCACTTCTTCATCTTCGGCTCCTGCGCCTTCAAAAACGGGTGATCTGTCGGTATTCTGGGCAGCAGAAACCCCACGATGTAGACCCAGCTGTCCACCAGCTTCTGCAGCCGCTTTGTGCTGGTCAATCCCTCACCATCCTCCAGGAAACCCGGCGGACCCGTTCCAGAGTCGGTTCCGTCTAACAGCAGCAGCGACGAGAGTTCATCCAGCCGCTGCATCAGAGCCAACAGATTCCTGGCCAGAGCCTATCCCGTCAGCCCCTTCCACTCAGCCAGACCGGCGAAATCAAGTACCTTCTCTTGCCTGATCCGCTCCTTGACTCTGAGCTCCTTCTCGACCTCCGACTTCGTAGCCTCAATAGCCTTGACAATGACCTCGAGCTCCCTGCGGAAACCGAGCAATCCGACCTTCAGGTCCTCGACCCTGCTCTCACCGCCTTTCACCGAGCTGCCCAACCCCACAAAGTCCGCATAGTCCCTGTTGACGAGCTCGACAAGCTCGCTCTCGAGGTTCTTGGAGCGCGTGCGCAGCTCCGCTCGCAGATCTTCGAGCGTCTGGTGCCGGTTCCGCAGCGAGGCGAGGAAGGCATGCGGCGAAAAGTCGGTTGAGCTCGGCGAGAACGCGTCTTGTGCCAGTGGCTCGGGAAAGGGCAGGTCGCTGTCACTGTCTCCGTCGCTGTCGGCCGGACCGAGTTGGAAGGCCATGGTGAACTTGAGGGGTGGAGAGGGACGCTACTCTAGGTTGGGATCACTTAAGGGTAGTGTAAGTAGCGTAGTCCTGGGAGCCGCAGACACGGGTTAGGGTTTTCTGCGCGTCTTCTCGGTCGCGCATCGAATAGGCCTGGACCTTCCTTCTTACCACTGTGCATTCGTTTCCCTGGACACTCCTAACAGCAATTCACCACAACAGACAACAAGCAAGCAGACATGGACAAGTACACGGATCACCTCGCCCAAGAGGTGATAGGAGATAGGAAGATTGTCAGTAACATTGTTTCCGCAGTAACCACAAGAGAGAGACAAACTGACTAGACTAGATCACCTACAGACAGCTCAGTCGCACCCTCAAAGTCCACGTCAATGTGGCCAAAGAGTATACCTCCTTCATCTGGTTCACTCAAGAACGAATGGGCTCAAGCTGACTTCCTTCTCAGGATGCTCTACGACTTCTACACCGTCCAGAACTCGAACGAGCCCGATGCCGTCCACGCCAACTACATGCTCACCGGCTACCGCCAGGAAGAGGACAAGAAGAAGGTTGAAGGGGCGGAGGGAGAAGATACGCACATGGAGGCATCGCCTTTCGAGGCTACACAGCAGCCGGACAAGGCTCTCGTGAGGTCTATTGTCGTCGTTCCTCAGGAGAAGCTCACAGGTACTACTCCCATCACCCCTAGCTCCTCCGGTACACTCACTAACTTACTCACCATCTCTAGAGGCAAAGGCGAAATTCTCAAGGCTCTCGAGCATCCACATCTACAGTCTGCAGTCGACCAAGCTCACGGTACCACCTACGCTACACCCCCACCCCAACCTCCACCACACAATTCGTTTGCTGACGAAAGTAGGATCTACACATGGTCTCTGCTGCCGCCCAGGAGGTACTGGAGAGTGTCCAAGGCGAGGAAGCCAAAGAGATGGGACGGGTGTACGGAACGATCTCGAACCCTGAAGCGAAGGTAGACTTGAACAACTACTACTTATGATTTTCGACTATGGGAATATATGGACATTTGCTGAATCGTGCCCGGTGAACTTACAGCTCCGCTCCCAGCGCACGGTGATGTTGCAGACTGCCTCACAGGCTCCGAAGAAGCCGGCCGCCTCCTCTATTACTACTCCCGGTCCGAAGAAGAAGACCGCCGCCAAAACTTCTCCCACAGAAAAGAAGAAGCCGGCGGCCAAGAAGTCGAATCCCCTCGCCTCCGCGTTTGCGAAGAAGCCGGAGGCGAAAGAGCAGCCTGCTACGAAGGAGAAAGCAACCCCTGAAAAGGCCGAGTCTGTGCCGGGAAAGGCCACCGAATCTGCGGCCAGCAAGAAAACGGCGAACGCCTTCTTCTCGAACTGGAATGCCGCTAGTCAGAAGGCGAAGGAAAAGAAGGGGAACTCCCAGGTCAGTCAGGTAAGCCACCCTCGGGGGTGATGGCTATATTGGAGTATTTATTAACGGCGGTAAATAGGCTACATCCCAGAGTCCCCCTGCCGAACCCAAGGACGAGAAGATGGAGTCTGACTCGGAGGCCGAGGAGCCTGCGCCCCCCGCTCGTGACATGGACGAAGACATCCGCAAGCGCAAAGCCAAGCGGGACGCGATCGAGGCCATGATGGACATGTCGGATGAGGAGAAGTCGCCTCCGACGAAGAAGAAGGCGCGTTCGCCATCGCCACCAGCCAAAACCGAGAGTCCTGAGCCGCCGCCAGCTAGCGGCCAGTCGGGCAGGAGACGCGGAAAGAGAAAGATCACCAAGAAAGTCACCAGTAAAGATGACGAGGGATATCTTGTCGTCAAGATGGAGAGCGTGTGGGAGAGCTATTCGGAAGATGAGGCGCCAGCCTCACCCAAGCCCAAACCGAAGGCCACTCCTGCTGCTGCCGCGAAGAAGGGGAAGAAACTGCCGCCACAGCAGGGCACATTAAATAACTTTTTCCAGAAGAAGTAGATTTGTTAGGGAACATGGTGAATGCATGGTGTATCATAGTTTGTTTTCTTTCCGCGAGTAATAATAATGATGGGATTTGATCTATGATTATGACTGTACAATCGGATATCGCCAAACGCCTTTTCTTTCGCCACTCCGTTCTTCCTCAATTGTTGGTGTTGAACCGATGGCCACACTCACACCTGTAGAAAACCGTAGCCTATCCTCCTCCATCAGCCTCCCCGCCCCGTCACTCCCAGGACAGCAGTTACTTACACCTTCATCGGCACTCCGCAGCTGCAGTGTGTAAAACCACATCTCTGGACTGCTGCACTCGGGACACACCTGCGAGATCTTCGCCTCGGTGTGCAAATCCTCCGGCGCAATAGTCTGCACGGCCGACCGCTTCAGCCTTAGCGAGGAGGGGAACGCTGCCGCGGTCGACTGAGTAGTGGTAGATTGCGTTGCGTCGTCTGTTCGCACACGTTCATCATTAGCACGAGAGGATGCGAGGGAGGGGGTGGGTGGGGGTGCGCGGGGAAGGACCGGTCGTGACGGAGTGGCACATCTCGCAGGTGAGTTTGTCGCTGCCCGGCGAGCGATCGAGGAGGTTGCCGCAGTCGGCGCAGAAGACGAGGGTGCCGACTTTTGACATTGCGATTTGCCGGCTGTGCGTGGAGATGTGGAGGTGGAGGTGGCGAGCTGCGGTGGGTTGGTGGACGGCAACGGCGACGGCGGCGGTGGGGTGGTGGATGTGGAGGTTGGTGGATGCGGGAAGGTTATTTTTTGACAGGGATTGCCTTCGCGTGTGCTCTGGAGTCTGCGCGTGCAAAGGAACTTTCTTCGTGCTACTTGGGCCCATGATGGATCACTCGGCTGGCTGCGTTTCGGGACTTTCCGAACAGGCTGTCCGTACGGGTGCTTGGGTCGCATGCAATCAATGGTTAAACAACACAAAATACATATCGGTACGGGTGACAGTTGTAGGTTTACTTGCCCAATATCACTTCCAACACAGCGGACTTCATGCCGGCGTTCAGCTAGTATTAATGACGGTTGACAGCTTCAGTGATCTTCTTCGCTCTGGCCATATAGAGGCACAAGCTTCGCCATCAATAGAGGACTACGATATTACTCTATAGCCACAGCTTCGCAATATGCGGCGAAGAAGATCGATAGCTGTCGCCCTCAAAACATCCTCCGCCTTCCCCCTCTATATACCCCGCACTCCGGATTAGGTTCATGGGTAGATTACTCCAGATCCAGGCTATGCAGCGCAATTTATCAAAACGTCGTCCGTTTGTCGTGACGCACGACATAGGTACATGAACCTGCAGGGTGTGCACAGACCACCGGCTATCCCCGCCTTCGCAGCTCCCCGCAATACACCTCGCACCGCCCCACCCCGCGCTCACCACAAGCCATGGCCGCCACCGCCGCAGTCTACGGAAACTACAAGGGTATATACCTCCCCCCGAGGCGGCGACTATCACTAACGCCCATAGGCTACCAGGGCTCCGCCCGCACGACGACGGGCTCCAACACGAGCAGCAACATTCTCGACGAGCGGCTTGGGCTCGTGTCCACCGCGGTGCCGTCGATCTTCTCTCACAGTCGGGTTCTTGACATCGGGTGCAACGACGGGCGCGTAGCGGTCGACATCGCGCTGCACTTCGGTCCCGCGGCCGTCACCGGCCTCGACCCGGACGGCGCCCTGATCGTGAAGGCGAAGTCGCACCTGTCTTTCCGGTGGTCGCGGTTGGGTCCGAACGGCGAGGTTGATTACTACCCTGCCTCCGCGGTCCAGAAGACCGGTCATGTGCCGTATCCGCTGGATGAAGGTGGCGAGGGCTTGCCGCATTGTGTTAGGTTCGCAAAGGCGGATTTTGTGGATTGGGAGGGCGCCGGGGAGGGGAGCTGCAGCACTGTGCTTATGCTCAGTGTCGTTAAGTGGATCCATTTGGAGCATGGGGATGAGGGTATTGTGCTTCCACATCCCTCTCGGGCAACTGATGCTAATGATGCTAGGACTTACACGCGCGTTTGCCAAAGTCGCCGCGCTGCTAGAGGTCGGCGGGCACTTCGTCTTTGAGCCGCAAGACGCGAAGAGTTACGAGACAGCGGTGAAGAAGAATCCGAGATTGAAAGAGAAGAAGGCAGCATTGAAAATCGAGCCCGAGGATTTTACGAGGATGCTGGAGGAGGTGGGATTGGAGCTTGTGCATGAAATTGGGGGGAGGAAGAGGAGTATTGGTATTTGGAGGAAGAAGTGAATGGGATCTTTGAGGCAATGATGCCAATCGCTACAGATTCGTTGGCAAAGGGTGAGTGAGTGGCAGTGAACCAAGTGAGAAACAGTGATCAGTCTCATCGGCGTTATCACCACCATCGACTCAAAACTCTACGGCAATAGGTAGTTCAAGCAAACAGTATAGAGTAGTATTTATCACCGAGCCACATACTTATGATCCTTATGGATTCAGCGCTCGCCACCTGGCTCCATACCATCCCACCGCCATCAAATCCTCGCCCTCTCATTCCCCCGCCATCAAATCCTCGCCCTTTCATTCCCTCCTCGTATCGTGCACCCAACCAACCAACAGCAATAGACACAGTAAACGACAGAGACAGAAGAATCACAGCAACCGCACAATTACGCCCAACCCGCCCAACGCAAGCCCAAAGAATAACGACAGAAACAGAGACAGAAACGAGCGCGCTATCGAACATCTTTCCCTCGCCACAGAACAGAGCAGAGCAAAACAAAGGGTTCCGTAAGATAGAATAGAGTACACCATAAAAAAACGAACACGCACGCAACGCAAGTTCAAGCAAGCAAGCAAGCTCCAGACGCACGCAACCCCCCATAAAGACCGATAAAAGCAACCCTCGCAGTAGCAGCGCAATCGCAATAGGAAAATGCGTAGAACAATAGAAGAGGAGGAAAGGGGATAAGAAAGAAAGCCATTCATCATTTATAGTATTCCAAGCATGTGCGGAGTCGAATGAAAAAGAGCAAAAAAAAGAGACATTAAGAACCACACAAGAGAACAATCTCGTAACCATTCGTCCCTCTCCCACCTCCGTGTCCAGTCCATAGCCCATAACCCATCCCCACCGTGCCAATGTATGCTGGATCTCTGGACAAGCATCGAAAAGAAGTGAGTAGCAAAAGCGCGGCATGTAAACGCATGCACTGCATTCCAAAGGGACATGGCGGAGGTGGAGGTAGAGAAATGCCTATCAACACAGCCAACCAAACCAGAACACCCAACAAAGGCGGTAAGCACACGCAAGATATCACACCGAAATCAAAAGCAAGGGAAAAGAAATGAAGCAAAAAGACAAGTCCCAAACAAAGCTCTCGAAAAGTAAACGTAAGCGTAAAGAAAAAGAGGGTAAGACTAGTTAAACACAGCCTCTAAAATGATGCATATGCATGCCTGCAACATGGGTAGACGAGGAAAAACAATCACATGGTGACAATGCCAATCGAAAGACATCAACACTGACCGGAGTTTATCACCCGCGCAAATGAGTGTCACGTACTCATTTAACGCATGATTCCCTTGTTGGGACCGTGACCGAACGGCTGACTCTTGAGACTGTCGTGGTGCGGGAATCCGAACGGCGGTCCACCGTGGATGCCACCAAGCATGGCGTCAGGGTGATGGTGTGGTGGGAACGGCATCCCAGGAAAGCCGCCCTGTGGAGGACCGTTCATGTTGGAAGGGAGGGGAGGGGGGCCGCCGTTCATCCCATTGATGCCGTTGATTCCGCCCATTCCGTTCATTCCGCCCATGAGAAAATGAGGAGGTGGGGGCATGTTGGGGGGGAGCGGACCGTTGAGGCCATTGAGGAGCTGGAAGGGAACTGGCGGTCCGTTGACACCTGGGGGCGCCATGAATGGAGGAGGCGGTCCTTGCTGATGACGAGCTCCAGCAAATCCAGGGGGTGGAGCAACTTGTCTATGCGACTGCGGGGGAGGAGCCTGCGAGGCCTGTTGGGGGTTCCATCCAGGGGGAGGACCGTGATGGTCCATCATGTGGGGAGGACCTCTGTTGACGATTGGACTATCCTGGTTGGGGCGATGCCTGAACATCACAGCAGGATCGTCGATGTTTGGGGAGATGGGGTTGTGGTTTCCGCGGTTAAACTGGAGTATACTGGTATCGATTGGTGGAGGCGGAGGCATCTGAGATGGCCCACCATACTTGTTGTGCATCGGCCCGGATTGATGCTGCTGCTGCTGCTGCTGCTGTTGTTGCAGCTGCTGCGGCTGCTCGCCCCGCATCAAACGCATCAAGAAATCCGTGTTGGAGTCCCTACCTGGGCTAGGCATGGGATACTGTTGGTGACCGTGCTGCGCCTGGGGGGGCGGTGGATGGGGAGAGGACATGGAAGGAATTCCTGGAGAGATGCTTGATTGAGGTGGGCGCGAAAGGAGGCCAGCAGAAAGCGAGTCCGACGGCCCCGGGCCGTTGATGTTGGTGGTGCCCAACATCTTCAAGATACGCTGGAAACCCTCGCGGTCTTCTATATCTCCAGAATCACGGACGGGAGACTGAGTGTAGGGTGGGGTACGATTGACAGGCGTCGGGTGGTGTTCCTTGGGTTGGATGTGGGGAGGCGGAGAGTGAGATTCCTGAGGCCCAAAGAAAGACGTAAACCGTGATTTTCCCACCGCTCTCGGTTCAGCACGTGGAGCAGATATGATATCGCCCTGTTCGGGGCTCTTGAGGATGCTATTGCCGCTCCAGAATCCAAAGAATCGATCGACCCCATTCTCGGCGGCATGGGGTGGCTCAGGCTCGTGGCGTTCGTTGGCTACTGATTGGGTCAGCGAGATCCTTCGGCAAGTGGATGGTGAATGTGGTTACCCCTGTCCAGAAAGACACCTCCTTCGGCGTCATCTCGTGGGTTGCTCTCTTGTCTCTTGGGATTCTCAGCCTTCACCTGCTTCTCTTCGATTCGGGGTGTAGGAGTGGGTTCGGGAACATGCTCCGGCTCCTTAACAGGCTTTTCGATCAAATCCTCAGGCTTCTTGTGGGGCTCGGTAGAACCTCCTGATGAGGCCTTCATTCTCTCCTTCCATTTCTGGAAGTCTTCCATAGAATGAGCAGCTTTACCATCCCCAGATTTGCCGTCGCTGTCCATCCACTCAGGGTCCTTCTCGACTCTGCTGCCAAAGCGGTGATGATCACGTGGATTATCTCTGTTGTTCCTCTCTCCGCGGTTGTCCTCAAGGAGCCAGCTTGATTCATCCCGCTTGCCTCGGCCGCGGTGTTCACGGTCGCGTTCCTTGCCAAAGTTCTCGTACTTGGCAGGGCGTTCCCTATCCCACGGCGATCCCCCCTTCTTGTCTGCATCCCCACGCATGTCCTTGCGGAAACGCTCACGATCACCTCCTTCCTCAGCACCAAAGCTCTTACGTGGTTGACGAGAGACGTTCGTCCATCCGCCGCCCCCCTCGGAGTCCTCCCGGCGCTTCGAGAATCCTCCCCGGAGGTCACTAAAGTCACGACCTCCAGCCTCCTTATCCCGTTCCTCGCCACGGCCGAACCCTCCGAAGCTCTTGAATCTCTCAAATCGGGGACTCTCTCCTCGCTCGTCGTCGAAAGTCGGGGTATTAATGCTGGCAGACCGTACGGACTCGTGATCGAATTTATTACCAGCTGAAGTACGGGCCGAGGAGGATGCGAAAGACATTTTGGGCGGGCCGAGAACCATGTCTTCCGGAACTAGAACGTGTTAGTATATTGGGATGGAAGGGCGAGATAGAGCTATGCAACGGGATGCATACTGGACGATCTCGACAACCGGGAATCACTGAAGATGGAGGGGCGACGGTTCGTCATAGCGCTTCATCGCAGTTAGCAATAGGACAAGGTTTAGAGTTAAAACAACGTACCCACGAGGGGAGTCATCATTGCCGTTGCTGTTACCAGCAATGTCGCCGTCCGTTCTGGCTCTCGATGCGGTTGGACGAGCAGTAACTGGTCTATCATTCCATATTAGCACGATAGCATCGTCATAGCTGAGGCGCGGGGTATTTACCCCATCCATTCTTCCATTGGCGGCAGTGTGCTCGGCTTCTTCACGAGAGGAGACTTTGCCAGCGCGAGCAATTCCTCTGGCTCATACCGCCGCGGTTCTGGGGTAGCCATGGTACCTTAGAAGGTGAAGGCAACTAAGGATTGATAGGGGGGCGTGCTGAAGGGATGTGACGACGGACGAGCAACGGCGGAAACCGGAGGTGTCTGAGCGAGCAGGAGCAAATAGAGTTTCTTTTTCGATAGCAATAAGGCTGATTATCGATGAGCTAGAGCGGGATGATTAAGGTACAGGCAGTAGGAAGGGATTTGGTTGTTGTTGTTGCTGGTGGTTGGTAGTTGTGATCGGTGGATCCTATGGGGGATTTTTGTGGGAGTTAAGGTGAGGTGGGCAGGTTGGTTGTGATTGTTGGGCTTTCTCAGTGTCGGTTCGTATGTTCTGTCTGCTCTCCGCCTTTACTGGCCATGCAGCCAACATAAGCTACTTGGAGGGCCGGGTAAAAAGGTCGTAAATTTTGGGGGGTACGTAAAAGCTGGGAACTGGGGAGCCGGAAGAGGTAGGGTGTAGGGTTGCATGATTACATGAGATGGATGAGATGCGATTAAGCTCCTTATCTAATCTAATAAAAGACAATCAAAGGGTTATCGCTCCTATCTTATCTCATCTCATTAGCCATCAGCAGGTGACTCAACTGAACGTGTTACACAGTCCCTATCGCACACCCAACCCCTCTCACCCCGCCATTCACACCCATCTCCACGCGCCTAAACACCGACGATCACACGAAGAACCCCCCGCTAAAGTACTCCCCTCCAGACAGATCGCAACAAACAAGTCCACGTATGGCCTCCGCAGCTGCAGACAAACTGGCCACGATGTCCCTCAAGTCAGCGCAGACCGTGTCTCACGGACCATGCAACAACACTGCTGAGTGGAAGACTCAGCTCGAGAGTGTGTCCGGGCTTCCGGAGTCTTATACTCTGACAAAGACTCTCGTCTTCAAGCCCAGTATGTAGTTATTAGAGGCTTCAGAGATTGTCGAATTGACAACTGACTGAAACCCTAGAGACCCCGAAGTCCCAGACCGCCGTTCTTGTCGTCGTGATCGCTCTCGAGGATTCGGATACCAACTCTGCATTGGTTGCAAAGGCCCTTGAAGTCAAGGAGCCTCGCTTTGCGCAGGCCGCTGCCGTACAGGAAGCATTGGGCTCCCTGCCCGCAGACGGTAGGTCTATTTGTTCATTCTGGTTCACTGCGGCGGAGCCATCTGCACTGACCTACGGTCGGCTGTGCGGCATTGCGCTCCATGTTTTTGTTCTGTTGAATGAAAACTAACCGAATGGTAGTATCCCCTTACACAATCACCCAGGAGAATGCCGCGTCTGTTCAGGTCGCGTTTGACCAGCGCATCCTTGATTCTTCCGCGAAGATTGGTGTCCACACCACCAAATCTGACGAGACTGCGTTTGTCTCGGGTACAGAGATCCGATCATACCTTGAGAGCACTGGTGTCAAGCTCACCGTTGTGGATTTCTCACTGGCGAGTGTGTACGTTACTCGCCCTTGAGGACATGGAAAATTGCATGCACGCTGTGAGCAATTTCTAATGAATATCTATTTAGGCAAGCTGTCGCAAAGACTATTCCTAACAAGCCCGCCGTAAAGCAGGCTAAGGAGAAGACGATCGACGGTGCCGAACTTGTCGGTATCACAATCCGAAAGGAAGACGATTTCTCTGCTTGGTATCAGCAAGTCCTCACCAAGGGAGACATGTTGGATTACTACGATATCTCTGGATGCTACATTCTCAAGGTACTGATTTATATTCCGAGTCGTGGAACTCTACGGCTAATAAGTGCGTGTTAGCCGTGGTCATACTCCATTTGGGAGAAGGTGCAGAAGTACTTCGACGAGCGAATCAAGGGAATGGGAGTGCAAAATTGCTACTTCCCCATGTTCGTATCGGCAAAGGTTCTCGAGCGAGAGAAGGACCACATCGAGGGCTTCGCCCCCGAAGTCGCCTGGGTGACCAAAGCGTAATATTCCGCTCTCACCATCTAGGAACAACAGGATATTGACATTTTCCAGAGGTTCAAAGGAGCTCGATGAGCATATTGCCATTCGTCCCACCTCCGAAACCGTCATGTATCCCTACTACTCCAAGTGGATCCGTTCGCACCGTGATCTCCCCCTCCGTCTCAACCAATGGAATTCGGTCGTCCGATGGGAATTCAAGCACCCCCAGCCTTTCCTCCGCACTCGCGAGTTCCTCTGGCAGGAGGGCCACACGGCGCACTTGCGTTTCGAGGAGGCCGACAAGGAAGTAATGCAAATCCTGGAGTGGTACGTGGGTATCTACAAGGACATCCTCGCTGTTCCTGTCATCAAGGGAAAGAAGACCGAGAACGAGAAGTTCGCGGGAGGTTACTACACTACCACTTGCGAAGGATACATTCCCTCTACCGGTCGTGGTATCCAGGGCGCCACCTCTCACTGTCTGGGTCAGAACTTCTCCAAGATGTTCAACATCACCGTCGAGGATCCCGAGTGGAAAGAAGGCCAGCCAGATGAGGCGAAGAAGGTTTATGTGTGGCAGAACTCTTGGGGCCTGTCCACCCGTGTGATCGGTGTAATGGTCATGGTTCACGGAGACAACAAGGGCTTGGTCCTTCCTCCCAACGCCGCTCAGATTCAGGTTGCGATTGTTCCCTGCGGCATCACCGCCAAGACCACCAAGGAGCAGAGAAGCAGCCTGGAGAACTCAGTCTTGGATCTTGAGAAAACTCTTAAGGATGCTGGAATTCGTGTCCATGCCGACCTTAGGGATACCTACTCTCCTGGTTACAAGTTCAACGACTGGGAGCTGAAGGGAGTTCCATTGCGACTTGAGTTCGGCCCCAAGGACATCGAGAAGAAGCAGGTCGTCACTGTTCGCCGTGACACCGGTATCAAGCAGAGCATCTCGCTCGATAACGTTGCGGAGCAGATCTCGGCCATCCTTGACACCATGCACAACGACATGTACAACAAAGCCAAGAAGTCCTACGACGACCACGTTAAGCTCGTCACCAAGTGGGAGGAGGTTGTTCCGGCTCTGGACGCAAAGAATGTCATTCTCATGGCTCACTGTAAGTTCAAATTTTGTATGTGCGCATCAAGCTTCGCCGTGGCTAATAGACATAGGTGATGACAACGAGTGTGAGGACAACGTCAAGGATGACAGTAAGGGACGTGTCGATGCCGATGCTCCTGAGGACTCGCGGGCCCCGTCCATGGGTGCCAAGAGTTTGTGCATTCCGTTCGAGCAGCCCGATGGCGAGCATAAGCTCGTGCCTGGTGTCACGAAGTGTGTGAAGTGCGGCGAGGATGCTAAGGTACATTCCGTTCCAGATTAACGTCGATCACTCATTTCTGACATAAATGGCAGCACTACACCCTCTTCGGTCGGTCCTACTAGACGATGCTGAGTTGATGGGAGGTTTGGTCTGGTGTTTCTTGCAGCGTTCCGGGATTTGAATGGGATACGGTCTTTTCGTTTGGGCGTCTAGTCGTTTCTATTGATCAGCTCTTCGGTGTTATCTATTGGCGGGGCAGCATGCGAGCACATCTGGACTCATTGATATCGACTGTTGTTCGTTGGGAAATGTGGGGTAATGATTCAACATAATCAGACTCGGGGAATCGTGGGATGTGAGCGGGGTGTCTGCATGACCAGTACCGATCCACTCCGACTCGAATGGCGCCTTACAGAATACCTGCAGTGGAGTCGGTGAGTATCGGTACCGGATAACGGGGTATCGCTGCATACACGAGTGATTTTATGTGATCGTCAACATCCCTCGGCTTTCCGATGATCCGGAATGACCCCTTGAAGCGATAAGCCGGAAAGAAGAATACCGAGGATGCTGGTTGAGTCTCCTTATGTGCTCCTCACGGGGGCTGGCCATCAGGCTGGTGCAGGGATATACCATTGACATCCATCATATTGAAGGTCTCATCGGTCTCATTGGTGGATGTTTCGATCCTGGTGAGGAAGAAATGGGCGGGGCGGTGAAGAACTTTAAGAAATTCCTTCTCGAAGAATTTCGAGGGAATAACGAGAACAGCCCACTTTTGCCAAATAACTGACCACTTTTACCCTCATAGACAACCGGGATTAGCTCAGCCAGCAGCCAGCAGCCCAGCCCTAGCTTGCATGCAGCACTCTATGCTCTATGGAGGTACTCCACACATGTTCGATGTGATCAAAACCCAGGGCTCAAGTGCAAGCAGGCTGACATAGGACAACCCACTCTATTGGAACCGCCGCTACCGACGTTCATCTAGGCCGCTGCAATCCAACGGCCTTGCATTTGCATGTGAACTGGTATTTTCGTTTGGATTTTCGGCGAGGTCATCCGGGGCTGTGGTGTTTCAAGGGGGAGGGGTTTTTTCTGTCCGTTCCCTCTATGTAGAAGGGGCTCTCACTCAGGCGCTCCACATGTATGTAAGCTGCGCGGTTTTTTTCCCTTCCGCTCCTCCCTCGCGCCTCGCTCGGGCCGCTCGGATGATTGGGGAATACCGGGTGGGATATTCCCCACGCATGAATGTTCAAGGACCGCTAGTGAGGTATAGGTACCCCTCCTATTGAGCCCCGGCCGAGACCCGCAAACGCGTTAAGGCCTCAGCGAATGGTAGCGGGTACTGGTACCTATATATATATCCAGCTCTGCTCCACTCAGGAGCTCGGTGTAAAGCGTGGTGTGATCAGCTATTCGATGAGTCCTCCAGAAGAAGTTTATACCCCAAAAACCACTCTTAGCTATCAGGTCACTCGGCGAAGACGACGACGATGCGCTCAAAACATCACTACCATCAGCGGCTCAGCGCCCACGAAATAAGGAAATGGCACTCTGAGGCGCGTCAGAAGCGGCTGCATGAGCGGTGGGTGCCGTATTCCCTCCGGTGGAAGGGAGGGATCTTTTTACGCGTGATGCCCCAGGTGTGTATACGAGCATTCCGTCGCCTTCTGGGAGTGCTTAACACTGACGGTTACGTGCGTCGCGTCGGGAAGATGATATTTGCTGGACTATTCTCCGCGGCGATTTGTTCTGTCCTCAGCTTTACGGGCCTCCACATCGCGTTGAGATCGCCGATTCTGTTCACGGCATTTGGGTTCGTCGTCGGCATTGCGATCTCGTTCCGCATGACGGCGAGCTACAATCGTTGGTGGGAGGGCAGGATGCAGTGGGATCATCTCTCGGCTGTGTCCAGGAGTATGGCGAGGACCGTCTGGTTGCATGTTCCACCGCCGAAGGCGAAGGAGTTGTCCGTGGCGGGTATGATGAACGAAGGACAAGGTGTTAGGGATAAGAGGGCGGTTATGAAGGTCATTCATGCGCTGGCGGTCGCGTTGAAACACCATCTGCGTGGTGAGAGGGAGTGGGATGATCCTGAGGTTTTGGGGTTCAAGGAGTTGCTGGATGGAATTGGAGAGGTGAGTGCATTCCGTAAGGCAGGCAAGCAGGCCGAGAGTCAGAGCTGATGGAAACATACAGTACCCGTACAACTCCATCAACCACCCGCTCACCCTGTCCCTCTACCTAAGCTCCTACGTCGAGCACGCCCGCACCACCACTGCGATCGATACCCAAGTCCTCACCCACCTCCTCACGCACGTCGACACCTTCACCTCGATCATTTCCGCGTGCGAGCGCCTCCTCCGCACTCCCATCCCGCTCGGCTATCAGATCGCCATCTGTCGGCTGGTCTGGTTCTTCATCCTCTGCGTCCCCAGCCAGCTGTGGCGCGAGCTCCGGTGGTGGACTGTTCTCGTCACCGTGGTGCTGGCTTACATGGTCTTCGCCCTGGCCGAAGTTGGATTGGAGATTGAGAATCCCTGGGGGGAGGGCCCGAATGACCTCGATCTCGATAGGTATTGCAATCTACTAGCCCTCGATCTAGATGAGATCACGAATACCATTCCGCCAAAGAGAGGGTGGGCCACGTTTGATATCGGCACCGGGAGCTCGAGTGCCTCGGTTACAGGCACTACTACGCCCACGCCTGCGCCGACACCAACGCCGACGCCGAGGAGCTGGGGGGTGTTGGTGGACGTGAGCGCCAGGCTTGAGGAAGATATGGGAGATGTTGTGTAGACGGTGCGATACAGTGGATGGAGTGAGACATGGAGTAGAACACAGTGGGATGGGAGGATATACAGATGAGCATGGACGGCTAAACTAGAGCTCGAGCTATGAAAACGCATCTAGAGATTAGAGTAGACATTTAGATACATATTCACAATACAAATAGACCGAGTACACTTGATATAGGCTGTATCCTTCATGGTTGTGCCAGTCCGCACGAATAATGGACGTCTAGATAGCTTGCGCGGCTAACCGTCGTCTACGGTGGAATTCCCTGAAGATTCGAGGACTGCCGAAGCTTCCCTTAGCCCACATAAATGATAGCCCGCATCTGCAGTTACAAGCATAAATCATCCAGCCAATCAATCATTCAAAGCTCAAGCGATCCAGCTAACGCGGTGAGGGGATGGGGACGACGCGCTCCAGCAGTTCAGAGATGGCAAGCGGTCAACTGCCTTGAACCCTGGATTGGATTACTTGCCATACCTCATAATTCATTGCTACCATCTTCCCCTCCCTCCTCATCACTTACCTTCCCTTGGTGGTAACATATACTTCACCTTATTCCTCTTAACTCAGCCCCAATCTCTTGCCCCTCCTCTTCACAGAACAGCCGCATCTCACAAGACCTCGTTTACCACAGACAACCTACGGTATCCATCACCCAGAAGTAGCAGACATGGAACGAGCCTCCCTTGCCGGCATGCCGCAAGAGCTCTTGTAAGCTTCCTTCCGATTCGTTATTCCGTCTGGCCCTAGTAGGGATATTCACTACTCCCCCGGGTGGGGTCAGTCGTGGTGGGGTAGCTTTGAGCTCATCAATGTCCAGCTTGATGAATCGTTCGGCGGTTCCACAAGGGGCGGGGCAGGCAGAATACCTCACCGGGCTGGAAATCCCATGCTTCGAAACTATCAAGCTCCTGACGGGCCAATTGACCCATACGCTCTTCATCGGAGATGTTGCTTCGGTTACCTATGCTGACGGAATGTCTACAGCGACGATGTGTGTTCGCACCTCTCGCAGCACACCCTGACTAAGCTCGCCCGGGCCAGCAAGACCATCAACCGCAAGGTTCAGAACCCACTATACTACCATTGTGTTGTTCGAGACTTCAGACGGCTGGCACTGTTTGTGCGGACCATGAGCGACGCGGCGCAGTGTGACAGGCGCGGAGATGTGTTCAGCAAGAACCTCTACGACCTGCGTCTGATCTTAGATCCGAGCGTGGAGGAGGGAAACCGTGCGACTGCAGTGGTCTTGGGTAGGATGATATCCAGTGTTGCTAGGTGAGTTGGACCAGGTGACCGTACGGGCTCTCTGAATGGATTTCCTTGGGCTGAAGAGAGTTCTACTTACCTAGGTACTGTCCGAAAATCCGAACTCACCTGGTCCTCAAAAATGCTACGTGCAATAGCCAGCCAATCTCTTCGTTCTCGATAGAAACTTTCCCCCGCGTCATCTCTTTGATCCTCCACACCAGTGAGGGTGTACGGGCTTCGGGGTCACAGCGACAGAGGACCCAGGCAGTTGTTTACAACAGCAGGGTGGCCCGGATGGGCCATCACAGGGACGGATCGAATACTAGCTGCAGGCCGCGTGCAGAATTTTGGACGGGAATATTCAACGGCACGAGCTTTCCGCACCTGGAGGAGGTTGAAATAATCCATGAACGCAGTGGATTTTTCTACAGTGATGTGGTTATTGAGGCCGGCGAATTGAAGGGTCTGCAGAACATCAGAAGGCTGGCCGTCAAGTGGGCGCCGGAACTCAATTCCTCGGTCCTCACGTCAGCGCTCCGGTGCGCTCCGAACCTGACACATTTGGAGCTGAAATTCATCAGTGGGCTGGAGTACTCCGGTGAATCCCATCACCTCTCTCCACTGCAACTTCCCAGGCTGATGATGTGATTTCCATGCCAGATCTGACCAAGCTGATCCAGTTCGCGCTGCCCAATCTGAAGAATTTCACGCTGTGGGTATGGCCGGATCACGATTCTGCGCGAAAGCATCGCGAGGACCTGCGTTACGTGGACCCTCTGCAACCTTCCAACCCCGCCGGGAAGCCCGTCCATCTCTGCCCGCTCTTCCGCGACTTCGGAAAGAACACGCCGCACTTCGACATCTTCCTGCCCTTCGTTTGCCGCGAGCTGTTCCTCACCGTCGCCGAACGCATCAAGATTGCAGACGCCGACATCAGCTTCACTGTGGGCACCCGCGACGGCGGCAAGTCCCCCGTCGACAAGCTGGACGCCGCCGCCATCGCCGCCGTCGTCAAGGAGCACCGCAAACTCGTCGAACAGGCGCGGTTCCAGGCGGCTGTCAAGGAGAACATGGCGGCCGCTAGGAAGGAGGGGAAGGACAAGCTTGTCACGCTGGCAGAATACGACGTCAACCAGACCAATCTCAAGCGCGAGCGCACGATCAAGAGCGAGAAGTGGAAGCGAACTGTCCGCTGCGGAAAGCGCCTCTGCAGGAGCTACGAGAGCTGGGAGGAAATGGGGGTGCTCGCGGGGCTCGAGGAGAAGAATACCACCTGGGTTTTGGGACGTATGTTGTCCCTTCCTCCCACATTTTGGTCATGCCGTTGCTGATGAACAAAAGATGAGAGACTAGACACGGCGGCAGTCTTCACTGGCGGCTCACCTTTCCCCACCGGCGAGAAGAGCTACGATCAGCAGTTCCCCATGCAGAACGACTCCGACTGCGCCGCTAGAATTACTGCGCTGCGCGTTGGCGGCCGTGATCATGGCATCGATTTCAACGAGCACGCGCACTGATACGGGATCTCGCGCCTTGTCGCGCCCGGGAGTACTGACGACTTTTATGACGTTATGACGCTTTTTGTGTACTGGCACGGAAGGTTTGGCTGGTTGGTTAGCTGGTTCTTTGGGCGGGTGGGGTTGGGCGGTGTTGATAGTGCGATTGTCTTTTTTTTTTCCTTCTCTTTGCTTTGCTCTACTCTACTTGGGCGGTTATGTTGGTACCGCGTGTGTGTACTTCTTTTTGATACTCTCAGTGTGGGGCTTCTACGGGCACGCACTTTGTTTGTTTGTCTTGTTTGTTTATTCATCGATCGATTGCATGGCTACGGCTGCGGCTAAGGGTACGGCTACGGACAATAAATACTGTCTGTTTCCAGATGAGTGCTATGATAGGTACTATGGTCCGAGTGATATCTGTGAGTGGAAATCATAGGTAGGAGTCAGGACCCGTTTGGCTGCGTAAAATACCGGTACTGGGGAGGACTTTACATGGCAGAAGCTATAGTAAGTAAGACTTTATCGGGAGAGCAGTAGACAGTACCATATAGTTCCTGGTGAGCCGCAGTGCTTGTTTGTGGAATAGTGGTGATATGAGTTAGGAGGTATGTATCGTGGTCTGAATGAAGTCCATCTCGGCGCACGCCGCACGTCGACCACAGCAGTAGCAGCCACTCATCTTTCCCACTCTACACACACTGTCTCTCTACTATCTATAGTACACTCGGCTTCACTAGGTATTTCAGCCTTAGCCACAGCCTCGGCAACTTGTTTCATCCACCCACTCGTCACCCACTCACACACACACACTCACTCACTCTCCCGCAAATACTGTTCATAGGTGGCTGGAATCGTAGTGTCTTTATCTGTCACTTCAGCGTCGTCTTCGTTTTACATATACACGTGTCTTGCATTGTTTCGCTTGCTACCTACAGCATATATACCAACCTATATCATCGCGGACTATGCGCAGAATACGTACGTACTGATCGGCATTGACTTTTAGGTGATGACGGTGACGCGGCTTTACTATAGCTACTAGGTAGACAATATGCCTACTCCGAAGTTGGAAGTCGTCCCGCTCCCTGTCGGCCCACTCCTCGTCGGCCCCGCCAAGCGCAATCACGTCCTCAAACACGGTACGCGGTCCCAAGCTCCCAGACTCGCAGCTTTCCGAAAACGTTGACCACTTCGGTGCATAGGTCCTCTTTCAAGCACCCGATTGAGAATTGATCCACGTGTTGCTCATCTCGCAACAATGTATTACGATCCCGCAACAATGTATTACGATCCCGCATCCCGCATCTACCATCTACCTACCCGACCAAGACCTCAAACCATGCCCCCCTCCCCTCCCTCTTCCTCGCGGCTCTAACGGCGGCTTCAAACCTCTTCGCCGTCGCCTCCTCCGCACCGACAATCACGACGGTTTCCACGCCCCTCCACGCCCCCGTCCACGCAGCCTCCTCATCCTCCTCCTCGAGGACACCCGCCACCGCCGCATCCATTTCCAGCCACTTCAGACACAGCAGCCTCTTGACAATTCCCCTCAGCAGCTTCTCGAGCACAGCCCTGTCCGCCCACCCGCTCAGCGACAGATGCGTCAGCCGCGGCGTAAGCTCCAGCAGCCGTAGCAGGCCCTTGCCATCGTCCGCCGCGGGACTAGCGAGGGAGAGGTGCGTGAGGGCAGGAAACCTGGTATTCGCCACAACAGGCGCCTCATCCCAACTATCGCCCAGCACCCCGCCCTCCCCCACCTGTAGCGGCGGCGGCCGGAAAACCTGCAGCAGCCCCGTAGGCGCACAACACTGCAGCGACAAGTGGGTAACTCCCTCCTCGCCCTCGTCGACAGGGAACAGCGCGAGCAGTCCCGCGGGGGTGACGGGCGCGCGCACACCGTGCAGCGAGTGCAGGTACAGCAGCAGCAGGCTCTTCAGCCGCGCCGGCAGCAAAGGCAGGTACCACTTGTCCCACGTCGTGTGGAAGTCGTAGTCGCGCGCGATCGCGGTGAGGGCGAAGTGTGTCAGGCTGCCCGGGGCGGGGAGAGGCGGGTGCGGGAAGAGGGAGTGCGCGCTGCGGGTGGGGGAAGGGGTGGCGGTGGCGGATGGGGGGGTGAGCCATGATGCTGGCGGAGGAGGGCCGGGGGTGCGTGGTAGACGCGGGGCGGTCGTGATGCGTGGGCGGGGAGGGGGTGGTGGGGGTGGAGGCGTGTCCAGGAGGTGTTGTAGCAGCGGCGGGATGCTGCGGGTTATCGCCGGGAGGGTGGCGGTCGGGTTGTCGTAGTGGTCATGGTTGTGGTGGTGGGACTGCGAGCTCCGGAGGTGGCTGAGGAGCGTGTTGACATTTGTTGTGGGGGTGTTGTTGTTGTTGTTGTTGTTGTTGTTGTTATGGCTGCTGCTGCTGCTTCCGCAGCCCACAGTGCTGGATGAGGCGAGGTGGAGCGAGGTGGGGGCGGGGGCGGGCTTGATGTGAGTCCACTTTTGGTGATATTTGCGGGGCATTCAGTGTGCCCGCGAGAGAGGTTGTTGGGAGGGAGGGGAGCGAGGGGGGGCTAGGATTGCCAGTGGGAATGATGGGCTGGGCTACAGATGGTAACGTTGAGGTGCTTTCTTACCTACTTAAGTTACTCGACACGCAAGGGAGGGAAGCTGTCATGATTCATCGTGACTCTTGAGCTCAAGGTCCTGATCGGGCTTAGCGGAATGTGCCTTCTTCGGCGTCCGGTTTTAATTGACTTTATTTTTATTTGCTATTCTATGTTTTCCGTTTTCATTTTCCGTTTTCATTTTCCGTTTTCATTTTCCGTTTTCATTTTCCGTTTCCTCCTTGCTGCATCCGGCCGGCATCTATCGGCCATCGCGATTACCCTGCTCGTGCTCTCCGCTTCTATTCCGTCTCAGCCGCAGAAAAGGAAGCTCCTTGGAAGAAATCTCCGGCGAGCGGCATGCGTCTCCGCCGCGGCGAGAGCAAAGCATCAAGCGATTCGCTGCAACCGACGTCCGGCCAGGCCGAGACGACCATCTGATATCAGGCGAGGATTCACCGTGCGTCGTTCGTTGTTCAGCTTGTCACCGCAGCATCATCTCCGTCGCCCTGGGCAGTGGGTTCAGGTTCAATTCAACACGACATCCATCCAGCATCCACCGCTCCCTCATCCTCACCCCTTCCCCCCTCCCCTCGCCTCCTCATGCTCTCGCGCCTCGCCAGCGCCGCGTCTCTCTGTCACCTCTCACCTCCTCGGGCCAGATCGTCCGTAAAGCTCGCTCGCTCACTTCCTTTCCCCCAGACCCAGACCTCCTTCCCCTTTCGGCTCCAGAATTATTTCCCAACCACAAAAAAAAGCCGCACCATCACATCAGATACAGTGGGCCGCGCATGTCACCATGTCACCCACCCACGCACCCGGCCCATCGGATATTCTCGGATCGGGTGCCCTCGGTATCTGATTGAAATTAGAGTTATCAGATTGAGTAAGTGCAGAGCACGCGGCACGCGGGGGTGGAAGGGGGGCGGTGGAAGGAGGGTTTATTTTTTTGCTTTTTGCTTTTGTTGCTTCCTTGAACTTTACCGGCGGGGAAGGGAGGGGAGGGGAGTGGGGAGCAGCAAACAGCAGCAGGCGATTACCGATGCTGATGGATGGGAGAATTTCGGGCGCTGAGCTGACCCAGCTGAGCTGACTCCGGCTGCGGAGTTGGCGACAAACGTATGGATGCCACTCGGTTATCTGGAGGTAAGGTAAAGGATATGTAGGTGCTCTGTATACTTCCGGAGCACTCTACCGTGGCGTGGGCACTCGTGTAAAGGAGGATCGCCGTGTACGGCTACTACTCGCTCGCACGGAGAATCAGGGAATACGGTAAGGAGATGTGGCGATCTATGGAGAAGCCAGCCAGCCCCAGCAAGCGGTCAAGCAGGCAGGCAGGGGAAGTGAAAGCAGGAACACAGCAGCAGGCGAAATGGGTCGGCATATGCGTGTTCGCTGCTCTACTCGGTAGTCTTACAGCTTCTAGATCGTTTGGCTGTCCTTATCAAGTTGTCCGTATTCGGATGGGCGGTGGAGTGAGTGCGTCCCGAAGTGAAAAAGGACCCATCCCCACCGACACCTTCCGTTCGTCGAATTCTGTCCGAGTTCTTCCAAGTACACTCCTTCTCACTCACACCCACACCCACGCTCACACCCCTACTCACACTTCTCTCCTCCTCAACAACTGCCCCTCTGCCATCAACGTGTGGTTTAAAAACGACAACTCTGCGCGCTCCCTACCCTCTCCCCCGTCACTGTTGCATCGGCTACGCCCTTCCGTAAAAGTCTACTTGCTTCTCGCCACCCATCTCGCCTCGTGGCCCCTTCTATTAGACTCTCGAGACCCTCCCTTGCCCATTCTCTCTTCAAATCAACATCATCGCGACATCACACCCTTCACAGGTCGCCAGTAGCAACACCCACCCCGAATAGTAGCAGAATGGGTAAGTGCTCGGCTCCGCATTGCTACTACTGGTTTTGGCCGGGTCGCGGAATTGAAGCACTAACACCAAGTTTATAGCCCACGTTTTGCTTCCACCGCGCGACCCGCACCAACATTCAATCCCCCACCACCACCATCAACACAACCAGAACCCCAATTCCCCCATGATCCGAAGGATGAGTAGCAGCTCCACCACCACCACAACGTCGGTGCATAATGAGTCGCCCGCCGACATCGAGCAGACCATCCCGGAGGAGCCGGCCGCCCTTCCGACTGCCGAGGTCTCGGCTCCCACCAACGCCGCCGGCGGTATGGAGACAACCGAAAACCAGGTCGACATTCTGATCCAGAAGATGAACAAGTGGAAGAGCCCCGTGCTCGGCATCGACTTTACGAGCACCGGCAAGACTCGTCGCGCCCCATCGCAGTTGCTCAAAGTGGGCTTGAACGACCCGTTGCACGGTCTCGATGACTCGTCGGCGACGAATCTTATCCAAGGCCAATGCTGCGGTGGCGGCTGCTGTCGTCTTCCATCTGGTGCGCCGTCGCCCGCCAGGTCGCCTGCGCCGCTGAACCTCGATATCCCCGACAACGACGCGTTCCAGAGTCTCAAGCTCAAGTTGTCGCCGCTTTCGTCTCGCAGCAGGCTGTCTAGCATCACGCCGCTGCCGGTGAAGAACATCTCGATTGAGTCGGTGCAGGAGCCCGAGGAGCACAAGTCGACGGCGTTCACTCACCCGCCGAAGTTCGTCACTCCGCACCCTCCGTACGAGGTGTTTGCGGCCAAGGTTAGCTGTACCCGCGAGTTGACCAGACCTGGCGCTCCCAAGCGGACCTACCACTTCGACCTCGATGTCACCGATTACCCCGAGGAGGCCGAGGGTGTCGACTTCCGTGTCGGTGGTGCGATCGGTGTCCAGGCGCCCAACGATTTCGAGAGCGTGGATGCCATCTTCGATCTGTTGGAGATTTCGCAGGAAGACCGGGATGCTCCCGTCATGTTGAAGACCGAGGGTGGCCGCTGGCCTACCATCTGGGGGGAGGAGGAGCCTCGCACCCTGCTTACTACCCGCCGTGAGCTACTGACGTGGACCGTCGACATTCAGTCTTACCCGCCGACCAAGAACCTCTTGCGTCTGCTGGCCGAGTATGCGTCCGACGAGGACCAGAAGACGATCCTCTTGTACCTCTGCTCCAAGCAGGGACAGGCCGCCTTTTGCGAGTATGTGTTCTCCTCTTCCGTCTCACACCATCCCGTGCTCGGGGTTGCCCTCCCTTTTTTTTTTGACTTCCATGATGCACTTATCAGATCTACTGATTAACTGACATCGATTTCAGACTGCGCACAGGCCCCTACGTTACACTGGAGCAGCTTCTCAATGCGTTCCCCTCGTCGAAGCCCCCCTTCGACCACCTGTTGTGCAACCTCTCGACGTTGATGCCCCGCTTCTACTCGCTCTCCAACGACCCCCACTTCTCGCGCGATGCCTCCCACCGCCGCATCATCGAGATCGCCGTCACCGTGCACGAGTCCTCGATGCGCTGGCGCCCCGGCAACCGCACCGGCGTAGGCTCGGGCTTCTTCGAGCGGACCGCGCGCAAGATCCTCGCATCCCCCTCCTCGACCGAGACTTATCACATCCCGATGTTCCGCGGTCTGATGGCGAACCCACTGGCAAAGGAGTTCGTCGCCGACGGCCCCATGCTGCTGATCGGCGCGGGCGTCGGCATCGCGCCGTTCCGCGGCTTCGTCCAGCGGCGCCTGCAGAACGCCAACTGCGTCAACAAGGTGTGGGTTCTGCAGGGCGTGCGCGACTCGCTCGTTGACGAGCTGTATTCCGGCGAGTGGGGCGTCCACGACGAGCAGATCAAGAAGGTCGTCGAGAGCCGTGTTGGCACGGGCAGATACGTCCAGGACGAGGTCCGCGCGCAGGCCGATCTGGTCTGGTTCGTTATTAATGCCCTGGATGGAAGGGTTTTTGTTTGTGGAAGCAGTAAGGGAATGGGCGAGGGCGTGGAGGAGGCGCTGGTGGATGTGGCGATGCTCAAAGGACGCCTCAGTAGGGAGGAGGCCGGAGAGTTCTGGAAGAAGAAGAGGGAGGGGTTGCAGTATATCGCTGAGACTTGGTGATTATACACACATACCCTTTCCTTTTCGGTGGTGGGATGTCTGGCTGCCTGGCTGGCTTCATGCCATTATCCTTATCCTTATCCTTACCCTTTTCCTTACCCTTTTCCGTTTCCTTTTCGGTGGTTGCCTTTTCTCTTTTCTTTCCCTTTTCTTCTTCTCTTTCTTTCTTCTCTTTCTTTCTGTTTTCTTGATTTTTGATGGAGGGACGGATGGGATGGCTCGATATCATTTCTTACTGTCGACTGGGTGGGTGGTTGGGCGGATGCATGGCGTTTTGATTTTGACTTTATGTTTGTGTTTATGTTTGTGCTGACCGTGGTTTTGTGCTGACCGTGGTGGTTTTGTTTTGCATGGGGGTTTCCTATTTTCTTCTCCTATTCTTACTTGTCACTGACACTCCCCGTTTACGTTGTTTTTTTTCTTCTTCGGCGTGCTGCTGCTGCTGCTTCTGCTTCTGCTTCTGCTTCTGCTTCTGCTTCTGCTTCTGCTTCTGCTTCTGCTTCTGCTTCGTTCGGCAGTGAGGCAGTGAGGCAGTGAGGCAGTGAGGCAGTGAGGCGGGGTGAGTTGGGGAGTGAGTGAGTTGGAGTGGGTTGGGGCGGGGGTGGTTTAGATTTCTGTTTCTGCTTCACATTTCCTTTCATTTCCCTTTTTTCCTAGGTACACCATACTTCCTGTAGATGCGAGCAATGGGGGACAATTGCAATGGGAATAGATACAGATACAAATAGATACATGATGCAAATCCAGAGGGTGAATTAGGAACTTGCTTGCTTGTCGCTATGATACATAGAGATCTCTACTATGTATAGACAGATGATGTGTTTCGTAGAATAGATAATATGGATCCTATACCCCTCCTCTGCTCGCCTCTGCTCGCCTCTCCTGCTCGCCTCGACTCGAACTCTGCACGACTCTCCATGACTCTCCTCTTGACCATCTACACTGTCTACACACCCATTCTTTCTACCCACTCACTACCCATTTGGTACCCACTACTTACATACTCGAGATATAAAACAGACAGACAGACAGACAGCGCGGGCGCGGGGGGAGGATTTGAATCTTCAATCTTCAATCATCAAACAAGAAAACAGAAACACGAAACACGAGGTACGAAGTACCAGAGTAAAATGCACACCAAAACGCCCAAAAAAAAAACTGCACTCTTCTTGTTCTTATTCTTCTTGTTCTTCTTTCTAGTATTAAGGGTGTGATAGGAGTAGAATGGGATGTGATTGGATGGGATGGGGATGGAGGGGATGGGGATCAGTAGATCCCCTGCGAAAGATACTGGAATTGATCATACTGCATTTATTAGCAACTGTGTCGAAGCCGTGTATTGGGGGCACATACCATCCTAGTGAAATAGCTCCCGAGACTCTTCTGGACGAGCACATCCACAAAGTCGCCAGCCTCCTGCTCACTCATCTGTAGTACGAACCTCTGCTTCAGCTGGGAGGTAGCATAAATAGCGCCGGAGCTGAAGCAGGGCATTCTGGACTCCTTCCCCATGAGCTCGACGAGCAGTACTAAATTATCGGCGGACTTCCTAAGCGCCTGGAAGGCCTGCTTGCACAGCGTTCTGAACAGCGCGAACGCCTCGGAGTCGACGCCGCCCATGACGTCGACGTACTCCTGCGTCAGCTTGAACGGCGCGCTTTCGAACCCCACGGACCCCGGCGAGTTCGACAGCATGAAACCAAAGTCGATGTGGATTATGTGCCCCTGGTTGTCGATCAAAACGTTGCCGTTGTGGCGGTCCTTCAGCTGCAGGATGTAGCAGATTATGCTGTAGGCCGCGAGAGACCGCACGAATGCGTCCACGGCCGCTGCGTAAGTCGGCGTGTCCTCCGCCCCGAAGGTCTTGACGAAGTGGTCTTTGAGACTGGCGATGCGCCCGCGGGGGTTTTGACCCGAGGCGATGGAGGCGATTGTTAAACTGCGCTTGAGCGAGTGCAGGGAAGTGCCGTTGGTGATCGTTTCGATCAGGCCAGAGGACTGTAGAGGTCAGCACGGGCAATAAACTCTTGTTCGGGGGATACCAACCTCGCCAGTAACCAGAATGCGCATGCGTTTAAGCCACACGGGCACGGCCGCACGCTGCCAGATCTTATCGCAGACCTGGATGAGCTGGCACGCGAACGCCTCCTGTCGCAGGTCCGCGCCCGTCTTGACGATGACACTGAGCAGGTCCCAGTTGGGACACGAACCGTACGGCGACGATTTCCGCACTCGCTCGCGCTTCGCCGTCCATTCCTCTCCGAACGTGGCTGCACTGGGGTCGTCGCGGTCGGCTTTCCGCTCCACTCCCGACGTCATCTGGTCGTTTTCCATGCGTGCGGCGCCGGCTTCGCTGTTGATGTTTTTGGGCTTGGTCCCGTCGCCTTCCTCCACCCGGTCGTCGTAATTAGGGATCGGTGCTGCTGTCGCCGCACTCGCCATGATCGTGTCGAATGTCGGGATTGGCGCCGCTTCCTGGAAGAAGAAGCTCTGCTCCTCGAGCGTCTGCATGCTGGCAATGATCTTGGCCTTAATCGCGGCCACTTCGCTCTTTGGTCGTTTCCCGCCGCTGGCTTCCAGCTGCGCCAACATGTTTGCTGCCGTCCGCATGTGCGTCGCCAGCGCCGAAAGATCCGGGCTTTCGTTGTTATGCGGTCTCCCAGACTTCCGCCCGGGACTGCCGGATCTGCCCGGATCTGATGACCGCGGAGTGCCGCCTCGAGACGACAACGTGGAGATGCTGTTTGCGCCGCTCGACGATCGCGGCCAGTGGGTGACCGAAGACGAATCACCCCCGGATGTTTCGACAGGCGCATCAAGCGCATCGTCTACGCCAATGATTGGGGATGTCCCGATGTCACCGCCAGATGGCTCGAACACGCTGCTCGGACCTTCATCCGAGGATCCCACCCACCGCGACGACTGCCGCGGCGACTCCGAAAGATCAAACATTCTCTGCCGGCTCCCCGACGCCTCCTCCCGCAGCAGGTTGGACAGCAGTGTTTCGTTCTCGGACTTGCTCGGGTCGAAGTCGAAATCGTCGCGCAGCACCTCGACCATCAGCAGATACGGCACCCGCTCGGCGCTATTAAGGACCGTTGCTTCTGCCGGATTGATCCGAACGATCCGGTGGTGGCTGGTTCGTGATTTGATTTGGTGCACGGTTGCCGGACATATTACGGGAATGTCGACCTCCGACGGCAGGTCGTTGTCAAGAAGCGCCAATTCGGCCCGCAGTGCGCTCAACCGCGCTTGCTTGGGAACTTCCACCAGCTTGTTTGATATCTTGTCTAAAGCCGACAGAAACTGATCCTCTCTACGAAAATAGTTGGCCCTTAACATGTGGATCTTTCTGGATGTAGATAATACGGCGGGGGTTAGAGGCCTGTCTTTATGTTGCCGCCGCTTGCCGCTGGAGCTCGATGGAGCCATTAAGCTGGCTGCCGACTGAATTGAGTGGCGATGAGAATGTAGGTCTGGTAGGGAAGGTGATGTCGGTGGTGCTTCGGGCGCGGCAAGCATGTCATTGTATGAGGACCGTCTTGCTAAGGACGTGCTTCTCGGATCGGTCTTTGTCCGCCTCGGGGATGCCATCGCTACCGGTGAGCCCGGTGACCTGGATTCCGTTGTCAAGAGCGGTGGTGGTACGGCAAGACCCAGACTCGAAGAAGGTTTCGCCAGCGGGGGTGGTTTTTCCTTTCTCCTCCGGGTTCCCGAAGAACCAGTAGTTTTGCTGCGCACCAGTTTCGTGGGCATCTCGGATATCGTTTCCTGAGGTGTAGCCTGTTTCCTCGCCTGAGCCACTGCGAGCGGGCCCGCAAATCGCGGTAGGATTGGCGCCGCGATGCTGCCGACGATCAGGCTGGCGAGAACTGTGACTGGAAGGACATTCTCCTTCAACCGTTCCTTCTTCTTCGGCGTTTTCTCCGCTTCCAAACACGATGTTCTGTATCCGGTTGTAGATTCGCCGACATACCTAGATGCAAACACCCCCGCCAAAAACGTTAACCTCCTTCACCCTTGTGCTCCAGCATATCCTTGCGCGACAGTCTCTCCACATACGCGCCGTCTCTCCAAACTCTATCCGTCTCTTTCCTCTCGTCCCAAGTAATAGCGGTGGGTGGATGGTGATGGTGTGTACCTTAAATGCCGTGGACTGCGGGTTCCCGGCCAAGTCATGCAGATGGGTTTGAAAGAGCCAAAATGTCTGTACCGGCAATCAGAACCTATAGACAGAATACATATAGCTTTTGCCTCGTCCGCCGACCCCTCCTCGGCGGGCGGCGGCGGGATCAAAGGCTCTCTCCCGGCGCGCTTCATACCAATAGTGCACCATGCGCCGACTGTTCGCACAGCTCGAATATGAAATCCTCCAGGGCGACCGACTGCATATTCTCGTTGCTCACGAGCAGGTGGCATAGCTGCGGCAGGAAAAACTCGATCTCCTCATAGCTGAACTCGCGTAGCTTCGTGCAGAGGAAGTGGTGGATTCCGATGTGGTCGGCGTAGCGGCTGTGTGGTGCAGTTCCACGTATATAAGCATCTTCTCCTCATCGGATAGCATTCTGTGGAGCGAGAGGGGAGGAGGCTGAATGGACGGTGCGAGTGCTAGAGGTGGTTTCCTTACGCCAAGTAGGTGACAGTGTAGAAAGGGTCATCGCTGAAGTGCTCGGAATTGATGAATCTATACAGCAATTGAGACATGATGGCTGTGGTGGTGATGTGGCGGTGGTTGATCACCAGGCAGCGGACGGGCGTCAGAGAGCTTTTGTTTGACTGCCAGGACGGTAGCGGAGCGGAGGGCGTCGGAGAGCGGAGAGCGGAGGTTGCGGTTGAAGAGAGTTGCTGTGTGGTCTGTAAAGTAGAATTGTATGGTAGGTAACTCGTCGGGGGTTAACTTGCTAGCTCGGAAGCCGGGCGACTGCCGTGGGGGCGAGGAGATGCGGAGGTGGAGATGAAGAAGGGTCTCGTCTGCTATGGCGTCGTTGACTGCCAGCGTGAGGAGTATCAGTGTTCCGGCGCGCCGAGGGAGATCTTGCCAGCTGTTTCGCTTGGTGGTTCGTTCGTGAGGAGAGGCTCCTTCGTCTTCTTCGGGCCTTTCTCGAGAGAGGGAATGCGGAGAGGCGCGCTAGGATGGAGATGGAATCAACAACGTCGCCGCATCGACAGCCACAACCCGACCCAAGACAAAACAAGAATACTGTCGCTTTTGCTCTTACTTGGCAACAGGCCACAGGGTCCTTTCTTTTTTCATATTGGCTACACGCAGGACGACGGCCAAATGCGCTCCCTTCGAGATATCTATTTGCCGGATGGAACGGAAAGCTCCTGACAGAACACGGCGGCTGCGGGGATGTGCTCCTCGGTAGTCTACTCTAAAGGGAGGTGGAGACGATGAGCATTTTACTTGGCGGTTGGCAACAACCTCAGAAGAAACAATCCCGGGGGCACCACCATAAGCCTTAAGGAGGTGGGTACCTATGGTCTTTCGATCCACTATGTAACTACAGCTATTGCAATTTCTATTGGGATCCGAGGATTCCCGCGGCCGGCTAGGGCATTAATGCCTAGACAATTGCCGCTGAAACTGAGACACGCGCGGTGAATAGCCCATAGCAGTATGAGCCCGAGTTCAAGGAGGACCATTTTGCCAGAATTTGGTCGCCGAGATTGTGAATTCGGTCGGCATCCCAAGCGTTTAGAGGTAGAGTGGTCGGGGATAGAGTGTCGTCAATCGGCTCATTACCAGTCACGTCACTCGTCCGTCCGACCGCCGACCGGGACCGGGCCGACGCAACCCTTCTTCAACATTTGCGGGATTAGCCGAAGACAGAGATCCCCTTGCTGCAACCTCCAAGGTACACATATATGAACAGTTTTGTACGCGTATACATCAGTATATCTAACAGTTGATCTGCCCCTTTTCGACACTGCAATCCAACGAAATGACCATCGCCTCCTCTCAATCCCACGAGTTTACCCACTGGCGTCCATCTATCGCTCGCGACGCACAGCCTCCACGATATCAGCCGAAATCTCCAGCAGCCCCTTCCTCCTCGCGGCCTCCTCCGTCTCCAGAAACATCGCCGCAATCGGCCACGCATGTACCGCCTCGTCCTGTCTACTCAGCACCCTCCCAACGCCCGCCAGACGCTTACTCAGGCCCTTGATGCCCGGGACAAACACCTCTTCGGAGCCGTAATAGAACCCCACTCCTTGCCGCGGCATGCTTTCCGCCCACAGCGCGGTGTCTTCGCAGTCGCCGGGAGAGATCAAGGGGTCACTGGGGTCCTCCGATCCGGCGTATTGAAGGCCGTAGGCGTTCAGCACCTCCGAGTCGAGGAAGTCGCTAGCCGTGTTGATGTTTTTATGCGAGACGAGGTGCGTCCATGGTGAGATCAACGCGGCGAACAGCGGCTTCTCGCTGCGCGCTTTGGTGCCGAGGTAGAGGAGCATACTCAGCACCAGCAGCGCACCGGCACTGTCCCCAGAGACAACGACGCTTCTGGGATCCTCGATGCGCGAGAGCACGTGGTTGTAGCCTGCGAGCGTCTCGTGAAGTTGGAACGGATAGCTTTCGTCTGGCACGAGGGTATACTCCAGCGTGAATATTGCGGGGTTGTGGAAGCCGCTAGACTTGAGGACGCTGACCCACGTAAGGAGGAATTCCAGGTAAAAGTGGCTGCTTCCCATTGCTAGGCCGCCGCCGTGGATGTAGTAGATTACTATGTCCGGTCGTGCGTCAGGAGAGTATGATATCCAGAGGCCCTTGAAGTCGCGCTTTTTCACTGGGAGATTGAAATCAGTCGCGGCTTCTATTGAGAACGTACACTGAAATACCGCACCTCATTGATTTCGACCCAGGTGGGACATGATCTTCCAGGGATAAACCCGGAGCGCAACATGCGGAACTTCAGGTACGGCACCGCGATGCCTTTACTGAGGAACACCCTGCCGACTGCGTTTGTCAGGATGCGGGTAATTCAGCGAAGCAAGACATATCACGTACCATCACTCGGAATATTCGTAAATGCCCAGCGGATACATCTGACAGCCACATCCTGGAATACGGTGGTGCGCCGAGTATACCGCATCTGCAACTCCTTTGATGTGAAGCATCTCTCCTTCAGAAGCTGGAGTGGGAGCTTGATGACTGCCGGCCGGGTGAGTTTATGTACTTGGACGCAAAGTGGGAGCTAGGACTCACTCAGAAAAGGGAGAGCAGATAGGCCACAGCGGACAATTTTGACGATGTTCAAGTCGCGCAAGAGGTAGAACAAGAGGAAAAATAAGAAGACGGCGATATCGAGAAACGACACGGGTCTCAGCAGCATGGTGGCTGCTGTCGCGTAAGGAGTGACAATCGAAGTTCAAAGCACTGTTGCAGAAGGAAGTACCGTCTATGTATCTAAGCACAAAGTACCTATTCAGAGTAGTCTCGCGTTGGACCCTGGCGGAAGTGAAATACTGGGCTGCAGCCGCATCTCGGAACTTCGAATGGGGGGCTTAGGGTTCCAAGATAATCATATGGGGACAGACCCGAACTCCAAGCTCCGAAGCTTAGGGGTTCCAAGCCTTTCTCGGCATTCACGTTGCATTGTGCCAAGCTCGGCGCGCATATCTACTCTACATATTGGGACAAAGTTCCTCCGTTAACGTGGCGCACCTCACAGCCAGACGTAAGCCACACCTTATGGCTAACTCAAGGATATTGCAAAGGTACTCTGCAAGTACCATTAGGTATATGAAAGGCGAATCACTCTGGCAATAACGAAAGTAGTCCATACCCAAAACTTCACCTTCAACCTTACCAGAAGCCGATACCACTTAGAACCGGCTGGACTCGCCACAGTGATCGTTGTGGTGTATAGCACTCGCCATTGTATAGTTCTGGCACCTCATTGCCATCTAGAGTAAGGCAACCATTGCTAACTGCCATGGCAGAGTTGCTTCAATGGAGTCCATTCAGACGAATTGATGATAATTATAAAGAGAAGTATTTCATTGCATAACCAGATGTTCCTTCGAAACTAGTCCTTTATATAATTTCTTAGAGAAACAGTATAAGGCCCCAAGCGGGCATATTCACGATGTATCCCATCCTTCCATGGTTCCTACGAAGCCAATGCTTCCAAAGTGTTTGTTATATCGGAACCATTCTAGGTAGTAATATTCACTGAATATCGCTCGTTGTGGGTCACCAACTTGCACGTTAGCCGCGAAAAGGTGGGCACCAAGCATCGTGAATGGTAGCGGAGCGGAGAGCGTACCATCTGAGCTTGGGGAGAAAGATGAGAGGCTTCATGGCGAGAGAAGATATGGTGGTCAGGGACGATGTAAATCTAGGACATCGGCGGGTTCCTGGACAGGATCGAGGAGGACACGGAAGTGGGCAGACGAAATTAGTTAGATACGAGTATGAGTAAACCAAAAAAAAACAGAAGAATATTAGTCACAAAAATTGGCACAGCTCGGGATATAGAAGACCGTTTGTAAAAAATAAAAAAGAACTTACTGTTACGTGGCTAGGTAGGAGGCTGGAGAGGCATGGTTGCTGCACCGAGCCTATTATCAAGACTGCAAATAGGCGTGGGAACCACTGGGAAGAGTGCGTAGAGATTACCATAGCCTAGTTAGGCTACATACAATCGATGACAAAACAGCTCAAAATTGGTTGTAAAAGTTTGATTTAAGGTACGATCCATTGCGGTTTCTACAAGACCGCTTATAGCAATAGCTTCGCCGGCTCCGTGTCAGCCCGTATCCGCCCTGAAAGGGGCCAATATGTTTGAATGAGCTTGACTAGGGTGCGGCTTGGATCCCACCGGATTATTGTATTGCAGCCATGGTATGTGGCCGAGTGCTTCGCCGATGTTCGGCGAGAGGTGTTCATCTGGTTCGACCACTATATTTCGAATCTTGGATGGCAAGAATACCACTCCGCATGGCGCCGAGCAATTTTCGGTTCTATCGGCTTTGTGTCGAATGATTTAGGGACGGCCCACTGGTCCTCATGGAGTGTTTTCTTTATACCAAAAGATGACTGTCGGCGAGATTCAGCTAGGTACTCGGCAGTAGCCGTCACTAACTAGCCACCACTAGCCACGCTTAGAAAAAAAAAGCCACCGTTAGATATGACTTTTACCCTCGTCACATACGCGACAATTCGTGAAATAACGTGACTGTCATATTGTTGAGACCCCTAGTTCATTGAATGGTGATTACAGTAATGTGGCCTTCAAGCTCAGAGGTGCCATTCTGTCTGTCGTGTTCCCGGCGGTCCGGGTATTCCTTCAAGCTCTAGGTATTCCATGCATGACGTGAACGTCAACGCGAAAGAAAAGAAAAGCCAAACTGCGGTACAATAACTCTCATCCTCCTCGATCACACCTAATAGCTAACCTGCAACCATCTTGCATCACGACAGCAGAGCGCAGAGAGCTCTTCCTCGCCACCATCTTTCGGTTGAGGACGCTAGTAACTATCCGATCACGAATCTTCTCTCTCGCACAGATTCGAGGAGTCGGCCATTTACCCGGCATCCAATCGATTGACTCTGTCGTCGTCAACTTTCGCCGAAAATCGTCACTCACATCCAACTAAGGTTAACCTACCAAGAGACCACCGCAACATCACACCACGCACACGACCACTCCAACCGCCATCACCATCACAACCACTACCACCACCACATCTTCCTCCTCCTCCCACATCTCCACTCGCGAAAAGTCACACGCGACATCGACACAACACCTCACCTCGCAGCAAGACACTGAAACGCTCCTCCGATCGACTATCTTTCAAACAGCACCCCGAGAAGCTGAGAATACTCTTTCTTCACTATTCGCCCCATTCTCAAGGAGCGGTCGCAGTCGTCGCTTCTGCTTTTCCGAAGTCTTTTTAACTTCGACCCACCACAGCCTTAGCAACTTCGACTCGCCACAGCCTTAGCCCAACATGGTGACAACCACACTAGAAGCAGCACAGAGGTATATACCCGATGCGCGCCTCTTCCTGTTCCCACGTTCCCAGCTGATATGTCCAGTTTCCCATTACCGGAAATCCCGGTGAAGCTGCGATGTAATATTTGCAGCGGTCTTGCCCGCGGCGCTGTACGACTACCCTGTTGCGAACAGGCGATCTGCGATACATGTGAGGCGCCTCCGAAACCCTCGACGATAAATAAACTTCGTGAGACTAATGTCTATCTCGATAGGTCGTTCCAATCTTCCCGGTGTTTGTCCTGTATGTGATCATTCACCATTGAATGCCGACGACTGCAAACCAAATTCCGCCTTGCGGACTACAGTCGCTGTCTTCTTAAGGACGGCCGAGAAGAAGCATGCGCTCGCGCTGCAGAAGGAACAGAAGGCTACACAGCAGCAGCAACAGCAGCAACAACAGAAACCGCCAATCCGAGAGCCTACACCCACTCCCGAAGTCAAGGCCCAGGAACCACAATCGACAGAAAATGCGCCTTTGGTGACTGCCGAAGAGTCATCAGCGACATCGGTGGCGAACCCTAACACGCCGGTTGCAGGACCCGCAATATTGGCGCCAACAAATGAAAATCAACAACGCACTCCCGGATCCTATAAGGTCTGCAAATTTGTTCCCATATTACAGGATACGGGCTAATGATTTGCCTTTAGCCCGACACCGATAACTCTCCATCAGGAAGCACCGAGGCGACCGACGTGAAAACCGGTGCCAACGGAGTCGTACCACAGATGGAATACAACCAACAAAATGGCTGGTTCAACGGACAGCAGATGAACAATATGGGCCAACCCATGTTCCCGGGCCAAGAAATGGTCGGAGCCGGATGGGGATACAATCCTATGCAGGGCGGTTGGGACAACGGATACGTCAATGGCATGATGGGTAAGTTTTCTATTCCGAGCACGAACATTCGGGGTTCGCTAACTCGATTTCAGGATATCCGATGATGAATCCGATGGCCATGGCACAATCGGGATATGGTGGGGGTAACTTTGGAAGCATGGGCGGCGTTGGAGGGTTCAATGGACAGAATGGAGGGGACATGGGCGGCTGGAATAATGGCTGGAATGGTCAGAATAATATGGGATTCAACCAAGGGATGGCTATGCGTAATGGTGGATACAATTATGCTCCGTCTGCTGCGGGTGGATATAATCACCAGCAAGTGCCATCGTCACAACAATATCAAAATCCGCATTTTCAGCGGCAACAGAACATCCCGAGAGGTGGTGGTTTCACTGGTGCCACCGCAGGAAGCCGTCCTTTCAATTCTTCTGACCCTATTCAGCAGCAACAATCGCAGCAGCAGCGACAGCGACAGCATCCGTCGCAGGAAGGTTCGCAGGAAGGCCAGCAGGAGCAAGCGCAGGATGGTCAACAATCTCTGGAGCAGGATTCCACACTTCAGGGTCAGATTGAAGGTATTGGAGAGGCGAAGGGAGGTGCATCATCCATCACAGGTGAAACTAAAGGAGAAAAGATCCCGTCTATCGTGTCGGGCGACCTAGATGACCAAGATGCCACAGCTGCCATCACCACCACCACTACTACTACCACCGCCACTACGGCTGGGATCGACTCGGAGGCTCCTGGGGAGACGGAATCCACCGTCCTTGCCGGTGCTGACAACGAGAACGATATTATCCCGGAACAAGAGCAGCAGGAAGGGAGCGGACTCCAGCCCATTTCCTCTGTCATCCCAATAACTCCCCTGCAGCCAGCTGAAATGTATCATCACGACGACTATTCAATGGGCGGAATGGGACAAGGATACCCAATGGGTGGTTTCCCACCATATGCAAACTTCCCAGTTAATAATGGGTTTGGTCCGCCGGGTGTACGCAATGGATTCCGTAACGGATTTGTGGGAAACAACAATAATAGAGCAGGATTCCGCGGCGGATTCAATGGTGGAATGCGAGGCGGCCCTGGTCACTTCGATGCTCCTCCTGGTCCCCCGATGGGAATGATGCCTAATGCGATTCCAGTCGATAAGATGATGCCGGGCGCTATTGTCGGGAAGGGCGTTGAGGGTGCACCTACGGGCCCGAAGGCTATGCGCGAAGGCAGGCCGAACCGGGGGATGATGCCGCGTGGTGGAGGAAGTTTCTCTGGCAGGGGCGGATACAATGGCGCTGGGTCGAGCTGGTCTAGGAGGTAGGAACACATCCCTGTGTATTGTTTGTTATGGAATTTAACAAAGCGTAGTATGTCACCGAACGACCGAACAGATCGCACTGATCGAGGCCGCTCCTACAGCCGCTCCCTCTCACCAGGCCGTGATCGCTCCCGTGATCGCTCCCGTAGCCGCTCCCGCCCGCGCCGTCGCCATTCCCCCACCGACCGTGACCGTGACCAGGAGAGAACTTCCATCTCCCCCGAACGCGAGCGCGAACGCGATCTCACTCCCAAGCGCGATGCCACCCCGGAGCCCACTGTCGCAGACGATATCCCCGCCTCACCTACCGCCGCTGGCGCAGGAACCAAGCGCTCTCGCTCCCCCTCTCTAGTGGCCAACGAGCGCGCTGGATCCCGCTCCCGATCCCGCTCCCGCCATAAGCGATCCCGCCGTCATGATAAAGAGAAGAGGAGTAGCGGTCATAAGAGCAGTCGGCACCATCGCAGCCACCGTAGCGGCAGGAAACACCGCCGCTCGAGGTCCAGGAGCCGTGGCGACCGTGTTGACTCTCCTGCGCGCGGTGAAGAGGACGAGGATGGTACCAAAGAGAGGAGACGTCACAGACATGACAGGGACCGTGAGCGAAGGCACCGAAGACACCGCCGCCACCGCAGCACGGAGAAGGATGGCGGCGAAGAGAAGAAGGACAAGGAGAGAGAGCGAAGGGTCAGCTACAAGTACGAGGATGAGGGAGACCTCGAGAGAAGAGCAGAGAGGGATAGGGAGGCGGAAAGATGGGTGAAATAGGCGGGTGTATGATTGAAGGGAGTATGATTTGGATTGGATTGCGAATGAGTACAGGCAATTAAGGTGTACTTTTACTACGTTACTTTACTACACGTTATGATTGATATGCTGGGCGACATACCATGGGGGGATGTGTTTTTTTGTTTATGATTCTTACTGCTATGTTGAGTTGCATTGGATACGAGGAAAGGTCATGTGGATAATAAATGAAGACGGATTCTCAACTCTGGGTCTCGGTCATGTGCATCACTCGTCAGCTGCCGATACATCTCGTCTGACGAGGTCCAGACTGATGGTCGGTACATCAGATAAAGGGACTCAAAATCAAGGAACAGATGAACTATGTAGCTTCATGGTGAATTTATTGAGCCGTTCAAAGAAGAAGGCTGGCTCCCTACTTCTATAGACTCCACTCCACTCATCACGTTTGAAAAAGCTTGCCGGAGGACAAAGCCTCAACGATTCTCTATTCCTCGGTAGATAAAAGCAGCCCACTTCTTCCGTACTTGCCACCATCTCCCAAACACAATCATACCTAACCACAAACAACCACAAACAACCACAAACAACCACAAACAACCACACATCACCAACATTCCCACCAACAAAATGTTTCAAGAAGAACAAAACGGTTCAAGAAGAATGAAGCTAGAACAGCGCCTCTCCAAGTTCCACACAGCCGTGAAATCCGCCACGTACCGCTGGAAATGTACGAACTGCGGGACCAAGAACTCGATGGCCACCATGGTGTGCGCCAACACCCGCTGCCTGCAGAAGTGTACCGAGCAGGATTTCATCAACCACCAGCGGCGCTGCGGCAAGGGTGTGGGTTTCGCAACTAAGGCCGATGTCAGGGAGGGCATCGAGTCGGAGGACGAGAGTGTCGCCAGAGCGGCCGCGGGCGATCATACTCCTTGGAATAGGCTTTGAGCCACGGGTCCGTGGAAGTCTTCTGGATTCTGGAACGCCGCTCGGTCCGGGGAAGGAACGGTGTTTTGCGAGATGCCGTTCCGGGACTGCTGGGAAGGTGAGTGATCCACTCGCCGCTTGCTCACGGCATCCACCCTGAACGAATCCGCACAGGAACAGAAATACTCGTTGAGTCTCGGTGTCGGTGGATCCTACTTCCGTGGCCAGACTCGAAATCCGGTTCCCATCGAGCTCTCGTATCTACCCCCAATACTGGCAGTGCAAATGATCAGTTTGGGGGCAAAGGGACCGTCGAAGTAAAAATTTGGAGGACAGGTATAATACTCTATAAGCAATGGCCACTGCTGTTGACTTTGCGGCGAGGAGGGTAGTTAGCACGCGGTCTATATATACGGAATAGAATTCTATATAAACAGAATAGACTTCTATATACACACACTAACCTTCTATATACACATGTAAATAAACTTCTATATACCCGAAATAAACTTCTACAAACACAAAACAAACTTCTCTAGTACCTACGCAATCACCCATAGAATGTATGTATGCTTCGACGGTCACGGGGACTCGTTGGGTCGTTCTGGAGTACCTAGAGTAGAGTAGAGTACAAATCTCCACCATCCACAGATGTAGTCGAGCCATAAGTAGGGACTCTACATACTCTAGTTTGTCTCGCACAAGTCGTAACCCGTTCTGGGCCTGGGCAGATTGGCGGCGCTAGCCTTCTCCGAGTAGGGATTGGCGCGGCGAGACAGGAGCCGCCGTGGCTGTGGCTGTGGCGGCTACCTGAAATCTCAAAAACTGAATACTTTCCAAACACGATCAACCCGATAGGTAAGTTGCTGTCTTTCTAACGTGAGATAGAACGAGGTGTGTGTGCTATTGGCCCCAGTGAACCAATGGATATACGGCAGAGGTGCTCGGATGAGGCTTGGAGGCACCGGCTTCGTCGATTTGCCACGGTAGTTAAGGGTGATGGGGTATATCCTCTTGCTGGTTCTTTTGCCTTTGAAATTGGGGTAGCTTTCTCTGTCTCATAATGCAGTGTTCGACCGTGGCCGGGGGTTAGAACTGGGTTTCCTTTTCCGGCGTTTGCACTGGCACCGGAGTGATGGCTTGTGAGTCGCATGCAGTCTGGTAAGGCATTATCTATGTGGGTATTATATTGGATCTAACTATGCCGTACAAGTACACATACACATACACAAGGAAGCAAGCCCAATCTAGTCCATCCGCCCATCTCACCCCCTACAACCGATCGGCAACATACGCTGCCGCCTCGCCACTATCATCCTCATACTACCCAGCCGTCAGCCACATTCACTCCGCACCCTAAGGGGCAGGAAGTACTTACATTCGCATGAGCATCCAGCGGGATCGGCAGGCCGTCGCAGATGAGATCTCCATCGTGGCAGAAAGTCTTAACGTTATTGTTCAACGAGCCGGGGAAGGCGTCTCCATTGTTTGGATCACCAAAGAGGACGATCGCTCCAATCTTGGAATATAGCGAGGTGGCCAGGAGAGCCGCAGCTTTGTGCGTTACTTGCGCACCCTGGCTGAACCCGCTGAGCACGATCTTGGAGCTGGGACACTGTGTCGATGCAAGCTTGACGCTCTTGGCCATGTCTTTTGCGCCCGCTGTGCTGCCGCCGATGAGGAAGTCCCCTGTGTGTGCAGTGGTTAGTCGACGGGTCGAGAAGCGAGCGGAAAGAGACGCAAACGTACAAACCGTAGCGGGGTAGTCATTGACTCCCTGGATTATCACGCGGCCCGGCTCGAGTTTCTCGAGGTCGATGAAGAACATGGGGCCGACATCGTCACCAACATTTCCTTCTTTGGTCAGCGGCGCCCTCGCAACACCCGTCACGGGGAAACGAACCAGGCTCAGTAGTCCCCCTTGCAAAGATGACGATGATGTCCGCGCACTTCCCCTCGTTCAGCTCGTTCCGTGTGGTCACGACGCCGGGAATCCCCTCATCGCTGTCTCCGCGCCGCCGCAGCGCCTCCTTCCGTGCTTGGTGGGCGTCGTGGACTGCCTTGAAGCTGTGCTCCAATGCCTCGGCGGGTGTGTAGGCGATCTGGCTGGGGAGATCTGGGAGGCCGGCGAGACGTGGGTCCAGCTCCACTGCCCGGGAGGCTGCGAGGAGCGGGAGTGCGAGTAGGAAGAGGCTGCGGATAGTGAGCATTGTGCTTGATCTGGAGATGGAATCGAAGGGACGGGACGTGGAAGTTTATATGCCTCCCTCCATTCCTCCCTCCCGCCCTTCCCTCCCTCCCTCCCTCCATCCCTCTTTCTTCGTCCCCCTCATCCAGTCGCTTAGCCATCGGTCCCGTGGCTAACCAGGAGCACATGCTTTGTACGTACGTACCGACATATCACACATACCAATCATCGACAGATCAGCCACTTGCGATCCGCGGGCACGGTATCGGCGGCTTCCGTAGCCAGCATCCTCGGCCATGCCAACTTCATGCGTGCCCATCGCCGGTCCAAGACTCCAGAGAAAAAATCTCTTTTGGCGGCCAAACATGCGCGACATACAAACGTTTGGCCAATCACAGTGCCGCGGGAGGGATCGTGGCAGCAGCGTGCAACAAGGTATGTACATATCTAGGATAAAATAATATTCCGATATGGGGGTTTGCGGAGAAGCGTCTAGATACATTCCTGCATAGGCTGTCAGAGCAGAAGGAGATGGAGGGGGGGGGGGTGTCACTCTGTTTTAGCGAGCGTTTTTGACTCGTCTGGGCACGGGAAACAGGGGCCGCCAGTTTATCCGATTGGCCAGAGCATGGCACGGACGCAATTCAGGCGCGGCGGTAAGTAAAACGGACTGGCGGGGGCGCGGTAGCGGGTCGGCGTTACCGATCGATGACCACTGATAGGTATCTGGAGCGCTGTACTGAGGTATGGCAGGGTAGAGTACACAGGAATGTCCGTTGACATCGACATCGACATCGACGTCGGTTCCTGCATGCGGACAATAGTTACTTATGCACTGTCGGCGCTGCAGGTTATGTATTCCTCCTAGGAGTTTTTCCTTTCTGCCAGTCCTACATACGTGCCTACGTACTCTACGTACGGAAACCGCCGCTCCCCAGAGCCTATATGTAGATCTCGTCCACCCCAGTAAATCAAGCGCAAAGCGGGGTTGCGTGTACATACAGTTACACTTTTTCTTCGCCTTTTGTGGACATGCTGTCCGCGATGATCCAGATGGGTAGGTGAACCGTGGGGTACGAAAAAAACTGGAGGGAAAACGATCACTAGACGTCGATGTCCACGTTGTGGTACGTTTCTCACGCGGAGGTGTCACGGTTCACGAACCGGTGGCGGATGGGCGCAACTGATACAAGTGGCAACTTGTAAGAACCGAGGGACGGGTGCTTGGAAGCCTGGCTGGTTCTTACCTAGGTATTTCCTTACGATGGAATGGGAGTATCATATGTACATACACAGCAGACATCGACATCGGACATGGTCTGGTGGCGAGGTCGGCCAACCGGGATAGTGCGTCATGCATAATCACTCATCTTTCCATTCTTCGCGCAAAATGCTCTGGAAGTAGAGTTTCCGTGGATAGCCCGGACATGTACACACTATCGAAGCATGTGTCGCCGATGGTTTTGATATGTACCTGCCTAGATTATGTACGCCTACCTACGTGTATTGTGTAAGTATGTTGATATGGAAGGAGAGCGTGTATAGTATTATAGTAGGTATTATATAGGCAGATTGCGTAGTGGAGCTCATATAGGTACTATAGAAAGTTTATTTTCCGTGTGTATATAGAACGAGTATATGCTACTATTCTCTCCGTAGTCTAGCAGTCACTGTTAACTTTCTATCTATCGATTAGCCACCTAGGCAGTCTGTTCAATATACACCCCCGCGGGGGCCCACGTGGATCCCCTGGCCCGGAAAGTACCACTCAGGTTAATATATCACACTGCTAAGCACGCAAACTACCTACCTACCATACACACTGCCCAGTATATACAGCGACGGAGATAGTTACAGAGGGGCTTTCTGGGATCCATCGCTGCGAGCCGCGGGTATCGGTGTCGGAAGTGATAGTGGGCTTCGGAGGGTAGTGCGTAGGTCGCGGGGAACGGGAGGGTTCTGTAGCATGTGTACATCCATGCCGTCACCGTGTCGGGTCGGATCAAGTCGGTATCGAAGTACCTATCGAAGCACGGCATCGCAGGCGTTGATTCGAGTTCACGGGCTTTATTGGTAGCCCCCGAACCAGTGTTCTCCATAGTCCAGTCCAGTCCGTCCGGACCCATGGACGGGACTGGACTACATACATCCAGTCCGTCCGGAGGTGTCTGTCGGACGGAATAGTCCACCGGTAAGGTCAGACGGGGCGGACTGCAGTCGATTGCAGTCCAACCCCGTCCTGCAAATTGGCGGAGGGGACGGACTGCTTTTATCCCGTCCTCCAAAAGGCATGGACGGGACTGGGTTTTTGCAGTCCGTCCCGTCCGGACTGCAGTCTGGACCGAACTATGGAGAACACTGCCCCGAACTCGGGAACTGGTCGTCGAGCTGGTTTGGTGCCTTCGAATCTTCAAGGGTATACAGTGCCCCGGAGACTTGGAGAGGATGTATGGAGGGATCGCGATCCAGCTGGCTCTTCGCTTGGCCTCGAGGCCTAGAAGTTGAATCTACTAGGTATATCGTCCGTCACCACTACGCACTCGCTGCGAGTTCCGCTCACCGACAGGAACGGGTGCACGGACTGCAGACGGGGTGGAGGGACCCGCTACCTGCAGCAGTATGGCATCCGACCTCTGCCACCACCATCGCTTGCCTACCTGAAACGCGGTATCTCCGAAGCCAAGTGGAGGGAAGCCAAGGGATGGGCGGACAACAGGATCACTCACAAGAAGTATCGGTACAGCCGGAAATCCGGCCAGCGACCCGACCCAAATCCAGAGATGGCCACCAAGCACCTCGCCTCGAGGTTCTACCAACTCAAGACAGGACACTGCCTCACCGGCCGATACCTCCAGTGGACGAAAAGCCGCCCGGACGCCCGCTGTGGCTGGTGCCGCTACAAGACACAGACCCGGGAGCACCTCTTCAAAAATTGCCCTGAATGGAAAAGTCAGCAAAAGACACTATGGGCAGAAGTCCGGAAGCAGACAAGGAGGGGCAAAGACCGCTTCAAAATCCGGGACCTCTTCGCAGACGAGCGATGCACCAAGGCCATGCTAGAGTTCCTCTTCTCCACTGATGTGGGCAGACGGATGCCAGAGGCCATGGAGGAAGATGCAGCGAGTGAGATATTCGAGTGGGAGCTCAGGGAGCGGGAGGAAAGGGAGGCGGACCTTAGGCGAGAGGAGGAGGAGGGTGCTGAGGTTGAGGTCGAGGAGGCGGGTTCGCGCCCGCTGTTCCTTCTCACACCTTCCTTCATGGCATCTGCCGATGAAGAGGCAGAAGGCGGCGACGAGGACTAGTGACTTGCGGTGAGGCAGGGACGAGTCGAGGGAGTGGAAGTTGTCTTTTTCTAGTTTCATTTCTTTGGTGCGCTCATACATCTTCGGGACAGGCCACGGCGGGAGTAGGGAAAGCCACATCGGACCGCCTAACGAAAGTTGGGCTAGACAGTGGCGAGAAAATGTGGGGGGGGAGCGAACGGGCAGATATTGCCATGATATAGGTCGCACGCAATCAATGAATGAACAAAAAAAAAGAACACGGACTGCAGACTGCTCGGTCACTGGCGGAACTGGACGTAGCGTATGGGATCTTTGCTAGCCGTCTTGACTGGACGGCATCACATGGATAAGCGATAGAAATGGTTCTCATGAAGGAGGATTGAACCTAGCAGATGGCCGTGCGAGATGTGCTACCTGGTAACCGGTGGATCGGGCGAGCTATGCTTCGATTCCCTGCCGCCGGTAGTGGATTATGGTATGGTACACGCTCGCTTCACCAAAGATATACACAGGGCTTCACTGAGGCATGCAGTGGCACACCGATGACCAAGTAATGGATATTCGATTCACGATATCTCATGCAATCCCCCCGCTCACCCCCAGCTAAATATTCATAACCCACCACCTCATCACCTCATCGCCTCATCACCTCATCACCCCATCACCTCCTCTCCTTAGCACTTCATCACTTCCTCTTCTCCCCACCTTCGCCTTCGCCGCCTCAGCGACATGCCGCGCCCACTCTCTGGGCGCGCAGACTCTGTGGCAACTGCAGTTCAGGCAGACCATGCTAGTCAGTGGAGTCTGCTGTCCGCACGTCGAGCAGGGCCAGAGGAAGGGTGCTGTTGTTGGCAGTCATGTTGTATGTAAAATTGTGTTTGTATTTGTGGATTTGTTATTTGGTTGGTCAGGGAGAAGATGAGAAGATGAGAAGATGAGAAGATGAGAAGATGAGAAGATGAGAAGATGAGAAGATGAGAAGATGAGAAGATGAGAGAAGATGAGAAGATGAGAACAGACGGCTGTTAGACAGACGGATGAGGGTGCAGTGGTGGGAGAGGGAGAGGAAGAGAGACTTTATGCCTCCTAGGATCCGGGCGTACATATTGAAAGACCGACTTCGTGAATCGTGATGCAAGCCGTTGAAGCGCGAGGGTTTCGGCTGGTCGCTGGCAACTGCGAGATGGAAAGTCGTCTACAACTCGAGTCTTGGAACTCATCTTGCTTCAAGATGCCGCTTGGAGTCCCGTACCGTACCGTAATCCTCTCGGCCGTCGCTGATGCGGGCGGGGAAAATATGCGGTTTCTCAAGTGATGAATACAACAAATTACTCCCGAGCCAAGCGTGCTGTTCTGATATGAAACGGCCCGACGGATTGCGCAGTGCTCCACCATCGGAGGCCGCTAGCTTGTGTCCGGATTAGCAGTGGTGAGTATCACTCATGCTCACTCGTCCAAACAGTAATTATTCGTTTATTTTCATAGATCTTTGAAGGCTACTACCAACATAAGCGGCTCTGGTGGCCAAGCGGTAAGGCGCATCACTAGTAATGATGAGATCCGCGGTTCAAATCCGCGTCAGAGCTTCTTTTTTTGCCCATCATTTTTGTTTTCCCCCATCCCGGCATGTACAATAGCAAACACATGAGGCTGAGGATGACAGCGGCTGTGGATGACATCAGCCATCATGGACGCATGACGTTGGCACGACGCCTTTACCGGTGAGACGGCGTAGAGTAGAGTAGAGAGTACTCTCGTACATGAGTGCTGCGCAAAATCGCCATGGCTTTTGGAGGTTTCATGGGATATGATGGCCACAGGGGGGTATTCGGGCTTTGCAAGCATCGTTCGATACGTGCAGCGAGTCGCGAGTCTGCGGCGTTGTTGTTGTTTATGCCCACATACATGTTCGGCACGACTGAGGACTCGACGTTCAGCCCCGGTCTTGGCGTTTGCTCTCTGCTCTGTATACAAACTTTCCCGCCGTGCGCGACGGGCTCAATCAAGTAGATATGCGCGGCTGGCACCAGATCGTCGTGCAGTCGCCTGCGCATAAGACTACTCTACCTCCTAGTAGGTAGCCGTCGGAGATGCGACTCTCTTTCTCTCCAGGTCTCTCCAGGCTTCCCGACCGACCGTCAACTCAGGTCCGTCAACTCAGGTCCGTCAACTCAGGTCCGTCAACTCAGGTCCGTCAACTCAGGTCCGTGTCCGTGTCCACTCACCCCGCTCGCGCAGGGGTTGGTTGTTGCCCGCTTGTCGGACTGCCTTGTACCTAGTGCATATCGGAGGCGCAACAACTCGCATCGGGATTCCAACCAGCATCCTCCATGCACGCTGCTGCTGTTGCCTGCAGCAGCCTGCGACGTGACGATGACGATGGCGGAAGGTTATGATGGAGGAGGGGGAGGGGGGGGGGGTTGATACTGGATAGTGGACAGTGGGCAATGGATAGGTGAAACCACCGCGACTCCGTAACTCTGCGATTCCGCGACTCTGCGACTCCGTGAGATGTTGAGGTGGATCACGGTGGATCACGGAGTGCGGCTCGGAGTACGGCATCTAGAGTACCTGTTGTACGGTACTCCGAGCCGGTGTGGGGAGGACGCGGCGGGGATATGTGTCTACGATCATCAATCCGTCGCTCCGTCTCATTCCCTAGGTATGTAGCCCACGAGATGAACAACGAGGATGGGGAATTGCTTCTTATTGTTGCGGGAAGGAGGCAAGGAAACCTGGCTGGGAATGGCTTGTTCCGTTCTGTTCTGCTCTTTTTTTGTTGCTCGCTCGGTCTGGTCCTTTATATGAGTGCACTCAGCTCAGGCAGCTCGGGCTGTTCGCCGGAACGGGAACGCGCTGGGTAAACAAGGCATCAACTCTAGAGTTCTTCAGAGGTAACTACGGTACTCACTCTAGATGCTCTCGAAGTAGGTAGCGGCCACTCTACTCCACTCTAGTGCCGGCACCTGCGACACCTCCGCAGAGCACGGCGGGAATGTCGTCTCCGGGGCACCGCTGCAATCGTTATGTACCCAACCGTTGCCGGTTTCCGGCCATCGAACCTCGCAGTCCGCCTTTCGTTTCGTGCGCTTTCTCCGAGCGCTCTCGTCTGCGAGGGAAAACGACTTTCTCGGCGGGCTAACCGGCAAAGCGGGGAGAGGGGGTTATTTTTGGATTTAGACTCGATAATCGGATAGACTCTACCAGCAACCAGAGTCGATACCCCATCTTGCGGAGCCCCTCCGCAGTTCTACATATCCTCTGTTCGTTTCCTGGTCCGGACCCACCGAGGCTCGATATCAGCCGGTGCCTGGCTGCATATTGCTTGAGCAGGAGGCTGTGAGGAACCTGGAACACCATCACAGCCCAGGCGAGAGTGGCTGGTGCGCTCTTCTTCGTCGGCCCCCGGATCTGGCTCGACCGTAACTAGACTATCGTAGTAAAGCCTACGCTTCTCTGATGATTGATCTTGTCAGTGAAGTGAGACTCCGCATGAAATCGTCAGCCCAGCCTGGCCAGCTTCATCACTGCTGCAGAGCTGCATGGCTCAGTGGTCTTTTCTGCAGCAACACACGGATGTTCTATTTACAGCGTCAGCTTCCGAGTTCCCAAGACCCAACTTCCCCAAAGCCCGCAACGCGAAGAGATTGCTGCATGCCACTCCGAAATACTGACTGGATGTAGAGGGTACCAAGAAACTTAGCCATCACTCTGGGTGTGCGATATGAACTCAAGTATCGGGGCCCACGTAGATGCGGTACCCAGCCAAGTACCCAACTACTCACATACCTATGCAAGGTGCAGCGTAAGTACGCTTTTAATCTCTCACCCGGCCACCATACCACCACACCACCACCACCATTACCATCACCTCCACCACCACCATTACCACCACCATTACCATCACCTCCATCACCAGCACACCACACGTACGCACGTACGTCTACTTCCTCGTCGCCTCCTCTCCTTCCGCTCGCCACCTTAAGTCCAGCGCCCAACACCCCTCCTCCCTCGCTCGCGATGCTCTCCCGCCGTCAAGACCCACCGTGCCCGTCCGGGAAACTGTACTGGACGTGCATCTCGACCCCGCAGGAATTCCACGGCTGCTGCGTGGGCAACCCATGCCACAACTCCGGCATCTGCCCGGACGACCCGAATCACCTGTCGACGTCGGCGCTCTCCATGCTCACCACCGCGACCCGCACGATCTCCAACATCAACACGCCCACGACCACAGCCTGGTTCGCCTCCTCGACTGGCAACCCCACGTCCGCGCCCGCGCCCACCGCCACCCCCGTCGCCGCCATCGTCGGCGGCGCCGTCGGCGGCTTCTTCTTCATCCTCGCGATCGGCTGCGTCTGGCTATTCGTTCTGCACCGACGGGGCAAGCAGCCATCGGGCGCGGGCAAGAGCGAGCACGTGCCGCTGAAGCTCGCGCACTCGCGGAATTCCAGCGTCGACACGAGCCAGTACTCGCCGCAGCCGCAGCCGCTCGTGTCCAGCTGGCAGAAGCAGGGACATCTCTCCCCGCTGCCGTCGCCGTATCTAGACTCTCCCGAGATGGCGGCCGGAAGTATGCATAAGCGCAGCTATAGCAATACTAGCTCCGTCCCTAGCCCGTATCTGCAGCAGCAGGAGGAGTCGCAGGAGATTGTGTACTCCGAGCTCCCTGCTGCGTGTGTGGATCCTGTGGAGCTCGCGGGCGACCCGTTGATGCCACAGCCGCAGCCGCAGAGCTTGGGCAGGAGGAGGGAGTGGAGTGAGGCGCATCAGAGGGATTGGGACGAGCAGAGGTTTGGGAGGAGCCTGGATGGTGGCACGCATGCGCAGCAGCTCTATGACCGGCCGGACGCATCGGAGGACGAGGACGATGCGATGGGCTGGCGGGATGATGGCCGTGGCAGGCGGCAATGATGAACTCTTCACTATTTCCACTATTTCCACCATTTTCTTTTTTCTTTTTCCTTGCATAGAAAAACGGAGTCGGCGCTTTTCCTTTTTCCTTATACCAATTCGATTTCTTCTGGTTTTTTTTGCTTCTTGTTTCATGTTTGTTTCTTTTCGGTGCTGCGGGATGGTTTTGGTTTTGGTTTTGGTTTTTGATTTTGTTTTCGGCAGGGAGGAGTTGGAAAATTGTTTGGGTTATCTCTTTTTCTTCTTCTTTTCTTTTGATTCTACTACCTATACCGAAGTACTCTACTGTAGTGCTGTCTACCTATCAATCAGTGGATCTAGATCTGGAACCTGGTATCATGAAGAGCACGTGAAGAGTGAAGAAGAATTATGGTGAACAAGGGGAAGAATGGTGATGAATGAAACGACGGCGAACAAAGAGATTCAGCTCACGGAAGGCATTGTCCTCTTCGAGGTGACATGAAAACATCCACGCTGTACAGTAGGGCGTAGGACCGATTCCGGACGGGATGTAAATCCACAGCATGATGCGAACCGTGAAACAACACCGGCCCGAATTGTGGGGTAGTTAGGTGCATATGCTGGCTGGCCCGCACCCCTCCCCAGACACAGAGCCAACCATAGCATATCACTCGTTATTTTGCGGACGGAGGGATTGAAGATTAGTCCAAGTCAGCGTTCCGTCATGTATAATATTCGGACCCGCAGGTAAAGCGTGGGTGGGTGGGTGGGACGAGTACGCTGCCGACTTTCCCGTATTCTAGCACTGCCTGTCCGGCTAGATCATAGATACTCCACCACTTCAGGACCCTGTCGTGGAGCACCCGGGCATTTGCTTTGTTCCTGGCGGATTGTCCCGTATGCAGCGTATACAGGAGAAACTTCTCCCCAATGCTTCCGCAGTGGTCGCCAATTGTGACATTGTGTAGGAGTTGGGGGCCGCATCGCGTGCAACTTGTCCGTCTCACGGTGCGAAGGCTCGCTGATCGAGCAGTAGGTATCTTATGCCGTGATATTCGTCTTCAAGACAAGAAGTCCTCCGGATACGTGCTGCGTATGTAGTCTTGCAGATCTGCAGCAGTGTCCTTGGAGGCGATTTATAGCAGTGTCAACTTCCCCGGTCCAACTCAGTACTTCTACCGATAGTTAGCTCGCAAGGATCCGGTGAGGATTATTGACACTTTGTTATTGGTAGGAAGATCGAACGGAAATATCCATCCAATCAAATTGCACCCTTCCTAGGTATGGTAAACCCGAGCTGATCTGATCGTGCCTTGAGGACGTTGTTATGGTCTGTGCATTTAGAGAGCCGCCCTTCATGTAGGAGGACACATGTACACCAGTCATGAGCTGGTGTACTTGCATACCTAACTCATACAAGAGCATCGAATTGCAGAGTACTTTTAGCTGCGTAGTCGCCATTCTAATCTAGGTAGTTGTATCGTACTTCATCTTGAGATCAACCATGAAGTATGATAGGTACGTCATTATCACTAGATCAGTGGGCAAATCTCCGTATGTGCGTATTCCGGTATAGGAGTTCATTCAATTTGCATGGTAGAAGATCCAACCAATGTAGCGGATCTCGTTGAGGCTGTCGTGTAGCTGTGTAGACCAACGAAAGTTCTGACTGTCGTCACGCCAGCATCGGGCTGCTCATGTTCATATTCGGGATTCGCCACCCAAGACATTTCGTGATGGCGATAGGTATCGCTGGTGTGGTCTCCTTTGTTCCAAAGCAATCGGCGTTTGTAGTCTGATGGCCCGCCCTTCGTGATTGCCCCTCCGGCCGAAGTGGTATTATCGAATGGTTTCTTTTGTTCGGCTTAGACTTCCACGTGCGGAAAATCGGAATGCTATCAGCATTCAAAAATGCTCCATGAGTTCGTCGTTATGAATCGCTGCTTTCGTTTCGGAGGTAAAGACCCGTAGGCTGTAGCGAACCCAGGTGCTTGATCAACCATGCGGCTGTCGCCCTGCCATCGCTGGTAACTAGCCGGGAAAGCTTCAAGTGCTGTAGGTGATCGATGTTTGCGATGATAGTATTGGCAACGCGGCGTGGTGGAATTGCAGGGTTGTAACTTGTTATGTGCCGGAACTTCCGGAACTGCCGGAACTCCAAATCTACATAACCTACCGGTAGGTACTGGTAGGTACTGGTAGGTATGCCAAATTGCCAATCCGTTGCCTACCAGGTAGGTACCTAGCTTGCGGGCCTGCATGGAGTGTCAATCGGACATATGAGCTGCATCAACTTCAACTTTTAAGTGATCGTTTTTTAGGAAGCTGCGGTGGGTTTTCTTGAGGACCAGCTAGTACTCTAGCCATCGGGGATTCTGGAAGAAGGGGGTAGTTACTTAGACAGTGCACCGTCGAAAGTAGAGGTTGGTGGTTTTGTGATTTATCCCTTGCAAGGAGATATTGGTGACTTCACTGATGAGGCGGGGTCTTGATGGAGCAGGTACAAACAGCTTCACGGTACCGTATCAGTTTGATCACTATACAGGTAAAAAGCCAGGTTTTTAATGAAGCTCCCGTGTCGTGGGAGTAGTAACATGTATCCCAAAATAGCCATGATCTGATAAGGCCGAATGCTATGATGATTAAACAAAAACAAAAACAAAATAACTATCCCAAAAACATCAAAATAAATTCGCATCTATTTCCAACCCGTTTTGATATCCTCGGGCAACCCAAACCGATAACTCTTTTGCATCTCGTAGACACTAAGGGCACTCTGGCCCTTTTGTGTGACGACTGCAAACCTCCCCCTCTCACGGCCATAGCCGTCCGCAACATCTCCAGTACTCTCGCCAGCTTCTGGAGCTTCTCGGTATTGGTGACCTCCCACTTCTTGAGCCACTCAGTCTTCACCACATCCCGCTTCTCGACCTCGACGATATTCCCGCCATCCTCGTGGTACCCAATGATCAGGATCGGCGTGCGCGAGAACCACAGCTGCTCTGCCTGCTTGATGTACTTCTTCCCCTTCGGCCGCGACTTCAGCTCGACGATGTTCTCCTCGGGGGCCAGGACCCCACCCGGCACTATTCGCACGCCCATGGGCGCCACAAGCACCTCCCGGGGGAGATCTAGCTCCCCCTCCTCCACGGCGGCCGCCTGCACGATCGTCCAGCCGATCGTGTGCAGAAGGCTCTGCGCAAAGATGATCCAGCCGAGGACCCGGTGCATGAAGTTGAAGTGCTGGTACGGGATTCCGGTGATCAGTGAAAAGATGTTCTCCCGCATCGAGAGGATCAGTATCAGCGGCGTCAGAGCGAAGGCGAGCGAGCCGACCCGATTAGACCACTAGCCGAGTTCAGTACGCTTCTTGTTGGGTTCCTGGAATACTTTGTTGTACGTCCCGCCGATAAAACTGTTCTCGCAACGGTCAGCCATCGGTAGGTACTCCACGCTGGAGTAGAAGAATCGGGGCACAAACGAGAATATCGCAAGGTAAACCACCACCATAACCATCACCGTAATCTGAACCCTCCCCTTCCTCCCCGGCGGCCGCCTCCTCCTTCTCCCCGGCGGCCGCCTCCTCCTTCTCCCCGGCGGCCTCCTCCTCCGCAATACACGCATCGACCTCGAAGCGCACCAGCATCCTCAACCCTCCGGGCGTATACTCTACCGCACGGCAATGGGTCACACTCTCCCGGGAGCACTCTTGTCTCCTTGTGAACCTCCGCTCAAGACTCTTGCCATACCCCTCATTCGCGGGGCCCCAGCCCCTTCCCTGCGCCGCTAGCAGTAGTAGGGTATTCGCGACCACCTCGGCGTTGATCTGGAACTCGGCCGCGTCGCTTCCCAGGAACACCAGCAGCTCGCGCAGCGAGTGTCGGTCCGTGATGATGTCGAAGGACCGCAGAGAAAGCGTGGGCGAGTGATGGGTAGTGCCCGGAAGAGGGGTTCTAATGGGCAGGTGCGGAAGTTGAGCCGTGCGGGCGGCCATGGGTGGGTGGGGTCCTGGTCCTTGTCTGCTGGGATCCGCGTGGGTAAAGGCGGTGGCGCCCAGATGGGTGGTGAGCCTGTGGAGCTGTTAGTTGAGGTGCTGAGTGCTCGAGGAAGGGAGGTACTACATACGCGGGACGACGATGGTGTTCCGCTAGTTCGACAGGATGTCGTATGAGGTGAGCACCTCCGCCTGCTGCTGCGAAATGTCGCAGCCCGGGCCGTGGTGGATGGACTCGCGCTCGATGCCGGAGATTCCCAGCTTCGCACGGCACAATTAGTGCCACTTCTGCCGCGCGGAAGGGTTCCGAGTAGTCCGAGATGTCGACTCGAGCGTGCTAGGCATCTCTTTATGGATACGTGATGTTTCCGAGTGTCGGATTATTGTTGAGGTTGGATTGGCAGGAGTAGGTGAGTTGAGAGAAAGATGTTGTATGATGTAAGAAAGAAAGAAGTGTGAGGGGGTGGGTGACATGTGGGTTTTATGGGGAGTAGCTAAGCAGTTACCCTGGCGGCGGCGAATTCAATTGCACGCCCCACGCGGGAGGGCAGGGACACGGGAGCCTCACGTCATGCACTCACTCGGTATCGGTGGTAAGAAATGAAAGGAAAGGTTTTGAATTTTGTAGATAGGCAAGGGCATGTTCGGGTGCTAGCCAGCTGCATTTTCAAAATTCGCGGTTTTGACGAGTTGAATGTTACCAAAGCTGCAACCGCAAGAAAACTCTCATCTCCGAGCCCCCGATGGCCCCGTTCGGCATCCCAGATGTTCAACAGCACGCCGCACTTTTTCTGACTACAGGGGGCTACCTATATACGCTGGTATCAACTGGTGGTTGTGCGTAGAGTTGATTTGCATGATACTGTGGCTCAGTCGACAATGTGCAGTTTCTCCAATTGTTGACTTGGGGTGGTGTGCCAAACAATGACCCATTGCCCGGAAATTATGGTAGATTCGAAATTCAGTTGGTCTAAAACATAATCCACCGGCAGGTCTTGGGTATACCATATTACCAACCCTTTGCCCGCCAGTTTCGAGCCCGCATGGGGGATCACTCGGATAGGTGGGCTGGATCAACTTTCAAGTGATCGTTTTTTTGGGAAGCTGCGGGGGGTTTTCTTGAGGGCCAGCTATTACTCAGGCCATCGGCGAGAAGGAGGTAGTTACTTAGACAGTGCACCGTCGAAAGCAGAAATTGGTTGTATTGGTGGTCTTATCCCTTGCAGGGAGACATCGGTGGCAGAAAGCGAGGCAGCGGCTGAGGCAGCGGTTGTGTGTGACAAGCGAATAGGAGCAGCGATGGGTCGCCGCATTGAGCTGGTTATCTGGGCTGCAGACAGGATTTAGAACTTGTACTCGGCATAGGCCAGATAGGTTGCAGGAAATATGAAGAAGACCTAAGAGAGCTGCGGTATGAAGCTGTTTGCAATTTTGGCTTTTAGCAAGGTTGGGTGTGCACTAAGTAGCCTAGGTAGAGTACACGGCTGTGTTGGTGAGGCGAGGTCTTGATGGAGTATCTTCATCGGCCATGGTGATTGTTTTCTAGAATATAGCTGGATAGGTAGGGCTGGTTGTTGTTTGATACTCAACGTTGGTGGTGGGGGAGGGTGGGTTGGAAGTGAGTGGTGGTGGTGGTGGTGGTGGTGGTGGTGGTTGTAATGAAGAAAGAAATGTGAGAAGAAGAGTGGTCGTGTTGACGGAGAGGCTAGTCCTTCAACTATCACTCGACACATCACGTGTCACAGCGTTGTCTTCTTGAAGAGCATGTAACTAGCGTGTTTCTTCACCCTAGCAAGTCGCGTCTCCAACAGCGGTAGAGTGATCGAACTCCACCAGCCATCACTACAATGCCGTCAGCAGGTTTGCCCCTCACTCACCCGCTCTAGAGCTGTAGGAACTGGCACTGACGTTGAGAAGCGGATACAATCCGTGTTCTGATCGCCACAGATTCCCATGTCGGCTACAATGAGCGCGATCCCATCCGTGGTGATGACTCCTGGCGGTCGTTCGACGAAGTCATGGCCATCGCCAAAGACCGTGATGTCGACATGGTCCTCCTCTCCGGCGACCTATTCCACGATAATAAGCCCTCGCGCAAGGCTATGTATCAAGTCATGAAGTCCCTGCGGCAGAACTGCTACGGCGACAAACCATGCGAGCTCGAGATTCTGAGCGACACCAGTGCGGAGTTCCAGATGGCTGGCGGACACGTCAACTACGAGGACCCAGATATCAACGTTTCCATTCCCGTGTTTTCTATCCACGGGAATCATGATGACCCGTCGGGGGTATGTTGGTTGGCGTCTGTAGCTCTTCCGGGCCAGTTTCATAAACTAAAGTGGAGGCTGCTGCACGTAGGAAGGTCGTCTCTGCGCACTCGATATCCTTTCCATCGCGGGTCTGATCAACTATTACGGCCGCACTCCCGAAAATGACAATATCACCATCAGCCCAATACTCCTTCAGAAAGGAAGAACGAAGCTCGCGCTCTACGGCCTCTCTAACGTTCGTGACGAACGTCTATTCCGCACTTTCCGGGACGGTAAAGTCAAGATCGAACGTCCGAGTATACAACAGAAGGAATGGTTCAACATGATCTGCGTGCACCAGAACCAGTAAATTCCCACCACCTGCCAGCCAATGTTTCACAAGTGCAATTGCTGAACCTACTAGCCACGGCCACACAGAAACCGGCTACCTCCCCGAAAACTTTCTGCACAACTTCCTGGATCTTGTCATCTGGGGGCACGAGCACGAATGTCTGATCGATCCTCGCGTCAACACAGAGATGGGCTTCAGCGTGATCCAGCCCGGCTCCTCCGTAGCAACCTCACTGTGCGAGGGCGAAGCTGTGCCGAAGCACTGTGGCATCCTGTCCATCGTAGGCACCGAATTCAAGCTCGAGAAGATCCGCCTCAAGACTGTGCGGCCGTTCGTGATGCGCGAGATCGTCCTCGCCAACGAAAACGAAATGAAGAATGTCTGGAAGAAGGCGAATAACCGAACGCAAGTTACACATTTCCTGTGTCAAGTCGTCGATGAGCTCATCGAGGAGGCAAAAGACGACTGGCTGAAGGCTCAGGACGAGGAGGCTGATGAGAGTACGGTACCCCTACCGCTCATCAGACTGCGGGTGGAGTACTCTGCGCCGGAGGGGAAGTTCGAGACCGAGAACCCGCAGCGCTTTTCGAACCGTTTCGTGGGCAAGGTTGCGAACGTCAACGATGTGGTGCAGTTTTATCGCAGGAAGACCGTCACCCGCCGTACGAAAGCGGGCGAGTCGGTGGAAATCGACAGCAAATCCCTTCTCGAGGAGTTCAGGAACATCGACGAGATCAAGGTCGAGAACCTGGTAAAAGAGTTTCTGGACAAGGCTACGCTCGAGATTCTACCCCAGAATGGGCTCGGCGATGCGGTGGGTCAGTTCGTGGATAAGGATGATCGCCATGCGGTCGAGACGTTCGTCGAGGAGTCGCTCAAAGCTTACATCACCAAGATGCGAGAGTACGATGATCTGAACGAGGAGAAAATCACAGACATCGTCACCGAACACAAGAGTTACCTCGAAGACATGTTCGCCAAAGGTCAAGTCAAGATCAAGAGAGTGCGTAGTCCCTTTCCGGACCCTTTGCTCTGTACTAACAAGCAATGCAACAGAGAAACACGAAGCTAAAAGAGAAGCCCGACAATTGGGACTCGGACATCGATGGTTCATGGGCAGACGAGCCCGCCGCACAGATCCGCGACGAGGATTCACTCGACAACGATCAGGACGACAACGAGGAATCCCCCGCCCCAGCACGTGGCGCCGCAACCCGCGGCAGAGGCCGTGGCCGTGGTCGGGGCGCAGCAGCAACTACCACCACAACCCGTAAACCCGCTGCACCCAGAAAAGCTCCGGCAGCCAAGAAAGTACCCGCAGCGAGAGGCCGCGGAAAGAAGGCAGCTCACGAATCGGAAGAAGAGGAAGAGGCGATGGATCTGGACGATGATGACGACGAGGAGCCGCCGCCACCGGTTACGCGGATTACTAGGAAAGCGCCCGTGAAGAAGCCGCCACCGGCTAGACAGACGCAGCTACAGTTTCCGTCGGCGACGCAGAGAAGCGTGGGAGAGAGCCAGGCTAGTAATTCTCTGTTTCATCGAAACGTTGTTGTTATCCCTAGTGACGATGAGGACATCGATGATGATGAGGAGGATGAGTTTGTGCCCATGCCCAGTCAGCGGTCTAGGAGGAGGCAGTGAGTGAGGAGTGGATGAGATGTTGTCATAGATGGAAAGTGCTGTTTGGATGTCATATCATGGTCGGTAGGAGCGGGTGTTTTTCAAGATGTTCATTTGTCATTGGGATCTACAGTGCGCTTGGGTGATCCCATCGACATCAAGTCTTCACGATGTGATGTGATATTCAATCGCGGGGAATGATGAATTCAAGGAAGAGAGAAGCGCAAGGCTCTAGATCCGCACCCCGAGTCCATATGTATCATTCCCTTCGCTCTGGATCCCACTGTTTGTCAACAGACAGACAGACAGACAGCAAAGTTCTTCCTCCAACGTAACGCCTGGGAATTGGATCGGACGCTCTCAAGTGATGTGATGTCGCCTCCCGGGCTTCCATGCTGAACTCGCATCTACTAGCATTTGAAATCCGCTTCGCCGGAAGCAACGAATGCCACCCCTCACCCTCCTACCTAGGTACATCTTTCACATAAATAAGCACGTAGAAATACCTGCCACTGCCCACTGCCTACCGTTCTAGAGCTCACTCGTATTAGTATTCGGATCCGCAAGGCCCACCCATTCCTCCACGTGCGCGCGGGGGAAGGGGGTGGGAAGTGTCGACGCTACATATGTATCGCCAACGGGTAGCGGGAGATCAGCGGGCAGGCAGGGGACAGCCGTATGTAAGAGTAACTTCCCGCCGCCGACGGACGGGCCATGCAGGGGCCCCCGGGATATCGGAATGGGGTAGTTTCTGGCACCTGGCAGCACGGTTGCGGTTGAAGTTGTGTTCGAAGTTGTGTTCGGCGGCGGCCGTTGATTCCTGGAGTTTGGAGTTTAAAGTTTGGTGAAGTACATAACACTCGCCGCACACACAACGGCTACTGCGCAGGAGTAAGTGCTAGGACAGTTTCAAGTTTCCCCATGGACTGCTGGCCGCTGTAACGCGACGGTGGACCGTGGGAGCCGTGGATAGACCATTGCAGGCGCCGGAGCACGTGGATGTGTGTATCTATCCTGCACCAGTGCACCCCGGATGTGGCAATGGGCTGGCACTGGCTTGCGCTGTGGTGGCCCGTGCGGATCGGAGACTCGACATCTTGCGACGTGAGTCGCCAGAGAAAGTGTGATTCATGTTCAGCGATGTTCAGCGAGGTGAATGGTTTTGTTTGATCATCCCGAAGGTCAGCTCATGGAGCTGGAAATTGGAAAAGGAAGGTAAATAGGAAGTAGAAAAGGCGAGTGATTCACAATGCACGCCTTGTCATCTTGTGCACTCTAGATCTCCCGAGTCCTTACGTGTACTTGTACAAGCGTATGGCAAGATACTTAGGCTTTCACGGTCGCTCCCTTGGCGATCACTTTATTCAGACGACCACAACTCCACATCACGGAAAGAAAAGGCTTGAGTTCCCATCACTACCCGGCGGGTTTCAAGAGAATATTCGGAATCGAAGAGACGGCACCATTTCGCCGTTTAGAGTTGATTGCCTCTAGAAGATCGCACTGGTGTTCCCTCGCCCTTCCTCGGCCGAGCTGGGTTATGTAGTTACATCCAAGCTTTTGAGCAACCCCACGGGCCACCTCCCGAAGCCTTGGGCAATGGGTAGCCACAATAAGCATTCGCTTAACTATTATACTATAGCCCACACTCTCGGCCGCAACTGAAACACCTCACGAGACCCCACGAGACCTCACGAGACCTCACGTCTCACTCTTCCATTTCCAAAACCTCCATCAGAAACACCGACTCTGCGGTTTTCCGACTCTCGACGGGCTTAGACAGCAGAAACATCGGGTAATCACTCCCACTTGCGCCTTCGCCTGCAATCGCGATCGCAAGTTTCCTGTCGCAAGGATGAATGCTGTATGTATGTATGTGGCATGATGTCGTGCAACTTTCTGCAAGGAGCTTCGGAGTCCTTTACCATGTCTTTACCGTGGCAAAGGAAGGATGAATGTAGGTATATTGCCGAAACCATGCACGGCGGTGGGCTCTACGAGCAAGGACAAGGACTAGGAGCTCAGTGAAGACCGAAGGTAAATGATAATCCCTTCCTCGCCAGTACGTTTTCGGAGGTAGAATGGAGAAGACGAGGAATATGGAAAGGCTTCGGGTTCCGTGAAGTGCTCTCCACAAATCCATTGTTTGGTGATTTTGCATGATGTCTCGGTCTTGAGTAGGAGGTGGTAGCGATAGTGCATGAACTAAGTGCAGTAGCCATCAGTGGAGTGTCCCCGGAAAAGTGTGTTATTCATCACGACGGATTCGGTGTCGTTCTTCATGTCCATGCAAGCAGCTGAGGTAATCGGAAATCTTCTTCCTCTTCTTCTACTTCTTCTTCTTTTGTCTATCCACATTGTCGTTGCTGTTTAAGAACATCGAACCGACTGTCCTGCAGAAGAAGTTGTTGTCTCATCTCACAAAGCAACGCCACGGCACAGCACAACGATAGGCTGAACAGCAAGTACCGCCGTGACCACCCCATTACCAGCTCCCAGAGTTCCCCACACCAATAGTCAGCGCATGAAATTCGCCCCGTTGATCTCTCACCAATAGCCTTACCTGTATCCTTCCATCTCACCCGACTGCCTCCGTCTACCCTATTTTGTCGTCCAGCAGCGAGGCAGGCAACGAAGCACCAGCATCGGATGGGAATACCCTAACCCGCTTCGCTACCGCCCACACCACCTCCTCCTGCCCGTCATTGGCTCCAAGCCAGTCGAGACACCCCACCAATCACCCCACCCTACCTTGCATTGCATAAAGTCATCCGCAGGTATCCCATCTTCATCCAACAATCGTCGCGGTACATTCCCACCCCAAGACAGTCGAGAGAAAGAGAAAGATACTTGTGAGCGCTCTTCGTTGCGAGTCTTTTGTACCAGATCGCACAGCTGAGCTTGCAAGTCGAAGAACTTCATCTATCGTTGAGTCAAGCTTTCGCGATGTGCGGAGGTCCTAAGCCCAACGCAGCCGAGGGAGACCAGTCGGAGTCGGACGGTTGCCGCGGAGATTGTGCGAATGCAAGCGGGAGTGCGAATGCAAGCGGGAGTGCGAATGCGAGTGGGAGCGCGAATGCGAGTGGGAGCGAAGATACTGCCTCTCGCCAGAGCGTCAAGGGGCCGGATGAGCATTGTGGAGCTGTCGAAACAGAGCAGGAAACTAGAAGAGGATGTAAAGAAGAGCCGGCGAAGACATCTGGCAAGGCTGTCGACACTGGCTCGTGTTCGGGTGGATGCTGCGGCGAAGAGACCAACAGCCATACGCATGACGACGGCTACCAGCCAGGCGCCCAGGAGCATGACGGCGATGATCATCAGGGCTGCGATGGCCCCGACCATGCCTGCGACCACAGCCTTGGGCACAATCGTTCTCATGAGAACACGCACGCACCGCCAGTAACCGAGCCCGATGAGAGATGCTGCGCGGAGCAGCCATGCGTTTGCGACGGTAAGCCACTGCTCGCAAGTCAGATCTGAGCCACAAACTAAGCCAGGAATACATGCGTGCAGAGATCTGTGAACTCAACTATGTATCGCTTCTGCATGAGCAGAGCGGGTGCAAACGTACGAAGATGGCGGCTGTCGCGGCGGAGAAGCCTGTTGCTGAGGAGATTGCGACGAATCCCAACCCGAAGCGCTGGCTATCCTGCTCCCATTGTCTCAACAGCGCGCGAAAGGTGTCATTGACGGTGGAGGCCAAAGCGTGTTACTGCAAGCTCACACGCAGCTTGAGTCGCTCCGTAAAGTCTCTTGCCGCCATGGAGTTCGCATCGGGATGTTGCAGGGTGAATACGATGCGCCGGCAGTATCAATTTTGCGGGGATTGCGATGGACACAACCACGAACACAACCACGAGCACAACTATAGCTATGAAGACATCATTAGTCACGATCATGGCGAGGAGATCGTAGGTATCAAGGAAGGATGTGACAAAGCAGCGACCATCTCTGAAGTGGAAATAGAGTCTGGGCCTTGCTATAGCCGTCACCTAGCCCTCGGAATCTCTGGAATGCATTGCTCAAGCTGTGCCGACGACATTGTGAAAATACTGGGAAACATCGCTGGAGTCGACAGGAATGACATCAAGGTCAGCTTTATAATGAGCCGCGCCGAATTGAAATTCGATCCCAAGATTGTCAAAGATGCAGACAACGACATCCGCGTGAGGGTATTGAAGAGATTTCCGAGGCTTGACATTGTTGTGTTGTCCAATTCAAAGGTGGACGATGATGAGCTCGATGGAATCATTAGGATCCGAATACGATCAGAAGGCATGGACTCCGAGGCACTTCGTGGCATGGCACTTGGAATCTCAGGGGTGGTCTCCGTCGATCTGATTGGTGGGGAAGAGGTGGAACTCGCATACGATCCCGACAACATTGGCATTCGCAACATCTTGGCGATCCTGGAGAGCCAAACCAGCGGCCATGCTGTTGAGCTTGTGGACATCCCAGATGGAGCAGTAGCTGCCCAGGTAGCAGATAAAAGATACCTCCGCAGTATCGCCTTCCAAACGATCGCTGCCGGCGCCTTGACAATACCCGTTCTCGTACTTTCCTGGTCGGGCGGCCGACTCCGGGTGGATCCGATCAATCGCTACAACGTTGAGTTCTCCATGGCGACGGCGATCATCATTGTGGCCCGAAGAATATATCTCGACGCTTTCCGGTCATTGTGCAATGGCTTGACCATCGACATGGACGTGCTTGTGTCAGTTGCAACGGGCGCAGCATACATGTTTTCGGTGGCAGTTTTCGGCTTTGTTTTAGCAGGAGCATCTTGGGTACGCCATCAAGACCAAAAACCATTCTTCGAGACCAGCTGTCTGCTGACGACATTGATCCTTGCTGGTCGCTGGATGACGGCGGGCGTTCGAACGTGGGCGTCACGGCGGTTACGGTCCATTGGGGATGGAGAGCTGCAGGCTTCCGAAGTCCGTTTGTACGACCCGCTCTCACAGGAGAAGAGTCTGGACGCCCGAAAACTGCATTACGGAGATATGATCATTGTGTCCCAGGGCGAAACGGTTGCAACGGACGGACTGATTGTCGAGGGAACCGGACAAATGGACGAATCCCACCTCACAGGCGAGCCAAAGCCACAAACCAAGAGCGAAGGAAGTTTCATCCTGGCCGGAAGTACGGTGGTCTCTGGCGAAGTCAAGTACCGGGTCTCCAAGCTAGTCCAAGAGAACACCATCTCGACCATCAAGAATATGGTCAAGCTCGCGTCGCAACAGAAGCCCCGGATACAGGAGATCGCCGATATGGTGGCTTCTTACTTGACGCCTTCAATCCTAATCATCGCGTTAGTGGTATTCTTGATCCACCTGCTGGTTGGAGCAAGAATGGGGTGGGGTGAGAGCGCAGTTTCTGCCTTGACATACTCTGTTGCTACTCTCGCTATCTCCTGTCCATGCGCCATCGGTCTTGCTGTTCCCATGGTTCTGTTGATCGCAAGTCGAGTCGGCGTTAGCAAAGGAGGATTCGTATTTCGCAATCCAGCAGCAATAGTGAATGGCAGGAACGTCGGGAAAGTCATCTTCGATAAGACGGGGACGCTCACTACAGGACAACTACAAGTGGAATTCTCGTGCGTCGAAATCGGCGGAGTCATGCAAAAACATTCTCCAGACGCTTATGTCCTCACGGTGTTACGGACTCTGTGCAAGGCCAGCAACCACCCTGTGGCCAAAGCGATGAACAGGTTCGCTGAGAGCCTGGAGCCCAGCTCTGGAGGTACCGAGTTGTCGGAGGAAGTGACCACAGTTGTGGGTAAGGGCATCGAAACGACAATCGAGGGTGCCGTCTATCGAGGCGGAAGACTATCGTTCACAGCTCCCGAAGCTGCAAATGATCCAGAGGTCGTTGCTATTCTGGAATCGGCCCAATCCATCTTTACACTTTCTCGTGACTTCAAGCTCATCGCGATTTTCGGCTTGAAGGATGACACCATCAGGCCAGAGGTCCCGCTCGTCCTCGAGAATCTGCGAAAACAAGGCATCGAACTCTACATTTTCTCCGGCGACCGCCCGGAGGCTGTGTTCCCATTGGCAAAGGAGCTTGGAATTCCGTCCGCGAACGTTTACGCCGACTGCTACCCCGAGGACAAGCGAGCTAGGCTGGAGGCTCTGAAGAACCGTACATCCGAGACGAGTGCGACTTCCAAGGGCTTCACCGATTCAAAACAGAGTTTACTCCAACGTATCAAGGCCAAGCTGAGCATACAACGCAAGGGCATTATTTTCGTAGGCGATGGCACGAACGATGCGATTGCACTCATGGCAGCGGATGTCGGAGTCTCGTTGTCGCAATCGATGGACATGGCAGCCAGTTCCGCGGACGTCTCGATAATTTCCGACTCGATTGTGGGGCTCGTGGGGTTTCTGGAGCTATCGCGCAGGGTGAACGTATGCATCATGATTAACTTTGCATGGGCAATACTGTGGAACCTAGTCGCGATTCTGGGAGCGAGCGGTGGGTGGGTCAAGGTGAGGATTGCGCCCCAGTGGGCGGGACTGGGCGAATTTGCAAGTCTTTTGCCAGTCCTTGGTGTCAGCTTGGCGGTTGGGTTGGGATATGGGGGTGGATAGGATGGTGGAGGGAGTTTCTTTTGTAGATAGGCGTGATGGTGGACGTGGCGGTGGATGAGGGGTGGGAGGTGGGGGGATAATTGCGGAGGTGGTTGTGCGCGGCAGCGGTGGACACCTTGATGGTTACCACCCGAGGTCACCCTTGCCGGCAACGACGACAGAATGTTTTTACCCACTCCAGGTATCTGGAATACCGGTATCTAGAGTAAAATTACTTGCTTGTACAGGACATGGTCGGTTGGATCGTTTGGCTTGCGACACCGTGTGGTTTGATTTTTCTGCAGCTTTGCTTTCATCCTCCTACTTCGGAATTTTCTGCGTACTTGCTTTAGAGTAAATCGACTGATTTTTGAACGGGTCAGATGGAGAAGGAAAAAGGCAGGGAGAGGATGGAATTGGGACTGAACCGTAGCTGAGATGAAAGAAAATTTACATACGAATACGAATGATCTATATACCGAGCCAGTGGGCAGCTACTCGGCCCGCACCCGCATCCTCGGGTATCTAGACTCGAGAATCCAGGCAAGCCCTGTGCCCTGGCTTGCCTGAAGACGACAGCCGGCCTTTTAGCGTCGTAGGGCCTATTGACTCTTGAGTTTAAATCGCACTTCCTACGCGAGGGAAGTCTTACATAGACTCGGCAGTGCCTATTGACCCTTGAGTTTGAATAGCACTTCCTACTCGAGGGAAATTTGGATTTTTACAGTGCCTATTCACCATTGAGCTTCATTTCACCTTATATTCGAGGGAAGTTTTGAATTCGGTAGTGCCTATTGAGCCTTGAGCTTCATTGCACTTCCTACGTGAGGGAGGTTTTGCAGAAGACTCCTTTGCCAACACCCTCCAGGCCCGCGGCGGGTCGAGACATGAGCACACATAGAAGAAAGGGGAGGTAGAGGTTGATCGTCTATTCTGTATAAGATAATTGAGAGAGAAGAAGAAGAAGAAGAAGAAGAAGAAGAAGAAGAAGAAGAAGAAGAAGAAGACCCCACTATGACCGCCAAAATTGATTTCCACCACCGTTGATGCCCACTACTAGTACCAACCACATTCGTTTTTTTCTCACCGACAGCCTCTCCACTTTCCGGCAGCTCTTCCATCACTCCGCCATAGAGGTATTGAACTTGACAGTGCCTATTCAGCATTGAGCTTCATTGCACTTCATACTCAAGGGAAATTTTGAGCTCGGCAGTGAAGCCTCCAGCCCCGCTTCAAAAATACAATTCTCGTCTTGACGAGATCCGATGGAGTGGCAGCGAGATGCAGAATGAGAAGACTAGAAGCCGCAAGATCAAAGAAATCTTCTAGTATCGGTCGTGCAGTGATTGACTCCCGCACAAACCACCTTTTCTGGGCGTATTCTCGCGGCCGTGAGTAGAAGAACCTTGAAGATCCACTCACGGTGAAGATAGCTGATGCGACACCTCATGAGTCTGGGCCCTTGGGTGAACGATATTTAGGTTACCCATGTACACCTCTGGGGCTTCGTGACCATCGCTTCGGGCAAAAGGATTGAACGGAGAGATGTCGGCTCGTTGTGAAGGTGTTCGGCCAGCACAGGGCAGTATGTATCAGTTGCTCGCCCATTGGGGGAGGGACTCGCGACTCTTTATCTGTATGGCGATTGTCATGGATTAGGTTAACTACCCCACGCGGCAGCTTGACTTCTGTACGCGGAAGCCAAGTTCAACCTGCGTCGGCTGCAGTGGCAGTCTTACAGACAGTAGGTTCCGCATACCAGCGGATATCTGCCAGGTGGTTCTTGCGGAGGCGGGGGTTCCGATAGTGCTGACTGGTGGGCGATATCCGGACGATTTTAGGTGATACCTTGTGGTCGGTTGCCTGGATACCTATATGGATCGGTTCACTCGGAACCCGCCCGTAACCGGTGAGTTCTTGGGATACCATATTCCATCAAAATACAGCTTGAATGAGAAATTGTTTGAACGTCTTCCACGCAAGGACAGTGCGGACCGTGCCCATAAATGCAAAACAAGGCAATGGGTTTCAAACCTAGAGCTACGGAGAAACGAGACCGGCACGGGTATATGCTGCTATTTGTGATTTCTCGTCTCACAGCACAGACAGAATCCGACAGAACCGGACGAATCCTACGAGTGGGACTTTAATCCCATGGTGAAGAGGTTTTGCGGGACGTAGACTGCGAGATCATGGAAAAGTCTGTCTAGATGGCATATTGTAGATGGTACGAACGGCGGCTTCTTTTGTTTATAAGGACGAGATAATGCCCACAATCCGTTTCTCATCAGCATCACATTCTCGTCTTCTCATTCGAATACATTCATTCGTTCTTTATTCCACCTACCACACGATCGTTCAACATCTTCAAGCAATATTCCCTTTTCAATTTCCTCAAGATGCTCAAATCCGCCACTCTCCTTCTCGCCGCGCTCACCGTCGCCAATGCGGCGCCCGCTCCCCAAGGCGTCACTGAAGTGATTACTCCTCTCACCCAGGCCCCTGCTGGATGCTCTCTCTCGAGCCCTAGGACTTTTGGTCTCTCCATCAGCTCTGTGCCTGGCATCGGTTAGTCTGCGCATCCTCATCTAATTGACCAAGACACTAACAAATGCCCCCAGTTGCCAGCCGCAAGGCAAAGCGCCAGGTCACGCAGATCGCCGACGGCCAGATCCAGGCGCCCGCCAACCCCGCACCCGCTAGTCCCTCCTCCACTGAGTCCGAGGCTCCCTCCTCGACATCCGCTGAGTCCGAGGCTCCCTCCTCGACATCCGCTGAGTCCGAGGCTCCCTCCTCGACTGAGTCCGAGGCTCCCTCCTCGACATCCGCCGAGTCCGAGGCTCCCTCCTCGACTGAGTCTGAGGCTCCCTCCTCTACATCCGCTGAGTCCGAGGCTCCCTCCTCGACATCCGCCGAGTCCGAGGCTCCTTCTTCCACCTCCGACTCTGACTCTGACTCCGACTCTGACTCGGATTCCGAGGCTCCTTCCTCCTCGTCCGGCGCCGAGGGACCCGCTGAGACCGGCGCTACTCCCGGTGGTGTGACGCAGATTGGTGATGGCCAGATCCAGGCTCCTGCCAACCCTGCTCCCGCTGGCCCCTCCGCTTCGTCGGGTGCTGAGGCTCCTGCCTCTTCCTCTGGTGCTGAGGCTCCTGCCTCTTCTTCCGGCGCCAACGTAGGCGGCGTCACCCAGATCGCCGACGGACAGATCCAGGCTCCAGCCGACGTCTCTCAGATTGCTGATGGCCAGGCCGCTGCCAACGCTAGCCCCGCGGGCGCTGCCGGCGTTGTCGGTGCGGGAGGTGTCACCCAGATCGCCGATGGACAGATCCAAGCTCCCGCCAGAATTGCCGGAGCTGTCGGAGCTGCCGGTGTCACCCAGATCCAATCTCCCGCCGGAGCTGGCGGTATCACCCAAATCGCAGACGGCCAGATCCAGGCTCCCGCCGGAGTTGCCGGTGTTACCGGTGTCTCCCAGATCCAATCTCCCGCCGGTGTCTCCCAGATCCAAGCTCCCGCCGGAGCTGGCGGTGTCACTCAGATCGCAGACGGCCAGATCCAGGCTCCCGCCGGAGTTGTTGGACCTGTCGGAACCCGTGGTGTCGGTCAAGCCGCTGGCGGTATCACCCAGATTGCCGATGGCCAGATCCAAGCCCCCGGCCAGGTCGCTTCCTACTCTAGTCCCGTGGGCGCTGCGGGCATTGTCGGTGCGGGCGGTGTCACCCAGATCGCCGACGGACAGATCCAAGCTCCCGTCGGAGTTGCCAGCGTCTCCCAGATCGCGCCCTGCGCCGCTCCCGTGAGTGCTGCGCGGGCTGGGCGTGTAGGCGGCGTCACCCAGATCGCAGACGGCCAGATCCAGCTTCCCGCGGGCGCTGCGCGGGCTGGGCGTGTAGGTGGCGTCACCCAGATCGCCGACGGACAAATCCAGGCTCCTGCCGGACCTGTCGGCGTCACCCAGATTGCGGATGGCCAGATCCAGGCTCCCGCCAACATCGCGGCCAACATCGCGCCCTGCCGCTCTACCGTCTCTAGGGTCATCGAGCCGGTTGTGCCCACCCTCAAGGCTTCCACCTACCGCTTCAGCTCCTACATCAAGCCGATCTCGAACTACTTCTGCCCCACCACTCCCTCCGAGCGGATCATCCGTGAGTCTCTCCCGCGTCGATTGACCGCGGTCGCTTGCTAACCGAATCCTAGGGCCAGCGGACTGCTCCACCAACGGGCTTGCCGGCAACCTCGGAGTCTCAGCCGCGTATAACGCCGCACCCGCCGCCGCCATCAACGCCGCACCCTTCACGGCCAACGGCGTCACACAGATCGCCGACGGACAGATCCAGACCCCGCGGCTGAGCAAGCGCCAGAACGGAGACCCGCTGCAAGTCACCCTCAACAACGGCGTTCTGACCGACAGCCTCGGCCGCACCGGCTACATCGCCGACAACCGGCAGTTCCAGTTCGATGCGCCCGCACAGGCTGGCGCCGTCTACACCGGTGGGTTCTCCGTCTGCGATGATGGCACCCTGGCCCTCGGCGGAAACAAGCAGTTCTGGGCGTGTGGGAGCAGTGATTGTAGCCCTCCCCCTCCTCCGCCTCCTCCTAAGGAAGTTGTGAGCGTGTGCTGATCTGTGACAGTCAACAACCTCTACGACGAGGAGATCTTCCCGGGCGGAAACTGCCAGCCAGTTTACATCAACGTCGTCTAGATTCCACTGAATGAGGGTTGCGGGTAGTGGGGGAGGGGAGGGGAGGGGAGGATTTCCTTTTGTAAGTATATGTACAGTTATGTAAGTAGTTTTTTTAGTTATGCGCCCAAGGTTAAATGAAATTTCAAATGTTTGCACTTGATATTCATCGGTACTCACTCGCTTCATGACTTTTCAACCGGGCTTTCATATTCCCATTCTCTCTAGCTCCTACTTGGAACTGGTCTCTTTCGACGACTCGGGAGGAGAGAGAACGGGAGTAGTGCCACGAAGGGTATCTACGGTATGAGTGTGGCCCTTGGAGTCTCGCAACTAGCAGTGGCCATTGTGTACTAACCACTCGCTCCCATCCTCCCAGAAATCCGCATCCAGCTCGAACCGAAAACAAGAGACAGAGAGAGTCTAAGAAAAAATATTTTTTTTCCAAACCATGACACCGCGCTAGAAAGCCAAACCCTTCATCTCCTCCGTCGTCCAGAACTTGCGCATATTTTCCGCCTTGAGCATAGTGACCTCCTCCTCGAGGTGTTTCCAGAGGACGTCGCCGAACGCGCGCATCTTCGTGTCGAGCACCAGCCACTCGAGGCGACACCTGCCATCTCTGCACTCCTCGAGGTACTTGCGCATTTCGTCGAGGCCGGTATGGATCAGCTTGTGCTGGGCGATCATGGCGCCGTGCTCGGCGCCCTTGCCGAAACACGGCATCCGCTTCGCCAGCGACGGAAACACGTGCGCCTCCTCGATCGCGTGGTGCATCTCCAGCTGCGACGCGAACCGCAGCCCCTGCGTCAGCAGTTGCCGCACCGTCGTCCGCGGAGGGAGCTGCTGCGCCGTGCATGCCCCCTCGAGGAGCCGCCATTGCAGCCGGAACGAGTTGTGCTAAACGCATGTTAGCCGGCAACCGCCCCGTGGGCGCGTGCGTGTGTGCGGGGACGGGGGACGGGGGACGGGGGGACGGGGAGGGACGCGGAAATGTACGAATTGCTCCATGTGCTCGGCTAGGTAGTTGTACTGTCGGAACTCGGCCGCGGTGAGCGGGGGAAGCGGGGGCCCCTCCTTCTCCGCCTTCTCGGGCTCCTTGGGCTTCTCGTGGCCTACTTCCGCGCCCTTCTCCTTGTCCTCCTCCTCATCTTGACCAGGGAATGAGGGGGGTTGTTCGTCGGGAGGCGATACGTCGCCCATGTTGCCTTGCCGTGTGATGATGGGGTGTGATCGGGATGTGATCGGGATATTATAATGGTGTTAACTATGTGTGGGGGGGAGCAGGCATCGGAACTGAAGCCCGCGTCGCGTTTTATGCAGGGAGGATTTCGGCAGCCATGCCAGGCTCAGCCGACCGGACGGATCCCTGCTGCGGATTACGCAGCGATTGCAGATGCAAGGAGAGCGAAGGTTTTGCGACGATTATTGCGGAGAACCTGGTTTTTGGGTGGGTTTTTTGGCGGTTCCCCGGGTCGCGTCGCTAAAGATTGTTGGTTAGGAGTTTGGCCGGTGGTATATATACAGTGGAGTACATGGTGCTCGTATTGGGCGGTCACCAATGGTCACTCGTCAGTGGCTCGGACTCCCCAGCACAGAAAGGGATGGGCTGGATACGACTCTATATTATTGACCGCTATATAAAAACCTAAATGATCCGTATTCCCTCAAGTGCTGCATTCCCCCTTTATGTGTAATATACTCCAAAACGCCATACTATGCCCATTCGTCATCATCCCCTCGCACGAGATCTAGCTGTCACTGTGCGCGTACAGTTGCATTTATAGATTTGCTGTAGGTAACAAAAGTGTTAGTAGCCATTACATTGGAGGCTGCATCTAGAATTGACCTACATCAATAACTGTCCCTTGATCGGATTCCCCTTCCTCGTCGCTCTCAGCCTCCTCGTCGTACCGAAACAGTGTGATGAATTTCCGACTGAGACTCTCATGGCGCATGCGATTCGTCTGGCGAAACCCATTCAGCGTCGCAAAACTATCCAGATAGCAGCACGCCGTCAGCACCAATGTGACCTGTCACACACACACTATCTCCTCACGGCGGGAAAACCAACCAACTACTATTGAACCCGTCCATCCTTTCCCGTGAGACCTTATCAAACAGTCTCTTGACGCCCATAGCCACATCCCACACGCGCACGCCCTGCGGCCGCACGACGAGCAGCTGAAAAGTCGGCAGCACGATGACAAAGGTAGTGAGAGCCGGCTCGGTAGCGTACTGCTCCTTTACCGGCGAATCCTTGAGTAGCACGCCGGTGGCCATCTTGAGCGTTGGCCCGGACTTTGTAGCTTCCATATCCTTCTCGGCGTCCTTCTCATCCGGACAACCCAGACCATCCGGACCATCCACCTCGATCGGTGCGGAACCGAAGTTTCCCCCCGCGTGAACACATTGGCGGTTCGGAAATGGCCGTTCTACTGGTGCTCGCGTGAGAACGATCGGCTCCGAGGTCGAGGCCCAGTTGCTCTGGAGTCGCTGCAGCACGGGGTGTATCGCTACCGGCTGCCGGAGGAGGTCGGCGTCGATTGTGGGTGGCTGGAGGAATAGTGTCCGGCGTAACCGCTGGCGGGAGAGGATCGTTGCGTTCCAGTCTTTGCAGACCCTGCGGGCGTTGATGAGGTCGTGCAGTGGTAGGTGCAGGAGGATGTGGTCGAGTAGGAAGGTGGGGATGTCGCTCTGCATGATTTTCGTATGCTTTCCTGGTTGGCTGGTAATGTATGTTTTTTTTTTCTGGAGGGGAAGCTGTATGGGGGGAGTTCTTTTCTGGGGGCGGTGGGGAAGGCCACATTAAATACGAGCCTACCAGAGTCCGTGTCTGTCTACATTTACACTGGCCGTATGTAGTAGGCTGGAATGTACGTAACCAAGTACCCAAGTACTCTACTCGCACCTACTACTACCTCAACTTCTTAGCGTCCACGACAACTGCACTTCCAGTTTTACAGGCTGTCACACCTCTCCTCGGGAGTCGCAAGTCGCAACTGGCATCCACGATGGCCAGAACCGGATTGGACTGGATTGGATTTGATCGACGTGCATAGTGCGCGGTCCGTGCTGTCTGCCCCCAGTAAGCGTACCCGTACCCGCACATGGCGTCTAGGCCTGCCCCATGCGGCTGGGGAATCCGTGGGTTGGAATCGGACGACGTTGGCCAGGACTGGGATCAGCCTGACGGTAGTAACTATCGCCGCCGGGGTGGGCGTATGTGACAGACGTCAGGGACTGTGTAGGAGGTGTACTATAAAGTGCAGAATGACTTTGAGGAGTGCAGTATTCGACGCAATTTCTCCCATGCTTTTGCTGCGAGCGAGCTACACTCCCGGAGCAGAGGCACTGCCGCGAGGAAGCTGGAAGAGGAGGAGGCCGGAGTACTGCAATGGCCAATGCCAGCTGGCATCTGCGGGCCGGAGGGGAAGCCAAAGAAATGGGAGGAGATGGAGAGCTCGTGACCAACCACCGGTACTAGTACTCTATCTAACTACCCACTCTCGACATCTTTGACGAATGTCGGCTCTGCATGTCTACATATGGTGGCTGCTTCTTCACGACTCAGGCCCCCCACGACGCGCGAGAGGAGGGCCCAGCGCCGAAACGAGGTCGCTAGAGTAGAGTAGGTACCGGTACATATCTCAACTCTACTCCGACCACTCACCGGCCTCAACTCTAACCACCACTCACTGGCCCCCAACTCTAACTAACGCTACTCTATGCATACTCACCGACCTCGACAGCCGTCAAGTCATTGGCGCGTTTCGGAGTGTTTGAATTCTCCCTAAGTTCCCGTCGCTCTGCTCGTCAGTCCTGTTAGTCCGACACTAAGTCCTCACCTAGGTACCGGTACCCAGCAGCGTATCAAATTATCAGTCGCCTGCTCGCATACGCATCACGATCACGGCAGGTGAAGAATAAACTCCAAGAGGCTCGAGCGTCACTGTCTCATCGGATCGGGGTCGTTCGTTTGCCGTACCTATGTGGTTCTCCACGGAGAGGCGAGAATCGGCAACTTTGTCGGCAGCCGGGAGTCCGCTACGGTACAAGAGCAGTGGACATATTTACAGAGGTACATGGCCTCTTTACTTGCCTCGTTCTGTCACCCCTGCGGTATGTTCTTGCCACCGGGGAGGCCAAAGAATCGTAAAAGCGGTGGGGGCATTGTGAGGACAATTATGGAGGATGATGATGGATGGTATGCATCTACATAGCGAATGGAATAAGAGTCCGGGACCCAGTCTCTTGGTTTCGTCGTTTGCTTGCTTTCTTGCCGATCGCAAGAGTTGGGGCCGGTTGGTTCCGTGGTCATTGCAGGTCAACATAAGGAATTATACGAGATCATGGCTGCGCATGTACCAATGATACCAACCCTATCGAATTAGCGTCGATGACAGTCGTATCAATGATCAATCCAATCTTCCTTTACCGAAGCTTACTTCCGCGGACCTTCTTTCTTCTCGCTACATATCCTATGTCCGATGGCAGAGGCAATTTCATCTTCATTCGCGACTACTCTACTTTGCTTCCAGTGGACTCCCTCGAATGCGTCGAGTTCCTATCATCCTATAAACCCGCCTCTCTACTTACCGAAGGGATTGGGATTGATACCGACTACCAAGTGCTTATACATGTACGTACGTACCGGTGGTATTGTCGCTACCTATACATAGTACCGTAGTCTAAGTTCGGACCATTCACGATCACGATCGTGACAACAGCACCGTGCAGATGAAGCTTGGAGATCAGAGGAGCGCCGGCCGCCGCCGTGGTGCTCATGGATAATGATGATGATGATGATGATGAAACAAGTGGCAGCGCCACTTTCTGTAGTGTATGATACATACGGTAGGTAGTTATTATATGCGTTCTCGATCAGGAGTGGAAGTGACGGGCAGCGGGGTTCCTCTCGAGAACTCGTGCACTCGTGCATGAGCAACGTCAGAGTATGTACTCGGGAGTCGGGATCGAGGGAAACTCAATTACCGGTTGGTTGGGTTGACTTCCAGGAAGCGATATGCGGCATGCAGAAGACTGCAGGTTGGTTACCAAATACGTGGTAACGATACGTTCATCCTCGCCATTGGCCGATACGGCTGCGTTGGCGGTACACATTCCGTCTCTTATGTGGCCGCCCCATTGGTCCCGGACTCCTGGAATGTCGGTCCGAGTTCGCGGTGCAGATAGGGCGTAGTTAGACTCCAGAGTGTCGGTAGGTGGTGCGGATCACGATCATGAGTGGGAAGGAAGAGGGGGGAATGCAGTGGGGGGAATGCGGATGACTGCTAACTGGCCCATTCATGCTCGATGATGCAGCTCCCAGTGCGCTGGGAAAAATCAATCGACAAGATCTTGATCTTGAACTTGCACCACGAATAATGGCCATTGACCAGTCCCTGGCACCTGGCACCTGCACCACCATCAACGAATCCAAAATAGCAAGAGAGACAATCCATGATTCATTCCGTTTCGTCGGATCACACTGCACAGAGAACTCCAATTGTCAGCTGTCCCAGCTCCATGGACGCTTCAACAGTGAACAGAGCACTCTCCATGCTCCGGAACCTACGGACACTTCAACAGTGAACAGAGCACTCTCCATGCTCCGGAACCTACGGACACGCTTCCCTTTCGTCGAGCGAGCCATCGTGCAATGAATCGCCCAGGTGGCACCCAGTTTCGTGGGCAGGGCGGCAGGGCAGTTGCACACCCAGCTCTGATTCATCGCCACACCAATCCAATCCTCGTCACGAGCCCCGACGAAGTTACGAACGTGGGGGATGACACCAGACGTCGGCCGAGATTGTCCTCTCGCGAGTCTGTTTCTGGTTCGGTTGCTACCTGCCCACATACCTACATTCTATCTATGGGTTCGGATCGCGAGTGAAACCCAGTGAATGGCTTCGTGTGAATGTGAATGGCTCCCGGCAAGCATCACCCATCAGCCCTGCCCGGAATGTTTGTTCCTTTGACGAGCGTGATGACGACGCATCCATCCCGAGCGAGTGGACGTCAGGAGGGAGGGAGGGGGTGGCGACGTGCACCTATGATATGAGGTAGGTATGTACGGAGGACGATCGATCATCCCTTTCCAGTGGTACTGATACATACATGTGTAGAGTACGGAGGACGACGGTGACGATACCCTCTACCTAGGTGTAGATGGCTTGACCTGTCGATTGGTTATCCCAGACTACCAGAGCCAGTTCAATGTCTACAGTCAATTGCTACTCATTTGCTTTCAGCCCGAGAGATCTGCCACCTCCCCATTAACGACGGTACGCTGATGTACCGTACAAGACCGCCATGGTTGGCACGACGTCGACTGGGAGGCGTATCGTAACCAAGTATTACCCGTGCCTGTACAAGCAAGAACAGGACTCGCATGTGAGCATCGTGAGGAGAGCGATTTGTTTCATCGAAGCATCGAAACAACAATTCAACATTATCCCTATCGTAACCCACTGCCGTCGACAGCACTCTCGTCCTCACTCCCTACCTACCGCTACGAACCAAAAGTAATGAGATAGAAAACAAAAAAACATTATACAAGATGAAATGAAACGAAACCCCTTTTCCATTTCCATTTTATACATCGCATCATGAAGTCACACCTATGCCTTACGACTCTGCTTCTTCATGGCGTCCTTGTTCTCCTTCTGGCGCTCCTTCTCGAGGAACTTCTTCTGCTCGGCCGCACTCATGTTGCGCAGCTTGGCGTCGCGGTCTGCCTTCTTCTTCTCGGCAAGCTTGAACTCGCGCTCTTCCTTGGTGTCTTCCTCGATCGCGCGCTTGAGCTTGCGGGTCTCGTCTTCGCGGGTGGCCTTGACTTTGCGCAGCACCTCGGGACGGAAGTGGGCGTTCGCTGCGAGGTGGTCGGTGAGACGGATGAACGCGCTGACTAGACGCTGGAGCAGCTCGGGGTCGGTGGAGGACGAAGGCAGGGTGATCTCAAGCGTGATGCGCTTGCGCGCGGTCAATTCCGACAGCCTGGAGTGTGTCGTTAGTTATCGTTGCTACTCGATTTGCTACGTGGAAGATGAGGGAACTTACGTGGTGGGCTTCTCCTTGGGCAAGTCGGTAACGAGCAACAGCTCCAAGAAGCTCTGGCACTCCTTAACGACCTCCTTGAGTTCCTTGTACAGACACATATCACCAATCTCCTTGCTCTCGCCCATGACGGCCAACCACTCGGGCAGACCCTCCCAGTCACTCGTGCGGGTGAGGGAGAGATCGTAGCGCTCCTCGCGCCAGCGCCTCATCTGGCGCTTATTGACGAGAGCCCAGACAAAGTTATCATACTTGGAGTTTCCCTGGATCTTGGTGGGCTCAGCGCCGTCGAACGGCTGGATGATCATGGTGATGGTATCTTTCGGCATGGGCACCTGATCGAAAAAAAACGAGACGATGAGCTCGATCAACCACGAGATGGGATTGTTCCGGCGCTGCAGCTTGATGGCCGTGTGCATGAACGCGATGTTGTTACGCCCGGTAGCGTACGAGACGAATTCCTGGTGCGAGACATCCTTGACCGCGTCTTCGACGGCAAACTCTTGCAGGTCCGACGCGGGCTTCGTGAAGCCTACTTGAGCGAATTCTTTGGTGAGGACGGGCGCGATGGAGGCGAGGAAGCCGGCTGCGATCGCTTTGTTGCGGCGGGAACCCCAGATATGCAGGCCGACGACGATACAGAGCAGGAGGAGAACCCAGCCTTCGGCTTGGAACTCGGAGAGCGAGTGGCGCTCCCAGACTTCGTACCACTGGCTGGTAGGTAAGCCGGGTGTGCCGAAGGGTGTGCTGCTAGATGCAAATGAGAGGGGGGAGATTGAGGCAGCGGACTCGGCGACGGGAGATGGTGTCGCTGGAGATGGTGAAGCGAACTCGGCAAAGTCTATTGTACCCGAGTTGATGAGAAAGAGTTCGACGGCGACGAGTAGGGTTACAACAGAGATGGAGGACAGGTGGATAACATACCGTCGTCTGAGGGAGCAGCGCTGGCGATACTCGAGACTGAGCTCGCGGCCTTGAAGAAACCTCCGATTATATCGGCCATGATGAATGAATTTGGTGGAGCAGGATTGATGCTGCCACGTTTGAGGAGCTGGGGATATTTGGTGAGGGATGCAATGCCTTGGATGGAGGAGAAATGAAAAAGGAGATGAGACTTTGTATTCGACTCGGTCCGGGGAAGAGAGTGTCGTGTCGTCTTTCTCGCCGGGCGTACGCTAGTTAACGCTGCTAAGACACTCAACAACTGTGGCACCTGCTTAAAAGCCGGGCGTCGGCGTCGTGTCGCAACCATGGTCGATTGAGCCGCATCGCTGCGTACAACTCAGCGAACCGAACAGATGCCGGGGCCGATTGGGGAGCGTTTCATTCATCGCGGATGACAACCCCTTTCCATCTTTATTCCACCGCAGATATTTGGGATATGCATAGCTTTGATAACAGTTGGCATCGGTGAGAACGCGGTTTCAACATTCGACTGGTATTCGAATTCATTCTATACACATTCCGCCCGCACGCCCCCCACCCAGCCCCTACAGAAACTATTTACCTGCCGCATGCATGGCGGATCTAGTAGAAGGTCTTCTTGCCCTGCAGAATCCCAGAATTGATCAGTAACATGCTCCACGGACCACAGTAGTGGACTAGGGAAACGTACGGCAGCCATTCTGACCATGCCGTAGATGGAGCCAGCGACACCAACACCGAGGATGGCGAAGTAAGGAAGGAGAAGGACCCTAGACCGAGGGTGCTGTAGACTCACTGTCAGTCGAAGAACCGCATAGCGTCTTCCGTTCTGTCGTGATCGCCGAAACCACCAATAAACCGCCGTCGCCGCCGCCGTCGCCCGTGAAACAATCCCGTTCGGCTGCGCGTAACACCAAAAGCGCGAGCATGCGGTTTTTAGGTGAGCGCTGGGGAGTACGGAGTTGGAATGCGAGCAGCGGACTGCGAATGACGACAATCGGTGGTATCGGCGATACAGACGGAATCAGGTCATTTCGGGTCCTTCGATGAACGAACCTTGTTCCAAAGTCTCACGCCGTCATCCCTCTGGTAGAGCCTCTGGTACTGAGGGACCTTGTTCTCCTTGTAGATAAAGCCACTGTTTCGTTGAAGCCACCCGACGGGTTAGCCCACATATCCTCGGCTTCACACAATCACTGGTAGCCCCTCCACCCGCCCGGAATCTGCCGTCGGAGAAGGGGAACACGGGGAGGGGACGTACGCCATTGCGATTTCGTTCGATCGGTAAGAGTGGAGAGAGTTTCGTCGAGCGTGTAGTTGGTAGTGGAGGTGAATGCAGTTGTTCCGAGGATTGCTCTAGTGGGGGGGGGGAAATGGGGCGATGGAGATTCAATTTAGCGGAAGTCGGATGACATCGCTTATCGAATTACCTAATCGGATCTTATCAGATTACAACCATCAACTTGAATCAAACACAAGCGTGCGACCAGAGCTTCGTTACAGCTCCCCCACTCGACCATCCCCTCGACGAATCAGCCTCCACCGTCGACACGATGTCCTTCTACTTCGCGATAATAGGAACCAAAGACAACCCCATTTACGAGTGCGAGTTCGGGACCTCAAAGCAGGGCGGTGATGGAAACGCGAGGGTGAGCTTATTCCCACCAACTTTACGGAGGGCCGGTCATTAACGAAACGGGCCGAATCCAGTTCCCCGACGAGCAACGCGCTATGAATCAGTTTGTCCTCCACTCTGCCCTCGATATCGTCGAGGAGATACAATGGGTACAACGCGATCTATACCTTAAGACCGTCGACCGCTTCAACAACCTACTGGTATCATGTTTCCTCACAGCCGGCAGTACGGAACCCTCCCTCAACCCCGACGTGCACGCGGAGCTCTGACTCGAGAATAGATATCAAGCTGCTTCTACTCCACGACACGAAAGTCGAGGAACCCATACGGCAGTTCTTCGCGGACGTGCACGAGGCGTACATCAAGACGCTCATGAACCCATTCTACGACATCGACATGCGGATCACGAGCGTTATCTTCGACGCGAGAGTTAGGGCGGCTGCAAAAAAGTACCTATAAAGAGTTCTCGGTCCTACATACCTATATGGAATTTTCTACGGCGTTTTCGGGTCCCCTTTCTTTGTCTTGCTCTTATTCTAGACCTGTAATATATCCACACACCCTTCAGATGGTAATCGAAAAGAGATTGTGCTAGTAAAGTCATATGTGGCTAGTTAAACGTGTTTACATCGACATTTTGGATCACACGCACTATTCTGTAGGCAGGCGAAGAGCGACCCAGCGAGGCAGGAAAACACCAAAGCGATCTAACTTGTCTGCCTGGAACACACCTTTTTACGGTTCTGTGGGTAGTAGTGCGTAGATACGATGTTGGGCTGGTAGTATCTAGGTAGGTAGAAGAGAATAGGATATGGCATAATATGTGAAGCAGGAAGAGAGCGGGGTGTTTTGATGGGACGCCACAATGGCCCGGACACGGGGGCGGAGGCGGACAATGGCGAGACAAAGGAAATTATACGGGGAAGGTAGGCACGGTCAGAAAACCAGAGATTCCGACCCGCGTATGGTCAGTGGAGAAGAACGGCGGGATCTGACGAGTTAACAAGTTGAGGCCCGGTTACGGATGGTGGTAGCGATAAACACAGTCCCAGGGGGAGCAGGAGCAGGAAGTGGCGGATCCGAGGGTAGTTAGAGATGAGGTGTCGCTGGGCCGGCTGGCGGTATTCTTTCCTTCCTTCTTTCCTTCTTGTCTGCATCTCCACATCTGATTTCCTTGGTGCGCTGCAAGACAGGGCTGGGAGGAGAGCAAAAGAGAAACCCACCCACACCGAGCTCACGGTCAGCGGCCGGGGACAGTGGGGTCAAATCGGACATGTAATACAGCCATGATGTAGTAAGGTCGAATGCTGTGATGATTAAACAAGAAAAACGTGGAGGCGAGAAGAGAAGAGAAGACCCCAGCATAATATCCTCAGTGGGAAGCAGGTGAATCGCAGCTGAGTATTTCTGGCATAGCATGTTTATTCTCATCCACATCTCCCGGACGCATCGAAGCCAGCACAACAGCGCCGGAGCGTGAGATGGAAGAGTAATCCAGGCGCTCAGAATCGCGGGGCACCTACCATTTCATAAGGGTCGAAGTCACATATCCAGCACGGAAAAAACCCCCGCGTGGTCTAGTGGTATACAACCTAGGCCATGCAATCGGCGAGGGGAGTTGAGGAAAAGGTTTAGGTTCAGCCCAGGTGAAAGACCTTTCTTCTCAGCTCTCCTGGGGCTTCCAAGCCACCCACCGAGGGTGGTGACGGTTTTTGTTTTTGACGTGGCGGGTGGATCACGAGACATCACTCGGTAATACCACGTGACATGACTGCTCGCCGTCCTGGTCGGCGTGGATCATTCCCATCTGCTGCGAGGGGGGCACTGATATCTCTACTTCTCCAGCTGTTTCCAAACCACAATATCTCGCAGCAGAGACTATGCCAGTGCTGTTGCCAGCCGTAACTGGGCTCCTGGTGGCAGCAAGATTCGCTTTGGTAAGAGTTTTTGGAGGGACGAGCGGAAGAGCGGTGGTGCTGCTCGAAGACCCTCTTTTTACTCCGCATTCGGTACGGGAGGAACATTGTTGCCGAATTCCCCCGCTGCCGATGAGTCCCTTGCGGAAGGCCTTACAACCCTCAATTGGATACCTACGTCATCAGAGGATCCGTCATTCAGCGCGGTCACAACAATCACTCGGGGAGGGGCTCGAGATTTATAATTACTGATACTTCCACCCCTCAGCGACTGGCCTGCCGGTAGTTACTCCCCTCCTCCTCCAATGGCTATTCTCCTCCTTCAACAGGAAACACACCTTCCACCGCCGCCGTCATTTGCCCAGCAAGAGAGCATATTCTACTCTACTATGCTGAAGACACTCGAAAAGTCAGAGTATGAAAGGGATACATGTATAGTATCGGCGTCATCGGTTTCTGGAAAGTCCATCGACCATGGTTCGGCATCACTAATTCTTGTCTGCCCCTACTCTGGAGCAGCATCGAGAAGGGGAGAAACGGTCTAAAAAACATATTCCAGATTCGCTCGCAAAACCGCTCGCATCATATCGTAGGTATACAGCTTTTTCCACCCGTTCCCTCTCACCGCTTCGTCATTTCTGTCTCCTCGGCAAAGTAGCCGCCGAACTGTTCTTCACGATAGTTACCACTCCGTGGCAGCCCATCGAAACCTAATATCCTCAACGTACTGAAAAAAAACAAGAAGTATAAAATGACACAATGATGACACAAAGAAAAGAAAAAAACACTCCTAATGATATCTGCTCGCCTTTAATAATGCTATGGCCTTTGGAGACGATTCGACACCAGGCACGAAACCACATCCATCCTTCACTCGTCTTCCGGGTTCGTTAGGCTAGGTTGATCATGATGATATCGCGGCCGTCGGGCTCCTCCAAGCACGCCTCGACCCTAGCTCTGATGGACTCCAGCCCACCATAACAGTGCACCTCTCTCGGAAACAGTTCCTTCTTTCCCCTTCCAGCAAATTGGAACTCATACCCCTTCTCGAAGCGCTCCACAAAGATCTCCCACGGAATATGCAGCTTTGCGTCCTTAACGCACTGCCTGAACTGGCGGCCGCACCACTTCTTAGCCGGATTGCTGAGATGCGTGACCACAAGCCGCGGCCAGAGAAAGGTCGACCAGTTCTTGCCGCCGGGCGCCGACATGACGGCCCAGTTCATCCGCACGAACATCTGCTCCGAGCTCTTGCGGGGCTCCTGAGGGTGCGCCCTGTCGAACTGCTCCCAGTGCTCCCGCATCATGTCCTGGCCGCGCAGGAACGCTGCCATGAGCCGCTCGAACTGGTTGCTGGCCGAGTTGGGGTCCTCGAGCTCGTCCGTGGACATGGCAGAGGTCTCGTCGAGCACGCGGTACCACGCGATGGCGATGTAGACGTCGTGCAGGGCGCGGAAGAACGTGAAGTTGTGGTAGTCGTCCGCGGTGATCTCCCGGCTCGGGAGCCAGTCGTTGTACATGTGGTGGAGCCGGAGCTTCTCGTCCAGGATGCCGAGCCGGGCATCCGTGAGCGGGGGGTTGATGGCGTTGTATGCCGCTTCGAGGAGGGCTCGCGGGGACGGTGAGCTCGGCCTCGGGGCGGCTGCGGCGGACTCGGAGTAGGAGTAGAACTCGAAGCCGTAATGCTTATTCCCACATTCGAGGAAGAGGTCCCCGAACGGGATGTTTGGCGCCTTCGGAGGGCTCTTCCACTCCCCATCGGTGGGTGGGCGCTTGGGCTGTAGGTGTGCGATGGGTGGCTGGGCTGGGTCGCTGACGAGGAGACCAACCTGGGAGGAAGCCTCTACCACCGTCGTCGTGCCCAATATGGTCTGAGGCATCTGGATGGTGTTGGAGGACGACGGGATGTTTGCTGTTACTGGTATCTGGAGGTTTTCATGGTAGCGAGAGCGAGAGCGGGTAGTATTGCGGAGGTTGTAGTTGTGGTTGTGGTTGTCGTCGTATTTAGCAGCGGTCCTGGCCATGGTCCGGATCGTGATTTGGTATTAGGTTTCGTCGCCATGAACTGCTGGAAGTAATCATAGGAAAGCTCAATGTTTAGAGCTAAAGCTTGAGGTTAGACCGCCCTGTCTGCAACCAAGCGCATGCGTACCGAAATGCATCCAGGCTTAACTACTTGGGCTCGAGGATGCCGTCCACTCTTGGTCGGTGCTCCAAGCTCCCACCGAGCCCCCGAGTGAGCACAACAAATCCAGAAAACACACGGAATCCGCCCATCCCATCCAGCGCCAGGAGTCCACCCATCCATACCGTCCAGCCCATCCGACACGAGTCGCCTGGCCTGACGCTAGACCGGCACATACCATCACTCATCAGCGACCCGAACTGAACCCAAAATCCTGCGAAACCCGAGGGACTCGGACCATAATCGTATGGCCACGACGCTCCCACAGATTCAGCTACGTACGTTCACTCTTTCGATCACGTCGCCGCCGTCGGAGGTTAAACGCTATGGAAGTCTCACCGCCGTCCAGCGGCCAACCCAGAGAGTTTCACATACGTACTTCTACCTCCTAGCTACTATGTACGAGCGGCGAGGGCATTCTCGCCCGCCCAATCCGATAACCGCGGCCTGGCCATGATTGGGATCAGTATGCGTGTCTACATAGAAAGTTAGCCGTTGCTAGGTCTCGGTCCCTAGGCGAACCCGGTGAGGAAGTTAATCGCGCTAGACGACGAGCCTACGGAGCCTGTGGGAGAGATGATGTATCATACGTGGAGGATTCAATGGACTTACCAGGGAAAGGACCAGATTTCTCGGTATAACAAGCAGGTACGTACTTGGGCAGGTATGCTTTGTTCCGTGCTGGAAACATCTTGTTTTTTTGTCCATTCATTGATTGCATGCGACCTATCTAGATCATGGCAATATCATCTACCCGTGTGTCCCCCCGTTTCCTCGCTACTGTCCAACCCAACTTTCATCAGGCGGCCCGATGTGGCTTCCCCTGCCCTCCGCCCTGGCCGTTCCCGAAAGTATATTTCCACCGTTCGCGCCCTCGGGTCGTCCCTCCTCCTCCTCCTCCTCCTCCTCGCTTCAGCCCCGCTCTCTCTTCCCGCTCCCTGAGCTCCTACTCGGATGCCTCGCTTGCTGCATCTTCCTCATCGGCCTCTGGTATTCGTCTGCCCACATCAGTGGTGGAGAGGAACTCTAGGATGGCCTTACTGCATCGCTCATCTGCGAAGAGGTCCCGGATTTTGAAGCGGTCTTTGCCCCTCCTTGTCTGCTTCCGGACTTCTGCCTAGAGTGCCTTTGGCTGACTTTTCCATTCAGGGCAATTTTTGAAGAGGTGCTCCCGGGTCTGTGTCTTGTAGCGGCACTAGCCGCACCGGGCATCCACGCGGATTTTGGTCCACTGGAGGTACTGGCCGGTGAGGCAGTGATCTGTGTGCTGGAAACATCCAACCAACCCGACCCTGGCTGGAGCTTGAAGGCTGGGTGAGATATGATGAAGGATCGTTGAAACTACCCACCCGGCTCGCTCCACCTGGCAGCCTCCAACAGGGGGGAGGGTGGTTCATACTATCGAGCATAACCAGGTGAGGCGTCGTCACTGCTGTACAGTAACCTGTCACTCCTCGCCCACAGGTATGTAGTCGGGTCCCCGGAACCAACAGTTGCAGGCATTCAGGATCCAACCCCAACCCCAGATGCAGCACGCACCCCGAAGCACTCTGTATCATCCATCGTCCGTCACACGGAGCAAATCACGACCACGATTACGATAACGCCTATATCGCGAGCCCTCTTTCTTTGCTCTTTCTCTTCTCTATCCGGCAGCTACCTACAAAGTCGAGAAACACGGAGTGTCGCTGCCACTGTCGCACCCATGCATGGCGAGTGAGATCCTGTGCGAACCTGCGGACTGCGGACTGCGGGCACCCCCCTTGCCCCCCGCTTTTCTCCACTCGACTCCGCTCCCCGATCTCGCCTACGCATACGCACACGCACACGCAGACTCCCTGCCTCGCGATATATAATCGATAACCCGCATACATCCTACCTCCCTCAGTTGCTTATCGTGCGGCGTGCAGTCGCGAATAGACCCGGACTAGTTATAGCTGTAGCAGTGGCACATGCGATGCGGGGACGAGACGAGCGATGCGATCGGGGATGGTGCGCTACGATCGTCCTCACTTCGTTTCGTCATTTTGTTACTTCGTCGCTTCGTCACTTCGTCACTTCGTCCCCCGTCCTCCCCCGCTTCGTGGTTCGCGGTTCGTACTTATGTTACATGTGTGTATGTGATTCGGATTGCGGGGTAGACGGGGGTAGACGGGGCTGTTCACGGTTCACAGCCTACAGGGAGAAGGGAGAAGAGAAGGGATGGAAGCACCACCGGGTAGGCACTTGCACTGTACTCTGGACTCTAACTTACTCCGAACCATAATGAAGAGAGAGAGATGAGAATGAATTACGTACCGTATGTACGACTACTAGTACTACGGACCAGGAGAAATAGAATACCTATAATAACTAGACCAACGACCTTCCCCCCAAGAAACTCCGTTTATGTGTGATGAGAAAAGGAATGTATGTACAAAAGAGCTGATGTTGCTAGGGATTAGAACAGAAAAAAAGAAGAAAGAAAAGAAAGAAAAGCAACGGGAAAGAAGAGCGAAAAGCGAAGAAAAAGGCACAAACAGTAGGGGAGAATGAAACAAAATGAAACAAAAATGAAGTGAGAAAGCAAAACCGATACCGATACCCAAGCCGATAAATGCAAAGATCATGAACATAGACGCTGAAAACCGACAAGACGTATAAACAAAACAAAACAAAAAAAAGGTTCGAAACCACAAACATCCCATCCCGCTCGCAAGAAACAGGAGCAACCAACATGAAGGATCCCAAACCAAACCAAAAAAACAACACCGTCACTCGCTCGCCCGCCGCATGATCACCGCTGCTCAAACAACCTCGCGCCCATAGGCGCCTCCCTGTACCTCCCCCCCTTGACCCAAGCGCCCCTAACACTGCGCCCATCACCATCACCCTCTCTATCGACATCCTCCTCGACCGGCCACAAATCGAACCTAAAGCTATCCCTATGCTCCAGGGGGATGAGACGCCTCCCCCACTGATCCTCGAAGCGGACCTCACCATGCGGCCACATCTTGCGTGCGATGACCGGATGAGTCACGGCCTTTTTTGGCGGCGTGGCCGCCCGCCGGATGATGCTGACTCCCGGCCGCAGGAATGTCACCTCCTCGTCCTCCGAGGAGTCATCGCCACCACCGTTTGAGGGCTCGTGCTCGTTCACCCGCAGGTCCACCTCCTCGTCTGCGCGGCTGGGTGAGCGCACCCGCGGCGGTGATCGCACTGTCGGCTGACGTCCGAACAGGGACTCTGGTGGGATCCGCCACGATGGCGGCGGCGACGAGGGAGGCGACGAGTGCATGTCTGTGCGTGGAGGCGTCAGGTACCCTGATGCTTTCTCGTGCGTGCTGCTGCTGGTGGTGGTGGTGACATCCGCTGTGGATATGTTGGGGCTGCGGTTGGGGCTGCGGTTGGGACTGCCGGCCCAGCCCAGGCCCGAGGCTATGCCCGCGTCCAGCTCCGGACCTAAGTCGTCGTCATCGTGGAAGCTGCGCCGCGATGAATTGCGCGAGAGCTTCTGTTTCTTGGCTGGGTTTGACGACGGTTGGTCGTCCGAGGGCATATAGAACGCCACTGGCGCGGGGAATATCTCGACTCTGTCCAGGAAGCGGACGAACTTCTTTAGCTTCTGGGAGGGCGATGTCGATTCCGATGAGGAGGTGGAGGCAGAGGAGGGGGAGGGTTCCTGGGAGGGCTTGCGCATGGCCGACGTAAGGGTCGACTGCACCCGCTTCTTGGTGGAAGCGGAGATCAGCGACGGCAGCGTGGAAAAAGTGTTCCCCATTGCGTCCGAGTTGTCGTAGTAATAAGACTCGATTCCGGCTGGGTCGTCGAGGTAGTAGAATGGCACGATGTCGGCGTCGTCCTCGTAGTCTTGGGGGGTTAGCGCGGGGGTGAGCGGGCCGCCCATGGTGGTATTCCGGGCACACAAGGAAGTAGTGTTGTTTCTTCCTCCTCTTCTTCTTCCTCTTCTTCGGAGTGGGGGGAAATCCCAAGCGGCTTTTATATTTTCAAGTTTCTTTTTATTTATTTATGCGAAGAGGCCTTTGCGGGGAGTACAGGGAAGATGGGGAGGGGAGCGGATGAAGGGAGGGGAGGGAGGGGTGTATAGGCCTGCAGTTGTGGGGTGCTTGCGAAAAGGCCCAGGAGATCTAGATGAACGGAGGGGATCCGAATGGGCAGGCAGGTCGGTCAGGGTCAGTTGACTGTGTGGACCGTTTATTCTTTTTTTCCCTTTCTTTTCTTTTCTTTTCTTTTTCTTTTCTTTCCCCGCTGCCGATATTCGAAAGGGAGGACTTGAGTTTCGTTCCGTTGTTGAGACCGGCGGGACGTCCGTAGGAGGAAAGCCGTGAAGAGGACTGTCAAGTATCTACTTCGATCTCGGCCTTTGTCTTTAGAGTAGGTAGATGAAGAGTCGTTCGTGTGATCGTCGCAGCAGACACGGCAGCTGAAGAAAGCGAGGAAGGAAGGAAGGGATCGTCGGGTGAATATCAACCAATACTGAATTCAACCTTCCAGATTGGGACAATATTTCGGATATCGGATAAAAATAAATAAAATGGTGGAAAAGATTTTTGAGAAAGAATTGACTGGGCGCCTGGGGGTTTCTGTTTGCTCGATTCGTACCACTTGTGTCTTGAAACGACCGGAGGGGGATATGTGGGGAGGGGATGGGGGCGGGGGAGGTGGATCCAGAGGAAGTGCAGGAAGAGGCGAGGGAAACACGAGCGAGAACTTCTTTTTCTCCAGAAGAAAGTTTTGTGGACGGCACGAGGGGCAGCCTTTATACGGACACGGGCTGAGCGAAAGGCTGGCAAAGATGCTCCGGTATCGGCATCAGTACGTTGGCCGCGCCTGACACGGATTCTGACTGCTGCCTGTGAGTGTGAGTGTGTGGGTGGGTGTGCGTGGGTGCGTGAGTGCATGCGTGCGCCCTCATTATCGGCGCTATGTATTCGGTCTCACTGTGACATGAGCAGCAGCACGGTACGGTGCGCCGGGAGAGACATGAGCTCGAGGCAGAGGAGGGTGAGGACCGGAGGGTCTACGTTTAGTTTTCTTTGCCTCGCTCCTGCCTCCCTCCCTCTCAGCAGCAGCAGCAACAGTGCGAATTGTAACGGGCGATGATGTGCTTCTTCTTGTCCTTCACCATCGTCATCATCTTTTCTTCATCATCATCCACTAACTAGCGGGCTTGGGGACGGGAGGGGGGGCTGTGAGTGAGCAACAAAACCACCAGGACCAGGCAGGGCATCCCCATCCCCATCCCATCCTCCATCCCAGTCACCGTTATGGCGGGTATCACTCGCACGCTCGCTCGCAAAACAAAAAACGAAACCCGCGATGTGCGCCGACATGGATGGCAGGATGCTGGGGTGGGTAAGGTAACTAAGGACTCACGTTGCACATACTAATAGCTCAGCTGCATCGCCCATGCCCATGCAGCAGCTGCGAGCAGGCCGATCCGCTCGCCTCCAGACGTGCTCAGGCAAGGTACATACAAATGTTCGCCAATATTTCAAATCCGCGCGGTGCTGGGGATGATCCTCCCCCCCCCCCCCCACCCTCAACCCTCCCCCGTCGTTCGTCGTTCGTCGGCGTCGGCGGCGGTGGGGCGAATGAGCCGATGCCGACGATCAGCCAACCACAGTGGGGAGAAGGATGCCCACTCACTGCGCTCCATGCCTCTTTGAAGTTGCTCCACCTCCACCGAAGAGAACAAATCTATTACTAGAAAATGGGCTCCGGAATCCAGAGGCAGTGAGCCTTGGGGCACCGCTTCGATAAGCGAAAGAACCATGGAAGCATGTGGAATGCGAGAGCTTACAGTATGTACTACAGACCAGCAGAGTAGAGCACAAGTGTACTATACATGTTCTCCAGAACATCAGCCTTCCCCTCCCCTCCCCTCGCTCCCATCGTCGAACTGAACGGAACGCTGATTGCCAGGACTTAGGTATGAGGTATGTACACAGCCCCCCAACTGGCAACTGGCAACTGGCGGCTGCTAGATGTTCCTGTGATTTGATTCGCGCCGTCTTGTCCGTTCCATCCGTCTCGTCCGTCGTCGTTTCTCTTCGGACAAGCCAGGAACCAGGAAGTTTCATCCGGGCTCATACGGCTTCCCAGCAACTGTCGACGGGGTGTGTGGGTTGTAGTGTACGTACAGTCTTGATCGACGACGTCATCCATCACGTCGACCATCCTCGAGGCCCTCGAGGCCCGGCGACGCGTTTCGTACATACCCTACCCTAACCACCCTCCCCCACCTACCCAGCGGACTAGGTATGCTATCCGTCCCATCCTATGCTAAGCCTGGGCTTAAGTCTTGAGAACTCGGGAACGAGAGTTGTGAGCACAGTACCACACCGTATGTACCGCACCGCGCTGCCGTGCAGGCATGCTGATGCTGGTACTTAGTCGCCGCATGCACTTTGCACAAGCCAGAGTGGGGACGTGTGTCATATGTCACCCCCCCCCCCCCCCTTTGGTACCGGTAGAAGTGGGTACTTGCGAGCCACCAGGGTTGGGGGGGGTTGTCGTTCTTTTTGTGATTGCACAGTGTTATCTTTCTTTTTGTCCTATTTGGGATTACAGCGGTTCGTGATTGGGTGGAGGGTATTATCCTTCTTTTCGTGATTGGGTGGAGGGTATTATCCTTCTTTTCGTGATTGGACGGTGTTATCGTTCTTTTTGTTTATCGTTCATTTTGTCCTGTTTTGGATTACAGCAGGATAAGTTTTGTTTTGTGATTGAGCGGTATTATTCTTCTTTTTACGATTGGACGGTATTTAAGTATGGTATTATCATTCTTTTCTGTCCCGTTTCGGAATTATATATCCGCTTTTGCGCTTCACAGTGCACACCGGCCCTGATTCGGAGCTGCGCAGGCTGCAGCATACCGCAACGTACCGTACTCGTGAGACGGTGCTCGATGGGGTTCTACACGAACGCCGAAGCGACCGTCTCGTCTTCTCGCGCTGCGATGCGATGCAGCCAGTGGGAGTGGGGGACTACCGTATATTGGATAATTACCGGTATGTAGGATGTTCGCTGCGCACGTTCTATGGCCAGTATCCCGTGTCCGTGGCCGGCCGGCCGACGAACAGAGACAGACGGCCGACGAACAGAGACAGACGGCCGACGAACAGAGACAGACGGCCGAAAGCAAGCAAGCAGTAGTACATTCCGGTACCGGCATGTGCGTATTGCGAACAACGCCGACTCTCGAACTCTCGAGTCACTGTTATGTAGTACTCATCCGGCGCCGGCGCCGCCAGCACTAACTACCCGCCGCACTCGCAGCGCTAACTAACCAAGCCTTCTCGCCTCGCGAGGAATGGAGGCGAACGACGTCAAGACTCAAGTAGGCGGAGATGTGGCGAAGACTCAAGATAGCAAGAGGAAAGGGAAAAGGAAAAGGAAAAGAAAGGCACACTGGCTACTGACTACTGCCCACTGACCATGGCCACTGACCGGCCCTCGCAATCGGATGGGAGATGGGCTGGGTACTCTAGTCAGGTATCGGCTCACTCTCGGGTCTCGAGTCTTGCAGCGTGACTGTCTGCGATAATTGATTCCTACAGCTCCTACACCCCACCATCATCACCACCATCCTCATTAGCACTACCAACGTTTCCAGCCCTCTGCCTGCCAGCTCGTGAGTGGTGCTGCCAGCCCGCCCTTCGCACTTCACACAGACATCGCGAAGAAAAAAACAAAACGAAAACGAGCAACACTCGCTTGCAAGCGAAGCGCCAAGGTCAGGTTCTCTTTCCTCATCCTCATCCTCTCCCTCTCCCTCTTCCACTCCTCTGTAGTCCTCTGTATGCAACAAATTATGCAATGCATCCCTACCTACCTACCTACCTACCTACCTACCCCATCCCTGTCACGCCTGCCTGCAGCACGCGCGTTGCAATTGGTCGTCCGCAACGTCCTCGTGGATCTCTGCATGGTGCACCAGGCTAAGTTAATGCCGATCGCTGTTGAAGCGAGCGAGATACAGTGGGTAGCTCGTCGATAAATCAACAAAATAACGAACGAACGAGCGAATGGTCCGGCAGGGCGGAGAAAGAGTCCGCGAGCGATGGAGACAGATGGGGTGGAGAGTGGGGGGGGGGGGGAGGGGGGGGGGGGGTGGGGAGACGAGACGAGACGAGACGAGACATGTGCGCTCGCTCCGTGGATGGTGCGAAAGTGCAGAGGCAGAGAACGAACGGCTCGAACGGTTTGAACGGTTTGAACGAACGCATCGAACGCACGGAGTCTGACCGGCCGGCGAGGAATCGGGACAAAACAGCCAACCGTCTAACCATCCAACCATCCAACTACAGAACCAACTAGTGCTGATCTGAGGGAAGGTAAGCTGCCCCACTACTCTACATACATCATACATTGTTGCTCTACATACTCTACTCTACGTAGAGCAGCTCCTGCCTGCTTGCCTGCCTGCCTGCCTGTCTGCCAGGCAGATGTCTGCTGGGTGGGTATGTGTGTAGAGTATGTAGATGTAGGCAGAGGATGTAGAGGCGGGTGTGTAGGTACTATACTCACGCTCCATACCCTGCCGATGTATGTAGCAAATGTATGTAGCATACGCACCCCCGCCCCCCCCCCCCCCCCCGCACCGCGTGGTGTGCGGATATGTAGAGTATCCATCGTCCATCGACCATGTTGACGTCACCGAGTGGGCTCGTGAAGGCTCTTGAGGTAGATTGTCAGACGAGCCCTAGCCTTGGGGGGGATTTCCGATGGATGGACTGAAGAAGACGAGGACGAGGACGACGAGGATGAGGAGGAGAGAAAGGGTTACGTTACTGCATTCGGGGAGGGGGAGGGAGGGGGAGGGGGGGGGGGGGGCTGGCATCCTGGAGAGCTCGTTCGATCTTGGTAACCAACCGGCTTTGAGCGCGGTCGCTCAGTCGCCCAAGTCGCCCAGGCTGGTGGCCCGTGGTGGTGTGCGGGTAATATACGCATACGCGTGAGTGGGTGTGATGCGAGATGGGGTTTCGCCAAGGATCTGAGAGAAAAGATGGGATCAGAGAAAAGAAAAGAAAAGAGAAGAAACGAACGAACGAGGGCGAGATACGGGGGGAGAGGAGGGGGAGGTGATTAGAATTTGGCGAAGAGAGGGAGAGGGAGGTGATTAGAATTTGGCGAGGAGAGGGTGAGGGTGAGGGAGAGGGAGAGCTTCTCGAGCGCCGAGAGGATAAGCTGAGAGATCGACGACGACAACTACTTGGCTGCACCTTCTCTCTTCCCTTCCCTTCCGTGGCCGGGTGAGCATGGCCGGGCCAGGCCACATGGTGCCTCGGTGGACGGAAAGGGATAATATCAGCCCCGACTGCCCACTGCCCAGTACCCACTGCTCACTTCCCACTGCCCCAGCGCGGAACAAACATCCTCCCTCAGGAAGCCACGGAAGACGTACTCTACAGAGGCAAGTAAGAGTAGGGACATAGCTGAGTGCGACTGCCAATATATTCTATCTACCTGCGTGCTCTACACAGCACAGCCGAGCCTGCCGCGCCGCGCCGCCGCGGCATCTGGCCTTCCGGACGGCTGTGCACACTGCTCAGCGCTATACGTACGTAACTACAAAAGCCGATCCCTCTTCCCCAGGCCATCTTCACCTCCATCTCCACGGAGGGAGGAAGCCGAGTGGCGAGACCACCGTTTCATTTTCTCTTCCCCACCCATCCATCAATGCAGAAGCAACCAACCAACCAACCAACCAACCAACCAACCAACCAACCAACCACCCCGCCATATCCGTGGTTCGCCGGCCGGTGGTAGGGGGATAAATTGGGAGCGGTGCGGATGACTGAGACACCCAGACACTGAGACACTGAGGTAGCAAAAAATGAAGCTAACCACTCAGCCCGCTCGCTCGTCGCTCGATGCCGTGCGTTTGGATGTCGTTTCTTTTTTTCCCTCTCCCTCCAGAGTGAGCAAATGACAGAAGACCTTGAGGATGTACGACATGGGACATACCATCAAAGGTGAGTACAATGTGGCGTCTATGTCTCCCCCCCTGCGTAGGATACATCAAAGAGTCGCCGAATCCGAATCCGAGCCGGTAGTCGGGATTCGGGACTCGGTGAATGATGATCCATGATGAGCATACAGTGTTATGTATGGTATGTACGATATGGAAGTACGGTACACTCTGTGCACCGCAGGCGCACTTGCACTATTTACTTTCACTTTCACTTGCACTCCTCACTTCTCACTCCTCACTTCTCACTCCTCACTTCTCACTCCTCACTTCTCACTTCTCACTCCCCACTCCTTTCACTTGCATCGCCCCGCCACCGCGGACAGCGCAAATACCGACAATCTAGATGAGTAGGTAGGGCATATAGGGCATGTATCATAGCTGAGTAGCTACCGGTAGCTACGATGCCGAACCCAACTAGCGGGCAGCAGCATTTCAGCAGCAGCACTTCAACAGCAGCAGCAGTAAAAGGTGTGGTTACTCTGCGTATACTGTATGTACGGCTTATGAGCTAGTCCATCCATCCATCGAGAAACAGTGAACCACCGATCCTGATTGGTCCGGTCACTCTCATCACTTCACTTCACTCACCACCGAGGTTGTTTTCCGTTTCGTTTGGTTGGTATCGTTTCGTTTCGTTGCGGTGGATAGCGCTGTGTTACTGTGCAGGCAGATACTTCTCACTGAATGGATTATAGGCAGCGTCAGTTGGGACTGTGACTGGGAGGCTACGAGGTTACTCCGATCGTGAGCTGCTCGCGAGGCCTGGTCTGCGAAGGTCTAGGCCGTACAATGGTATTTAGCCAGCTGCGGGCCTCCAAAATCAATCGACGCCACCCGCCCGCGAGCGCGAGCGCGAGGATGACTCGTATGTATGTACCGTGTAGGTTCTACAGCCGTGTAAGCTGGCAGATTCCGAGCTGGAGCTGCGGTGGAGCTGGGGGGGGAGTAGGAGTTTGGACTGCGGACAATACCACTGCAGCCTTCAGCCTTCAGCTCAGCTCGGCTTGTCCGACGGATGGACGGGCGTTTGTATCACGGCGGCGCGAAAGCTGATATGACCTATCGTGGGAATGTATACTGTAGCAGTAGGCAGCTACCTATAGTATGATATGGTATAATATGGTAGTCTATACCTCACGGACGTCAAATCCTAATTGTGAATCTGTGACGGGAGGAGGAAGCTGCGAGTGAGATCGTGTGATCCTTCCTTGCCACACACCACACTTCATACCGTATCGTACCGTACCGGCGTTGGACTAGGTAGGCAATGTGACCGTGCCCGCTCGTGCATATCAATTGGATATGCTTCAAACTTCGATCAATCGAATCGGTGTCCTGCGCTCTAGTTGTACGTTAACGTCGCACCGATTTCGAAGGCCGAAATACTTCTCCTCAGCGATTCCCTTCCCTCCTGGTGGAGATCCGGACTTTACGCCAGCGTGTGGGGTGGAAGGCACATGCGGTGAGTCCTCTCTGGCGATCGTGAGCGACGAAGCAGCAGAACGCACATGCCCTACATCAACCAACGTCCGACGTCCGTTCATCCGTTCCGCAGCGCCAGCGACACACGATATCACCCACCGTACCTCGCCGCACTGCGCTTTTGGCATTCACGGATATGCATAAAAGTCCCCAGTGTACTGTACTTTAAATACCTCGCTCTTGTTCCTCCGGGGCGAAATAATGCCGTTCGATGTCAGAGCTCCCCTACAGACCACCACCGACCCCCAGCCCGAGCGCTCGAATATTGCGTAAGGAAAACGGAGGGGAAATGTCCAGCCATGTGACTTGGTGCCAGATGCTGCTGCTGGGGCCTGGGATATCTAGATTCTACAGGAGCGGGCTTCGAACGTTGCACCGAGAACCGAGGTGGTGGGGTGGGTGGGTGGGGAGGAAGCAGGAATCTTACCTACCTATACCAGTAATCTAATCAAGAATCCAGAGGTAAGGTAAGGTCCGTTTTACTACGGAGGAAGAGGGTGCTCAGAGCGGGGAAGGTGAGGTAGGACGGGACTAAGACCAACTCAGCAACGATGAAGGTGTTGGATAGTAATGCTTGGTAACCACCGGTACTACCTAATACCCATCACCTTGAGCAAAACTAAATTGGAATTGACTTTGACGTCTGACTCTCCGGTGGGGCGTGTGCTTGTAATTGCCCTCACACTGGAGTCTGGGATGAAAGCGTGTTACCTATGTAATCACGAATCCCCATCTCCCCGCGATGCTATGATATGACATATCATGTTAGACTTGATATCCCAAGTGCATCGATCGCCGGCAGAACTCTGGCTGGTACATTTCAAAATTCGGGACCACGAGCTGGTCCAAAAAATCCCACGCCAGGGAAGTACATATCGTTGGGTACATATCTTTGGGTACTACAGAGCACCACCTCACCGTTTCGAAGGGCAGTTTTATGCGGAAGTGAGGCGTACGGTAGGTATAGCTGCTCCACGATATGCAATATTTACATACAGCACTTCGTGTGGAGCTCTATCACAAGCGCAGAATCGACACTTCTGCAAGTCATCGATATCGCTGTGGTGCAGTGGTGCGTGTCTCAGCCGATACTGATGTGCGCGGGTGACTGGATTCAAGCTTTCGCATTGGAGTATCATGCATACCTGGTATCGGCCGTTTCGAAACAACATTCGGATTGAAGACAATCGCAGCGAAGGAATGGCCTTCCAAGTTCCGCTGCCGGTACCGAGATCATATGGCTTCGGTGCACCCCGCGGTGGTCACTGGTGGCTGCGGTTCTTTGCTTTCTCTGGCGCGCCGTAACTTGTGTCTCGGCTATCCGTATCATTCCCGAATCCCAGGTGGTTGCTTCCCCGCGCCGCGCTTCGGGCCGAAGCTTTGGCTTGTTTTTGGACCCTGGTTGAAGTTAGCCCGCCACGAGCGCCGCCTACGTAATCCCCCGTGTGTATGTAGCTATGTCATCACCACTTTTCCTAGCCCTCGATCTACCTATGGCCTGGCCTGGCGGCGACGTTGGGGCAACTGCACGTTGCAACCACATCCCCGCGCCATGATAACCATCTTCCCCGGCTGCAGCGTGCAATCGTTCAGAGCACGAGTGGTAACAAAAGTGTGCATGGCGAGCTCGAGTGCTGTCCTCGGAAAGCGGGCCAGGTCGGTGTCGACCGATGCGGCTGCCTATGATGAAGGTTGGTTTTCCAGGAGGTGGGACGCAGCGTGAGAAGAGCTGATCGTTCGGCGATGATTAGCTGCAGCATCGGAATCTGAATCGGAACCTTTCGTCTGGCCTGCCCCTCTAGCGAGGCTCGAAGCGGCCAGAAACTTCATTCGAGAATGGTTCGACTCCCCTCACCGGCTTTGCGCCGTGGTACTCGCTGACTCCCAGCAGTGCCGCCTCTCCAAAGAACATCCTCCTCGTCCCAGACCGGGATGCGGACGGCCTCTCTTCTGGTACCATAATGTCACTAGCCCTACAACTCCTCTCCAAGCCGCAGCACCAGATCCACACGCACTTCGTCCTAGCAGGCCGCAACATATTCAGCACCGAGGAGCGGGAGTTGATGACGGGCCTCTGCCGCGAACAAGAAATTTCGCACATGATCGTACTTGACCAAGGCTCGCGCGCAGCGCCGCCACTAGTGGAGGCAGACACGGGCACCAAAGTCCTGATCATCGACCACCACCAGAGCGCGCACTTCCCCTCGGGCGCGGTGGTAGTGAACGCGTGCGCGCACGCGCCTGTCGCCACATCGAGCGTGCTAACGTACGCGATCTGCGAGCCGCTGCACGCCGCGGTGGAAGAGAAGGCGGCGTGGCTCGCCGTGCTGGGGGTGTTTGGCGACCTTGGTCCGTCGACGAAGCTGGAGCCGCCGTACCCGCCGGCCCTCGCCGCGGCGAAGAAGAAATACCGCGCCACGCATATCTCGAGCCTCACGGCGCTGATGAATGCGCCAAGAAGAACGCCAGAGTGCAATACCATCGATGCGTGGATGCTGCTGCAGCACGCACCAGACGATGAGAATCCGCCCACGCCGAAGAGGATCTTGGATGGTGAGGTGGACAAGGTTGGGATCGAACAGCTGAGGGATGCAAGTGCCAGGATTAAGGCGGAGACCGAGAGGTGCCGGCGCAACGCACCCGTGTTCTCGGCGGATAGGAGGGTCGCCGTCGTGCTTATGCACTCCGCATACCAAATTCATGGCCCTATCGCCACCATGTGGGCCGGGTTCCTGAAGGGTAGCAGGCTCGAGGTGGTCATGGCAGCGAATACGGGGTATGTCGAGGGGAAGGTCAACTTTTCCTGTCGGATGGCTCGGTCAGCTAAGCCACCGGATGGAGAGAGCGGCGTGGATATCATCGCCATGCTCTCGGAATACGCTGCGAAGGATCAGTGGCTGCTGGAAAACGTTGGGACGGAGTTTGCGAATGGTCACAAGCAGGCGACCGGTGGAAGCCTGAGGAAGGACGTGTGGGAGATGTTTGTGGAGAAAGGATTGGAGCTGACGAAGAAGGAGGATAAAAAGACGAGGAAATCGAAGAAGGAACCGGCAGAGAAGAAGCAGAAGAACACGCTGGATGCGTGGGTCAAAAAGGACTAGCGCTGTCGTTACATCATAGCTATCACTCGGTTTCTCCTCAATCGGCACCCAGAGATTCTTCCTTTCAAAAGTACCAACCCTTACCCGTGATGCTTGGAACAGTCTTAGGGCGTTGAAGCACTCGCCGGCAACGTATTTCTGTGTAGGTTTACATCGCCCAGACCAGTTCATGCTCATCCCACTCTCTCCCACCTCCTGGCCTCTCGACCCCACTACCATAATCACAACTCCTCTACTGTATAGCCCTCCGCCCCTTCTCCGCCACATCCGGCACCGCAACTCGCCTCCGACATTATAAGCGCAATGGGTCTCCCTCCCTATATGTTTCCTCTCCAGGACGAGGCGCCATATCCCTGCCTCCTGATTTCGGGATACGGATGTCGAGTTCTCACCCATGCAGACGAGGGAAAGAGAGCCTTTATCTCCCTCTCGGACAAACTCACTGCCTGGCCGGATAGCAAGCACTTTGTCCGCGAGCAGCCACTGCCACAGCCGCGTGGCCACCAGCACTTGCTCCTTCCAACAATCGCCGACTCCGAGCCCGATGCAGATGCCGTGTCGCTCCCCGAGGACGAGCGGGAGGAGGAGCCCGAAGAGGATCCCGAGGAGGAACCGGCTTCGGAACCGGATTCGGATTCGAGTTCGAGTTTGGACACCGAACTCCTGCCGGGATTCATTTATCTGTGGGCTGAACACGGGGAAGACGAAGAGGATGGCCCGGTGTATGAGTCCGACGGCGAAGAGTCGGGCCGTACGGCGTTTTCGACGGTCTCGAACACGACGCTCATCAACAAATCGGACCACAAGATGGAGGCGTCGATGAAGGTTTACAACGACCAGGAGATGCCGGCGCCGCTCAAGACCCAGCCAGTCAACGGGCAGATTCAGATCACGCTCCATGACCAGCAGCGCACGGCTCTGGAACAGCTGAAACTGTTTGAACTGCAGTTGGAGAAGGAAGAGCAACACCGCGCGGCGCAGAAGACGTCTTTCTACCGTGCAAAGACGCATCACCGTTCGATCCCGGCGTCCCTCGCACCGATCCTGGTCCGCGCCGTCACAGTCGACAAGATGCCGCTCATGTGGACCCTCGCAACTCTGGCCCCCAACATCCGCGGCGGAATCATCGACCAGATCACCTGGGTGCCCCACCGCCAGAACCGCCCTTCGATCAAGATCTTCTTCATCCAGTCGCAAGATGCGTTCCAGTACTACAAGTTCGTCACCGAGAAGGGCGGCATCCCCTGGTACGGGTTTCCCGGCGGTAGGTCCTTCGTCAGCCTCGTCCCGGCGGAAGACGGCGGCGACGCACCCATCAGCAGCGCGGTCCTCCAAGGCCTGCTCCACGAAGGCGTGCGCCGCTACTTCCGCATCCGCGGTCTCCCGTCCAACGTCGGTCTCGGCGAGCTGCGCCGCGCGATCCACCGCTACGCCGTCCTGCGCCGCGGCGTCCGCATCGTGTTCGAGTCAATCACCCGGGACGCGAAGCACACCGAGGTCAAGATGGCGTCCATCGAGGCCGCTATGGCCGCGCGCGATGCCATCACAATCACCTGGCCCCGCTGCTACATCAACTGGACCGACGACGAGTGCGAGCTCCCGCTGGACAAGAGACTGCTCGCCTACTGGAAGGGTATCCGCGAGCGCAACGCGGCGCTCGTTGCCGAGAAGGGCGCCGAGGCGGTCATGAAGGCGGCAAAGTGGGGCGACACGGAGCCGAGGATACAGAAACGGATTGAGAAGCCGAAGCCAAAGCCAAAGCCAAAGGTTGGGGATACGGATCAGGAACAGGGCGAGCAGACTGATGCCCCGGTGGGAGATGAGTCCGCCCATGCCGCTTCTGCTTGATTTCTCTCTTTGGTTTTCTTTACGACGGCCTGCTGGCGATCAGTTGATGAGGGGGGTGATCGCAAGCGGGACTGCACTCGGATAAACCAAGCAACCTTTCCTCTTTGCATGTATGCCGTTCGGAGGCGCTTCTGTTCTTTGCATTTCTGTATTCTTTACGGCGGCTAGTGTTTTCCAGGCCAGGCAGCTGAAATCGTGATTTAGTGTGTGTAAATAATGCGGTCGGTCCTATCATACGAGTATGTAGAGTAGTAAACGGTAGTGCTGCTTAAGGGAACCTCCATACATGTAGGTATATAGCTAGGGCGAAACCTATCAGATAATCAGAAGGAAGAGAGGAATGATGTGATTGATTGTTCTACGCGACCAAATCTATCGTCACTACGCGGCTGCCCGCTGCTTCTCAGCCGCCTTCATGATCATCCCAAACACCTCCAGATCTTTCATCGAATCCGCTGGTGTGGTCTTGGCTTCCTTCCCTTTGACCACCATTTCCCAGAGCTCCTTCAACTCGAGGGTATACGGGTCTTCGTACGTCCTCCTGACCGTCCTCTCTTGGAACGCACCGGGATCGCCCTCGACGGCCTCTCGCACGACCATGGTGACCGGAAGCCCCTTCACGTACGGGGTATCGTACACCACCTTGACGGTCTTGTGCTTTCCGAAAACCTCGAGGCTCGCGTCGAAGCGCGGGACTTGGTCGATGCCGCTTTCGTAGGTCACGGCGAAGTTCGGGAACTGGAAGAGGACCGTCCAGATCGGGAGGCGAAGGGAGACGCCGAGCACGCTGGTAGGCACGCCGAGGCATTCGCGCATGAGGGAGATGTCGTGAGATCCCAAGCTGGAGGTTTTGCCGCATTTTAGATCGGAATAGCCGTTCGAAGGAGGAGGAGGAGGGGGGAAAAGAAGCATACCTGCAGAGCCATCGCCACATCTCAACGTTCTCCGGAGTATCCGGGACATCATTCTCAACCACCAGTGCCTGGTTTGTCCCTTTTACCGCCCACATCTTCCGATCCGCGCTGGCGGCTTCGGAGATGTCCGTGGGCTGGATCGGAAACGCCCCGGACTGTCCCACGAACACCGGATTCGGCGCGATTATATCTGCCGTCCATCAGTTCCGCGCCGTCTTTTTCGGCTCAACGAACGAACCTCTGACGCGAGCATAGAGCACCTCCCCCGCGCCGCCAACCTCCCTGATGGTGTCCTGAAACACCGCCGCGTACCTGCGCATGTATCCCACCATCACCTTTTTCCCGCCACTCTCGCGCTGCGCAGTCTCTATCAACTCTACGTCCTTCCGACACAGGGCGAGCGGCTTCTCGACGAACACGTGTTTCTGTAACTTCAGGGCGCAGACGACGTGTTCGACGTGGTACTCATCGCTGGAGGCGACGAAGACGACATCGATATCGGCGGCCCTGCAGAGTTCGTCGTACGCGTCCGTGGTGCGGTGCAGGTGCGGCAGCCGCGCCGAGCAGTGCGCGAGTGCCGCCGCTGAAACGTCGCAGAGAATCCGCACTTCGAAGAGGTGGCTCAGATTTACCAGCGTCGCTAGGTGGATCACCTGCGTTACTTCGCCGCAGCCGATAATGCCGACGCGGACACGCTGCGGAGGGGGTGGGGCGGAGGTGGACATGACTGCCGGGCGGAGAGAGCGCGGGGTGACCCCGCAGAGGTACCTACTCTATCTACCTCTGTAGACCGCTCAGTGTGTGTGACGTCAATGCCTCGCTTGCGCGGAATATCCCGCGGGCGTAGCTTACTGGTAGATACCAAACTCTCCGTATGGCGTTGCGGACAATCGGGGTCTTGCGCAGGCGGACGCGGGTACGACTCGCCATTCAGAGCCGGTCACAATACATACCGGTATCTTGTAGGTGTCTTGCAGAACCGTGAGCCAGCCAGTTACGACTCAGCGCTCGGTACTCAAGCATAGGTTATCATTCGTCAAAACTGACGCCTAGGCAGTCAACAAAATCCCAAAGCCTGTACATATTCGCAGATATTCTAGTGTAATCTTCTTCCGAAAAGAGGTATACATACACAGCTAACACCCGGTATATATATATGTGCTCGCTCAATCACCACGATCTCGATCCACCCATGATCTATCCCAGAGGTACAAGAAATGCGGCAATGGGGCATATACAATGCATGGGCACGCGTTCGAACTGGCTCAGTACCGATGAGGGCTCTAATAAGCTCCAAAGGGCACTGTTGATCAATTGGCGTTGATAATATATGGCTTTTGGGTGCGCATATGCCTGACCGGCGTGCTCGATAGACAGTCTAGTCTGCTAGCTCCCTAGGGTACAAGGAATGCGGCAAGCCGCTATTAAGTAAATGCGAGCCTGCTTGTAAACCGGCTCCTGACACAAAATACGGCTCATTTGCTCTGGTAATTCAGGCTTCTGCTAGTAAATTAGCCTAAGCTGAACCAATAGGCGTTTGGCAATAATTGCGGCCATTTTACAATAGTCAAATTAGGCTCTTATACTTAATTTGGCTGTCAATACTGAATATGTCGATTGAACAGAAGCCTGATTTGGCGTTGAGGTGTAAACTGGCGATTAGTAGTAAATGTAATGTCTCGCCACCACTCTCTTCGGGCATCCGTTGGTAAAAAGATCCCTTACCGCTTATTAGGCTTCCGGCTTGAGTGATGAATAGGCTTCGATTTATACATGGAGAATATTCTCCTTATTCGGCCGACCCACCATGCGTACCCCCCGACATTCCCCCGCCATGCCCACCAATGTTGATGCCCGCAGCCTACTACTAACCACATTCGCTTCCTCCCGCCGACAGCTCTTCCATCACTTCCTCATCTAGCCAACAGCTCTTCCAAGTTCCCTTCCTCCTCTCGCCAACAACTCCTCCTCTCCCCCTTCACTTCCTCCTCGCGCTGACACCTCTTCCATCACTGCTTCCTTTCGCTGACGGCTCCTCCATCACTACGTCATCCTCTCACCGGCACGGTGGCACCCACAGCTCCTCCATCACTTCTTCCTCTTGCACTGCAGACAGCTCGTTTCTAGCAGACAGCTCCACCTCCTCCCGCCCACAGTTCCTCCTCCTGCCGCAACCTCTCTCGCTCCTCCTCTTGTCAACAGCTCCTCCTCTCCCGAAAATCTCCTCCGTCACTTCTTCCTCACGCTTCTCCTCTTGCTAACAACTTCTCTTCTTGCCGACAGCCCCGCCTCTCGCCGAGCCCTCCTCCTCTGTCACTCCACCACACAGTATTTCCCTTCACCGTCGTTCGCCCTCGTCTCTGGTCTTCCTACAGCAGGTACGTATTGCGCTCCTAGACCTAGCTCGCTACGGATACCCACTGTCCCGGTACTAACAGAATGTCTATTCAGCACGCCGGTCATGTTGAATCTGTGCTAAGGTACCCGGGTGAAGGCCGGAGAGTCAGGGAGAGGCGGGGAGGGGAGGATATATATGGGGTGAGCAGCGGTATCTATCATACATAGAACCACAGCAGTTTCAAGCAGCAGTTCGCGCTCATGTAATTGTTGAGGTCAGCAATATAAGCTCCTAAAAGCCATATTATCAACCATGCCCTTTTATAGCCGTATCAGTGACAATGCCTTTTGGAGCCCTTTTATGAAGAGCCCTTTTAGACTATAGAGCCCTTTTAGACTATAGAGCCCTTTTAGACTATAGAGCCCTTTAATAGCCGGAATAGAGCCCTTTTAGGAGTCCTATTAGAGCCATTTGACTGTCGTCTTCCCAGACCGTATTAACTCGTGCCCATTTAGTTAATACGGCAGTGCCGCATTCCTTGTACCCTAGGGTAGTATATATCCGCGGTGACGGTGGTGTGGTATCCGCGACGAGCCAGGCCTGATAATACTGTAGGACGGCATAGGAGTACAAGGCGTACCGGCTGCAGCAAGACCAGCCTGCGACAGTGACTACTGGTTCGGCGTGCGAGTGACTTCGACCCCGTCTCCGATGATTGACATCACATTTGCTCGCTCGTTCCATCTGATGAGCACGTTTTGGTGGGGTCTAGCAGTATGGCGGTATGGCGGCACTTCCACCCCGTCTTCGACAACTAGCGTCACGTTTGCTCGCTCATTGCATCTGATGAGCAAGTTTTGGTGGGGTCTAGCCGTCTGGCGGCGGCGAAAACCAGCTTGGAATCTGGCGGCTCCTAAATCACCTACAAAATCCCCCCTTCTGCTCCTCCTTATCTCCTTCTCTTTACGACCATCACAGCTTCCATTCTTCGTCGACCATTCACCTTCTTTCCTTCATTCGCCTTCCTTCCTTCCTCCCTCCTTTTCTTCATCGACCATTTGCCTTCCTTCCTTCCACCTGATCTCGAGATCAAACCTCAAGGTACGTCGTTCTCTCCCCCACCCCCCCCTCTTTTCACTTCCAGGATAACCTTACAGAGCCATTCTGCTCAGCCGTAGCAGCAAGGAACTGAGGGATCCGTGCAACCGGTCTACAAAGTAGCCGGTTGCAGGCACAATAGACGGATCCAACCCTCGAGGCTGAGCAGAAAAGGTTCAAGGACGGGGTTTTCTCTTCTGCTGCCGGCAAAATTCATTCCCCCTTCCTCCGGGAGTCCAAGTCGGGTGAGAGCCGACTTGCTCGCTGGGGGATGGCCTCTCCGAAACCGGGTGACGGACGGTTTCGTATTGACGAGGAAGAAAAAAAACAAAGAGAGTATAACTTGGTTTCCTACCCTCCCAAGTCATACGCGTATAAACTTGGTCTATTATCCCCCCAGGTTATACGCGGAGGTTTTCTTCCTTTCAGAGCAAAGGTCTTTCCTCCGGCCATGCATGAGTGAGATGCATGTGCCATTGGCCAAATGTTGTTGCTCTGTCCGCTGTGCGGAGAGAATGACATTGGCTTTCTAATCGACTACTATGTACATTCTACACTCTCGATCCACGGCTGCTTCCCGTGTCCATGGTTCATAGTCGTCAGCCACGCACGGCGGCGGCTATGAAGTATCGTGGCCCCTAAATACTCCATGCTCCATCAAAAACCTCTCTTGAAATAATGGCCCCCACTGCGGAAAGCGGTCGGAGTGGAAACGAATTATTGCGATACCAGTACTCAGTTCGATCGTGTCCGAGTGCTTTCCATGATCCGGACCAACTAGACCTGCTCGCGATAGAGATCTACAATCTTATCAGAAACTTAGAAGAGTATAGAGTAGAGTAGGTGATTACATATGGCAGGGGCTATCAGACATCGAAGGACGGCGGAGGACACCGAGCACACGGCATGTTGTTCACTCGCCCAGCGCAGACAGCATTGTTGTTCTGGCGGAGCTTGTCCGTCGCGGGGGCTCTCACGACTTGATAGGCGTCGAATTCATGAATCCAGCACGGAAAAAACCCCGCGTGGTCTAGTGGTGTAGCTGGCCCATGCAGTCGGCGAGGGGAGTTGAGGAAAGGCACCCAGTTCAACCCCGGATGAAAGCCTCAGCTCTTGGGGTTTTCAAGCCACCCACCGGGGTGGTGATGGTTTTTGTTTTTGTGTTTGTTTTTGGCGTGACGGTGGAGCACTCGACATCACTCGATTGAAGGTATCACGTGACCCGCCTCTCGCAGCCGGCTACGAAGGCGAGAATCCGTATGATGAACTTCATCATTGACGGAAGGGACCAAATAAACATTGCAACATGTACTCTACACCGAGGAAAAAAGACCGATTTACAGGCAGAAGCCTGAACTACCAGTGCAACTGAGCCGCACTTCGTGCTAGCCAGTTGACATGCAAGCGGCGGGAGTGGGCGTCTTCGCTGCGATTCTACTCTTACCGCGGTTACTAACCACCCCTTCGTCGCACAGAGCGCCCATTTTGGCATACGCTTGCTCAAGGAATACAGTCGTTTGTGGCGGCTGTCGCGTCTAGTTACTATAGTACGCATCCGTTTCCCGAGCGGCGTGCGGGAAACGGAACGCACGAAAGTATCATATAGATTGGTCTATGGCGCCCGGGAACTCTGGTTCGGAAGTACCTGCTGAACGGCGAAAACTGCTTGATGCCTTCGTTAACAAATGGGTAACGGCTTGACTATTTACATACTCATACCGTCAACCGACGGGTCTCGCGTCGATATGTGCTCGCAAAGCCACGTCCTGGTTTCGTCTAACAATCGCCATCGTTTGGGTCTCGTTGTGGTTGGTACCGTAGCATGATCCTGGCAGTCTTCAGGCGCATCGCTATTCAAAATCCACTCACTGTTTTGTGGCGGTGGAATTTGGAAATGGGCCAGCGAAATAACTGCCAGTCTGCTAGTCTGCGACATGGAGTAACTCCATACCTGGTACCGTATGTAGAGAGGCAAGCGGTAAACCGCCGAACGCCACGAAACTCGTCCACGGAATCGCAGTGCAGCGCCACTGGAGTATGTATACCGTAGTTAGTAGGGAGGGCGCAGCACGTAGGGCATGTAGCACTTAGGTAAGTAGCTATACGGTAGACCAAGGTCCTAATTAGGACTTTATCAGGTAGTTCGCATTCCCGAACGGGGACTTTCGGGGCTGTGGTTATGAAGTCGCCTCTCAAGACTCACGATTCTACCTACTACAGCCAGGCTGACGAGCTGAAGCCTCAAGGCGCCGGCGGCTCGCCGCACAGCGATAGGTACATAATCAAGAGGTAGTCCCGACTCCCGACTGCCTACCAGCACGAGAGCGCTATACCGAATATCCTGCACCCCGCGTTGGCTCTACGCAGTGGTATATCTACCTAGCTGTTAGGTACATAACAAAAAGGATCCGGTCATTGCCAGAGCGTTGGCTCTCCTCTGCGCCGCAGCGCACCGGCAGACGCGGCTTTCACCCAGCACTGGCGCGAGAGCGGAGGGCCGAGAGCGGAGTGCGGAGATCTGCAGTGCACCGGCGACTGCGCTGCGGTGCGGTCACCAGTGGGGCCGAATGAAGCACAGCCGAGTCGGAAGAGAAAAAACGAATGGCGTCGGTCGAGTGAGAAGTGAGAACGAGCGATGGCAAATTAATATATGTAGGAGTGCGCGTACCCGCGCCGCCCTCACAAAGGCACAAAGAGCGGCGGCGGAAGAAGGACTCCACGACTCCACGTCCCCGCGCGCTCGATCGCAAGGCCGCAAGGCCGAAACGGACTCTATGCACTCTAGTCTAGTCTACTACCGTTAGTAAATAGAGAAGGCAAGCGATGACGCTGAGCCTGCGCTCGGATGTTTTCGATGTTCAACTAGTTTCCAAAGTATCGACATTTTAGTCTGGTGGCTGGCATGCACTGGACTGGACCCTGTGCAAGTGTGCAAGTGTGCAGTTGTGCATCGTTGGTTTCATGATCCCCTCTCTTCAGCGCAGTCCACTGAGCGCAGTCCCGTCCAGTCCCATCCAGTCCAGCCGCACGTGGAGCAGCAGCAGCAGTATCGGGTCGTCTGCCATCACCATGAGAGGACTCATGAAGGAGAGATGGAGGATCTGATAAGACAGGAGGAGAGAGGCTACATAGGTAGCCGGATCGGTGGATCCGACTGGTGGTGTCAGCCGGCCTAGCCGGATCGAGAGACACCGAACGTTGTAGGCAGCGGAGGAGATCCATATGAGATGGCTCTTCGAAGTTGAATACAACCTCAACTTCTCCTTCATCCTTCATTTTCGCCGTCTTCCTTCCAAGATCACGTCACGTCGGTTCCCCATTTACATACCTAGGCTCTTTCCTTTTCGTTACGCCCGCTCCGAAGCGATCGCCCCAGTGTTTGTTTTTTCTTCATCTTTTCTTTGCTTTTTCTCCCGATATTCTTGGGCTGGGCTGGGGCTGGTACTCGGTACTCTACCCGGTACCGACAACGGTTTTCGTTTCGTTTCGTTTCGTTTTTCTCTCGCACTACCGGCCCGAGGGGGAGGGGGCGGGGGAACCGTGGATCAGCGAAACGAAACGAAACAACTTCGGCACCCCCACTCTCGCCGAGATCAAAAACAAAACATAACATAACGCTTCGACGATCCTCAAAGACACGCGCATATTTCCCATTGGATGCCGCCGTTACCGCTCACGAACGAACGACGAACCGTTGACAGTTGTATGCACTCGGATGCATAGGAAAAAGGAACGAAGAAACTATGATGCGATTCCGTTACATGCTGATCGGTCGCAGGACAGGACAGGAGGAACTATCGACGTCGCCATCGTCACCATCGACGGCGACGCTGATTTGGTGTTGTTTTTATTCCTGTTGACTCGCCGATCGCTCGGCGCGCGGCGAGAGTGGGCTCACTGCTCAGAGCCCACTGGCGTTGGGACGATGGCCGGCGGCGGCGAGAGTGGGCTCACTGCTCACTGGCCCTTTAAACGATGGCCGACAGACAACGTGCGATTACGATGACGTACGGCAACTACTAACGATGTATGTACCTATAATAGTAGGTCACGCTTCCCTCTCTTTTCCGCTCTGCGGCGCGCATCTCGCCCCAACTAACGACTCACGCAGAGTCAGTACTTGAGTAGTTTGTACTCTACTCTGCTCTAGTCTCATGCCCGTATCCGCGTGAACAAGTTGCGAGGGCTGCTGTTGCTCCATGGGAGATGGCTCGTCGATGTCGATGGAGCTGGGCTTACCGTCTTTGGCGATAACTAACGCGGCGATTCGCTTGCCTTGCCTTGCCTCCGGACCCTACATACATCATGCGAGGTTGGCCACAATTCGGTTCGCCAACTACGTCAGATGGCCGACGATGATCGGAAGCTCTCTTCTCCTCTCCCTCCTTCTCCTCCTGCTCTCGGCCGCCTCCTCCTCGGCAGTCCTTATGTTTGGGTCTGTACGGTGGACGATGTTTGGATCTGTACGGTGGACGATGTACCTCCTCTCGGCAGTCCGTATGTTGGGGAATGTACATACGGCGGACGATGTATCCAACGCCTTATCGCCCGCTCGGACGTCTGTGAGCATCCCAGAGCAGATACCGGTACATACATAAATAAGTACCTAGACTCCTATGTATGTACATAGAGCAGAGATAGAGTATGTATCATCCCCACATCCCCACCGCATGCACTCGCTCAGTTCACGTAGACCCGCACCTCCTCCTGCTCCTGCTCCTGCTCCTGCTCCTCCTCCTGCTCCTCCTCCTCTCCCCGTCCTTTCCTCCTGCCTGCACCCGCCTAGACGTAGCTCTTCCAGCCACTCCTACTCGCCCTCCCCCCCGCCCCATCGTATTCACCATTTTTTTCTTTCTCTTTCGCCGGGACGCCGCCGCAAGCTTGTGACAGCTGCAGGATCCGCTGCAGGTCGACTGCAGCCCGTGGCGATAAGAATTGTCTGAGTGGCTTACATACTAGTACATCATAGAGTACTCACAAGAATCGAGATATGCTACATAGAGTATTGATTACAACCCCTAACCCTTCGATAAGTGACCGCCCCGACCGACAGACCAGCCAGCCTGCCTGCTTGCCTCCGACGCTGCTGCAGAAGTTAGAACGAATGCTCTTTTCGCCCCACGCCCTCTGTCGGTCGGTCACGACTCGCGAGCTTGTGGGAGCGGAGTGGAGTGGACGGACGGACAGGACAGGACGGGCAGATATCCTACATAAGTAGGAGGTAGGATGAGGTATGTATGCGATCGCTAGATACTCTACCTATTCGAGTCGAGTCGAGCGGGGAAGGGAATGGAAGGGAAGGGGCAATCACATCACATCGCAGCAGACAGACAGAGAGACAGCAATCGCATCGTCCGAGAGGGCGTGGGGATCGCGTAGGTGAGGCGAGACGAGGCCATCGTCCATTCCATTCGTTCACTGTGGGGCGAGCGAACGGGCGAGCGAACGGGCGGGCGCGGCGCGGCGGGCGATGTCGATCACGAGCGAGCCTGTTCCTTCCATCGCCGTTTTCATCAGGGATCCCGGTCCTCCGCCTGCTCATCCGCTGGCTCCCTCCCTCTCGCTCGTTCTGAAACCTGACAACTCGATTTATGCAGGGAGAGAAAGAGAGTGCAATTGGCAGAACAGCACATCAGGGTGGATGGCCCATGGGGGCTTGAGTTTGTTTTTTGCTTTTGCTCTTTTTTGTTTTTGTTTTTGTTTTTGCTGGTCTACCGCCGATCGAGCGAGCCAGCCAGCATGGACATTGGACGGACGGGGTTGGGGCACCTGTGTAGATACATCATACCTATCATACCTCATAGCTGTGTAGATAAGTAGAGCGCATAGTCGTCGAGCGTGGGAGCAAAGAGAAAAGAGCAAAAGAGACGGAGCGAGGGTTGCAGGAAATATGTATGCGGACAGGACAGTGTGATTCACGCAGCCGCCCCGCCCCTTCCAATCCCTTCCCCTCCCATCCCCGGCCATCTTTTCACGCGCCGGGGGGCAGAGCGAGCATCATGAATCGCAACCAGCAGCAACGAAAGAAAGAACCGAGAACCCCCCTCCCTCCCTCCCTCACACCGCAAATCCTCCTCCAACAACTCTCGTCGCTGACGTGGTCGCGTCCAGGCCCCCCCCCTCCCTCCAATCCATCCCCCATCCGCGTGCGAACTGTGTGACTACAACTTTGCTACGTCCCTCTCCCTCTCCCTCTCCCTCTCCTTCTCCCTCTCTGAATAGGAATGTCCACACTGCCCATGCCAATTATTGCCCATGAGCCATTCGCGAACTCTCCCCACTCCTCCCATCCCTCCTGCTGCTGCACTCTAGCCCGCGACGGAAAAAGATACTCTGCACCCGTTGTTTTTTCTTCTTTATTTCTCTCTTCCCTGCAGCATATCCAATTGCAGAGCTGCAACAACAGCTGCAACAGCAGCAGGAGCAACAAAACAGGCAGGCAGGCAGGCATGGAGCAGGTAGGCGGAACGAACAGAACGGAACAAAACAGCCAACGAACGAGCGAACGGGGTGATGATATGTATGGTATGTCTGTATGAGGTATGAGGTATGAGGTATGAGGTATGAGGTATGAGGTATGAGGTATGTTGGTATGAGGTATGTTGGTATGTAGCGCGACGTGGATGCGAGCAGGTGCTCTACAGCGCACAGACAGGACTGGACAGGACTGGACTGCTGGACTGGACTGTAGAGTAATTGGAGAAGGACGAACAAATCACACAAATCACACTCTCCGGCCAACCACGTCGACTGGCAGACAGAAAGATAGACAGAACGACTGAGCGTATGTAGATCGCCCCCCAACACACCCCATTCCATCCTCCGTGTTTAAACGATGCTATGCCCGCGGCCCTATGTACTCTAGCTGGACTTGGACCATAGTCTGCGATCCACATTCTTCTCCATCCGCCTTTGATAGCCGCCTGTCCGTAAAGGGTTGGATAGACGGTGCGCGAGAGATAGAGGGAGAAAGAGAGAGAGAGAGAGAGCGCGCGAGGACCGGAGAAGAAAAGACTCTTGAAGGGACCGTGTCGATCAGTCGGACGGACAGTCGGGCGGTGGGTCGGTCAGTGGTCGGTCTCAGCCAACGGTCGAGATCAAACGGAGACAGACACGGAGAGTGCGGGTCGTGGCTGTTGTTCTTATTCACGTCGGGCGGAAAAACGAAATCTGTGGAACTTCCTTTTGTTTTTGCCGTCTTATTTTTATTTTTTATTTCGTTCTATATCGACGGAGCCGGTAGGACGTGGCCTGGCCTTCCTGTTCGAATAATTACTCCGTTTTATTTCATTCTGCTATCACCACCATCATCACCGTCTCCGCCTCCGCCTCAGTCCGCCTCCACCTCCAGACTGAGCCCGGTATCTTTTCCTGTGCCTTGCGACTACCTACCTCATACACTAAGTCCATGCTGTGCTGCGAGCTGCGAGCTGCGTTGTTAGTTCTGGTAGCGTAGCTGCAGTGTGCGACGCCTCCCCCCCCCCCCCCCCCCCCCCCAAATCGAACAGAATCCTAGGAGTCCCACCCCGGCCGGAAGAGCTGTATGCCCGTTTTATACTGCTTGACTCCCCTCCCGACGCTCGTCCTCCATACCTACGACCGTTCCCTCATCACCGATAGCGTGCGAAACAACCTTCCTCCAAACACCAACACCACACACACGACGATGCTGGACGCCTTCTTCGCGGGCCGCCGAAGGCCTGCCTGCGCACCGCCGCCCCCCGTCACCTCCGCCCCCACTATGTCCCCCTACACGTCCGAAGAGCTGATCGGCATGTACACCTCGCGCTCCTCGCCCGTCGCCCCGCCCCCCGACGGCGTCTACGTCCCCAGCAATCGCTCGTCGTACTCGCCCGGCGAGGCCAGAAAGAGTCTACTGGCATACATGGACTCGGATAATTACTCGTACCACGAGCCGCCGGCGGCGGCAGCGGCAGTGACTGGTGGTGCCGACAGCAGGAGCAGGCCGGTGTCGGTCGTGGTGGCACGGGGTGGTGGAGCTGGGGCTGTGCTGGGGGCGGGCGCCGACGTGTTGTCGTCGGGGACCAACAATGCTACTGCCGGGACCAACGGACAGGACCATCTGGATGCGAGGACTCCAAGGTCGGCGGCCACGCAGCAGCAGCAGAACGCGGGCTTTCTGGCCTCGGTCTGGGCGTTAGGTAGATATTTATCCGTGGCCACCGCGTCGTCCACTCGGGAGGTTGTTAACGATGTCGTCACTATGGCCGCAGGATTCAAAAGGGAAAAACGGAGTTATGCAGCGTCCGTCGGGTCATCCGCCAACATGGATGATTTCGTCGGGAGCGAAGAGGGGGAATCGGTCACGGAGGAGGAGGAGGATTACGAAGAGGAGGAGGAGGATGAGGATTTGCCATACCGCCCCGATACCGTTGACAAGGGAAAGAGTAGGGAATACCACGCTGGATACCAGGCTGGCGGCCCGTCCAACCCCCCATTGGCGTCGCACGATCCGATCCCGTCCCCTCCTTCCACCGCAACCGAGACCGTCGTCGCCGAGCACAGAGGGGAGTCCGAGACCGAAACCGAGACCGTGGTATCCGCCGTGGTGTCGGATGTCGAGGCCATGCCAAGCTCCGACCAGCGTCCTCTCCTAGAGCGCCACCAGTCCAAGTCTCAATCCGAGCTTCGGCCCAACTCTGAGGTAGTGACCAACGCTCCAAGGAGATCCCCCAGTTTGATGGACCTAAAGGAAGCTGAGAAGGATGCCCGACAGGATGACATTAGGAACATGCTTCGCGAATCCGTGACCGCTGCCGAAGCCGTGGCCGCGGCCCCAGGACCCGTGATGGTGGCGGACCTGCCCGCCAAGGAGCTGGTCGAGGCCAAGGATTCAACCCCCGAGCCCACCCCCACCGCTACCAAGGCCGATAGCCCGCCGCTCGGCGTCGCCGTCGAAATCCCCACGAAAGAGGAGGATGCCACCCCGGAGACTCCGCCCAAGTCGCCTCTCCGAAACCGCAACAGCGTCTCGGGATCGCCGAGCAGCTCGCACCACGAGTTTGCGGCGCCCGAGGTCGCCAAGGCGGAGAGCGTGGAGGAGGTGAAGTCGTTCAAAGAGGAGGAAGGTAAGACTGAGGTGGCGGATAAGAACGAGGTGCCCCCGGTTGTTCCCGAGGCCTCCGGAGAGGAGACCAAGGAGAAGGCTATGCCAGACCTGAAGGGCTATTCCGAGGCACTGTCGAGCATGTTACTTAATCCCACAGCTCGCAGTACCGTCGTCGAGGACCCCGAGACCGCCACCGCCGAGATCGCCAAATCAACTCCCGAGATCCTCCCTACCGAGGTGCTAGCTAAGGCCGCCGAGGCTGCCACCCCCGAGATCACCAAGCCATCTCCCGAGATCCCTGCTTCGGTACCAGTCGAGGCCCCCGAAGCTGTCACCGCCGAGATCACCAAGCAATCTCCCAAGATCCCAGCTGAGGTGCCAGTCGAGGCCCTCGCCACTACTCTCATCGAGATCCCCGAGACTGCTGCTTCCGAAGGCCGTGAGTTCTCCGTCGCCGAATTCTCCGACACTATCGCCTCCACTCCTCTCGCCTCGATCGCCGAGGCAAAGGAGGAGAAGCGCGAGCCAGTCAAGGTTCAGGAATCGCTTCGGAAAATCTCCGTCGACAGCAAGGTTTCCGCCTTTACGGAGGCCGATGCCGCCGTCACTCCAACTCCGGAGACGAAGGCAGAGGAGAAGCCCGCTGAGAAGGCCGAGAAGGCCCCTTCGATCACCAGCCCCCCAGGCCTCGAACGTCGCAAGTCGAACGCGTTCCGACGGGACACCATACAGCGCTCCCTGAGCATGTTCCGAAAGAAGGACAAGAACAAGTCCAAAGATTCGAACGAGCTCCCAGCTGCGACCACAACCTCGGCCGTGGAACTGACTCCCCCCCCCACACCCCCGCACACCGACGATCAAACCGAGAAGGGGGAGACACCGGCACCGGCAGAACGGCCGAAACCCGCGTCGAGGATGTCCATGTTCGCGCTCACCAAGACGCTCAAAGAAAAAGCCGCCAAGGAAGCGGCTGCAGCTTCTGCAGCCACAGCCACAGCCGGCGACGGCGATTCCGCTATCGCCGCGCTCTCCAGCACCCTTGCAAGCGAAGCAGGCAAGTCCAAAAGTGCGGAAAGTCCAGCCGCCGCCTCGGAAAAGCCGGAACTCAAGAAGAGGGCGTCCTTCATCAGCATCGCCGAGTCCTTCCGCTCGCAACGCCCTGCTACTTCGGCCGGTATGCTCACGACTACGAAGGAGGGAGATGATGAGCCCAAGACTCCCCAGCGCCGCCCCACATTCCGTCCCTTCACCTCGTCGGGCGACAAGTCGAAATCGCGGACTAAGAGCTGGTTCGGCGGTGACAAGAAGCCAAAGGTCAACGACAAGGGCGAGCTCGTGGATCCCCGACCGAGCAAGGACGACGATGCGCCCATCACCCCGGACAATACCTCGTCGATCGCACCCTCGATCGCGCCGTCGACCAAGGAGCTGGCCAAAGAGCCGACCAAGGAGCCGGCCTCTCCCGTCCCCGAAACCCCAGCCAAGGAGGCCAAGCCCAAGTTCTTTAGGAGCCCGAGCATCAAGAGAGCGCCCACCTTTGGCCTCGCGAACCGCAGCCTGAGTTCCAGCGCCGTGTCGATGGGCACCACCGCCACCACTGGCACCACCGCCACGGACGCGACGGCAGCCACAGGCACGGATTCCCCCACCACCAAGAGCAAGGGTGCCGCGAGGATGAAGGGGCTGGTGAGAGCTAGCACGTTCATGGGCATGAGCAAGAGAAAGGACAAGGGCAAAGGCAAGGAAGTTGCGGCGGAGTAATCCGTCGCCGCCCAGCCGGCCGCCCAGCCAAGCCGCCAGCCCGCCAGCCCCCGTGCGCCACAGTTGAAGAGTTTAACGAGTCCCACGAATTTCTTTCTGTAACACTATTTTTTTTTGGGTGGCGGGGGAGGGACTAGGGGGCAGTCATCATCTGTTGAGGTGTTTTTCTTGACGTCTTTTTTTTATACTTTTTTCCACATTCGCGCTTTCCTTTACCAGATTGGATTACCATTTTTCGTCTTTTAGGATTTGCGGGAGTTTATTCCTTTTTTTCATCTATTTCTGTTTTCACAGCCTTCGATTTTTTGTGTGCATCCTGAGCGTCTGCGTTGTTTTTGGTGGGGGGTTTCGTTTTGCGTGTTTGCGTGCGTGCGTGTGTGTTGACTTGGGCATTCTTTTAGAGCGGAGGACTTGTGAATCTGACGGTTTCTTGCAATCGGGAAGGGGAGGGGAGGGGAGGGGATGATTGGTTGGTTGGTTGGATGGTTGGATGTATTGTCACGACGACATGGCTTGCACGTGCTGCATATCTACACGGGATGTTTTGAGTTTTGGATATTCTATTCTATGATACGAGGGAACGAGGGAACGATGAGGATGAATGAAATGGGTACATACAATACATACGAGAGACGAGATGAGAGACGGTCCTTGTTCGGGATGCTTTCCCAGCTTTTGGCTTGTTGCTTTTGACTTGTTGCTTGAAATAATCGGTACGGGTACTCTACCTAGACAGCTGTACATAAGTGGAGTGCAGTGGAGTGTAGTGAGTCACTGGAGTGGAATGGAATGGGACGAAAGCCGTTAATGATGATTATTGATCAGCACTGCAGCGCAGCACTGCTGGATTAAGTGAGATCTTCATGCACTTGGCATTTGACATATGACAGAGTGAGTGAAGAATCGCGATTTGCCAGCTGGTGCGTTGTCCCGTCCAGTGGCCAGTCCTGCATCTACCTTACGCGTCCGCCTCATTTGGGAATCTACCGTAGACATGTGAGCGTCGCCGGGCAGATAGACGGTTTCGCCACCATCTACAGAATTAAAAATCTCTTCGGTTACACACGGGGGCGCCACAGTCACAGTCACACCGTGCCTGGGTACTCTATGCAGATCGGAACCCATCACCCTCTTGAGCTCTCTCGCCTGCGCCTGCTTCCTCGGCCCCGGTACCGCAAGCTCGACTCGACTCGACTCGGGCGCGGATACGATGTACTTGGATCTTCCCTTCTCTGCCCGTGTCGCATGTAGAGTAGGTATGTAGGGAGATATACCCGCCAACCGGGCGTTCGGTGCTGGGTGCGAGGTATGATCCTGGTGGATTCTCCGCGAATGAAACGAACCCCAGGCGGTTGCAGTCTCATGCTCGTGCTCGTTTGCGCGTGAGCGAGCAGTACCGACGACGCCTCAGCCGTGGTGTTAGCGACCCGCCGCCGCCGCCGCGTAACACCCGCCGCCGCCGCCGCGCAACTCCGCCCGACGAAGCGCGGGTGTACTATACACCACTGGATATGAACCCATGGGGTAGTACTACTGGCGACCTTCGGCCCCAATCGCACATCACGTTTTACTACTGCACCCAACGTCGCCGACCGACGGACACGGTGGACGTTGGGGCGATACTTTGTGTTGTGGACACCCACGCGTAAGGCGGATCACGTGATGACTAGTACCGAGTGATATCTCATACTCCACCCTCTCGCCAAAAACAAACACAAAAACAAAAACCATCGCCACCCCCGGTGGGTGGCTTGGAAACCCCAAGAGCTGAATCTTCCACCCGGGTTTGGACTGAGTGCCTTTACCTCAACTCCCCTTGCCGATTGCGTGGCCTGGCTAGACTACTAGATCACGAGGGGGTTTTTTCCGTGCTGGAAATGTGAATTCGATGTTTTTTAAGTGGTGGGTGCCACCCCCGTGACGGACAAGCTTAGCCATGACGCTGTCTGCGTTAGACGAGTGAACAACATGTCGTGTGCTCGCTGTCATTCGCCGTCCGTCGATTTCTGATAGCTCCTGTCATATGTAACTACTCTACCCTACTCTACTCTTCTAAGTTCCTGATAAGATTGTAGATCGGGAATATAGTATCGCGTAAAGGCGTCTATCGCCAGCGGGGTTATCTAGCCCGGATCATGGAAAGCACTCGGACACGATCGAACTGAGTACCGGTATCGCAATAGTTCGTTTCCACTCCAACCGGTCTCCGCAGTGGGACCATTATTTCAAGAGAGGTATTTGATGGAACATGGAGTATTTAGGGACCACGATACTTCATAGCCGCCGCCGTGGCTGACGACTATGAACCATGGAGATGGGGAGCAGCCGTGGATCGAGAGTGCAGACTGACTGTAGTCGACTAAGAAGCCGATGTCATCCTCTCGCACAGCGGCCAGACCAACAACATTTGACCAATGGCGCATGCATCTCACTCATGCATGGCCGGAGGAAAGACCTTTGCTCTGAAAGGAAGAAGACCTCCACGCATAACGTGGGGGGGGGGGGGGGGGTAAATAAACCACGTTATACGCGTATAACTTGGGGCAGTAGTAGACCAAGTTATACCTTCTTTAGTTTTTTTGTTTGCTCATCCGAAACCGTCTGTAGCCCGGTTTCAGAGAGGCCATCCCCCGGGAGCAAGTCGGCTCTCACCTAACTTGGACTCCCGGAGGAAGGGGGAATGAACTTTGCCGGTAGCAGAAGAGAAAACCCCGATCTTTTCAGCTTAGCCTCGAGGGTTGGATCCGTCTATTGTTGCGGCAACCGTCTGCTTTGTAGACCGGTTGCACGGATCCCTCAGTTCCTCGCTGCTGCGGCTGAGCTGGATAGCTTTGTAAGGTTATCCTGGAAGTGAAAAGTGGGGGAGAGGGAATGACGTACCTTGAGGTTGATCTCGAGATCAGGTCGAAGGAAGAAAGGGGGGGAGGAAGGGATGAAGGAATCAAGGCGAATGGTTGACGAAGAAAGGAAGGAAGGCGAATGAAGGAAGGAAGGCGAATGGTCGACGAAGAATGGAAGCTGTGATGGTTGTAAAGAGAAGGAGAGAAGGAGGAGCAGAAATGGAGGGTTTTATAGGTGATTTAGGAGCTGCCAGGTTCGAAGCTAGTTTTCGCCGCCGCCAGACAGCTAGTCCCCACCAAAATTTGCTCATTCGGTGAAGCGAGCGAGAAAATGTGTCGCCAATCGTCGGAGACGGGGTCGAAGTCCCGCTAGACTGTTAAACCCCACTGAAACTTGCGCATCCGATGTAACGAACGAGAAAAAGTGAGGAGCCACTCGTTGGAGACGGGATCGAAGCCACCTCGCACGCCGAACTAGTAGTCACTGTCACAGACTGGTGTCCAACCGCCGATCCGGCGCGATCAGCATGGGTCTAGGACGCTGCATTTCCGTGCGCGGAGGAGATAGTAGTTACCGCAGAGGATCAAAGACTGTGAGGATCAGCTGGTGGGATGCACAGCTATGCGGGACATCCACGCCGGTACCGCTGGTCATGAAGGGCGAGTGATCGGGTGCGTAACTACCGCCTACAGGGCCATCGGTGTTGTGTGCTACCTACTGAGATTTATCCGTGTAACCACGGCGGCGGGTTTGCGGGAACACCAGATCATGGATACAGGGGAGGAAGACGGGGTTTAAGGACTTTCGTAAACGGGGTTGTTCTTCAGCCCTGCTGTGATGAACCACCCATCAGTATTGGCTACTATGTAGATACATATAGTATGTCGTGCGACCACATCCTCCCACTGCCGAAAAAAATCCCAGGACCAAGATGATCATGCGGGGCACCACGTCGATTACATGGAGTAAGGAAACCGAAACCCGCCAGCCACCACATTCCCGTCCCGCCCCATCACCTCTGCTCAAACCCCCAAACCGTCGCATCCTCATCCGCACGATCAACGAGCACCTCGCGCTCATTCCCATCCTTAATGAACCTGACCAACATGACCTGGCTGCCCGCGCGGCGTCTGGTCCCCCCACCGCCGCACAACACAACCCGCCGCAGCGCGGGAAGTACAAACGCCACCTCTGCCGCCGCGATCTCGAGCAGTGTCAACACTGCCATCCAGTACACCTTGGTCGAGTCTAGCCGGCCGGAACCGTACGTCCCGCGCTCCTCGAGCACGGTGAAGCGCACCACTGCTGAGGTCACCGAGAGAAGCGCGATCAGAAAGATGAATGCTACGGCTCGCTTCTCGGGTGAGGTGAGGCGGAGGGAGTGCAGGATGTGCAGTGGGAGGGCGATTACTGGGGCTGTTAACTACGGTAGTGGGGAATGGTGATAGGGAAAGGGAAAGAGGTAGGCGACTTACACAAGAGGTCGGTCGTGAGGGTGAGCACCAGGATTATACTCTGTGTGCGCAGCGAGATCATGGGGGAACATATCTTCATTGTGCGGAGAAGGTTCGGAATGTCCCTTTCGCATCGTATCCGTCAGTTAGGACCTATATGCCTCCAGTGCGGACAATGGTATCATACCAAGTCGTTGACAACGGCCGACACTCCAACGACGCCGCCAGTATCACCGCCACAAAGCTCAGCGGTACGAACACGGCCGCAACGTACAGCCCGTGCTTCCGGATGTTGACCGTGCGCGCGTATAGATCCGCGTACATGAACGTGAAGGCGAGCTTGAACACCCACAGAGAGATAAGGGTGACGAACATGTACACCAGGTAGATCTTTGCCATGCCACGGTGCGTTAGTAGTTAATTAGCTCTCAACCCCCCACCGCCCCTTCGTCACCATAGGATAGTCGAGAGCACCTTAAGACCAAACCTCTTGATGGACTCAAAGATCAACTGGGGCTCCGTGTCTAGATCCTTTCTGAGCGCAAGTAGAACTCTCGCACCGTGAAACCAGTACCACCCCATCGCCGTTGCCGTCGCCCAGCCGACGCCGAAGCATGCTTCGCTGCAGAGAGCCAAGAAGCTGCGTTTCTGCGCGCGGAGGAGATAGAGTCGTAGAGGCCCGAACGTGGTGACGATGAGCTGGATACCCAGCAATGTGTAGAGGTAGACAGTGGCAGCATGGACGCCGACGGGCATAGTCGAGTGATCAAGTGTGTTTGTTTATCTGAGGGCAATCTGTTTACCGAGATTTGCGTATGCATTCGCAGCGGGGGTTTTAAGTGCAGCTACGAATCTGAGGGCTCGCTGGAGAAGCTTTCCACAGCCCTGCGGTGATGATGCGCCCTTCACGATAAGTCTGCAGTAGGACCCGAGAGTCGGAGACATGTTGTGCAACCACCGAACCCACCACCCACAGCTGCCTCCGTAACTAAGTGGTTACGAGAGGATTTCTGCCCGAGGCGACCAACTACCCATTCGCAGCGGCGAGTATCTGTTTCCGACCAGTGATCATCTATTCGCGAGTTGCACGACGCACGCACCAACCACATGCATCGTCGTCGTCGACTGTGCGTGCACCTGGGGGCACCGGGTTGCGTTGCGTCTTGCTGAAACGCTGCTCGGATGCGAGAACTGCGGCTGAAGAGCGGTGAAGGCTTTCAGGTTCCAACGGCCACGTCCCGAACAACCATCACAACTGCTGCACTACTAGTTACCGCGTAGTTATGGCCAGAATATCGGTCCCGTGCATGTGTGTGTGTGAGTTTATCACCTGCGATCCTCCGTCCCAACGTAGTGGGTGGGCGAAGGTCTGCGTGCCAATGAATGCATATTCTTCTGTCTCCAGCATATCTCGGTACTACCTACAGCTGCACAGCCTCGAACGAGTTTTTTGTTTCATCATTCTATATTCAACTATGTTCCACCATGAAAGTTTCAAGTGTGGCATGCTCCGTTTGCTAGCCCTGCATATCGGACATCGGAATGCCCTACCACCGGTAGGCGACTCTCAGTCCTTCCGGCATCCGTACTTCTTAGGAGATCCAAAGCCGACGCCACCCCGAGCTGTCTGCTATTTGTGTTTAAAAGTATGCCAGAATCTATGCATAGAATCTTTGAGCTTGGGCCGCTAGCCGGCGTCTTCGGCTGACCGTGCTGCCTCCTCCGGTCATGCGGATGATGGAGCTTCCTCGGAGTTGACACGGAGCTAAATGGGAGCTCGGGGTGTGCGGCTGGGTCTATATATTCACGAATGCATTGCGGATGTGTGGCACCAAGGAAAAAAGAGCAGATACTCTATAACTCCGGCGCTGACCAACTGGTCACCCGGCCCCCCGGCCTCCCGCAGTCGAGCGTGCGGGTCGCATCCCCGTCACTGCTCAAACCCCAGACCGCCGTATCTTCCTCCGCACGATCGACCAGCACCTCCCGCTCATTCACATCCTTGATGAACCTTACCATCACAACCTCCCCGTCCCTCCACCTCCTCCTCCTTACCCCCGCCACCGGGGCGCAACACCACCCCACCTCAGCACGGGAAGGCCAAAGGCCACCTCTGCCACCCCGATCTCAAGTAGGGTCAGTACTGCCGTCTAGTACATCTTCTTGGAGAATTATGGAGTCTAGCCTCCCGGTGCCGTACGTCCCACGGGCCGCGGATCGCGAGTACGGTGAAACGCCCGATTGCAGAGGTGACGGAGAGGAGGACGATGAGGAAGGTGAATGTCACGGCTCGCTTCTCAGCCGAGGTGAGGCGGAAGGAACGGGGGATGCGGTGTGGGAGGGCGAATACTGGGGATGTTAACTACGGTAGTAGGGGATGGAGATGGGGAAACGGAAAGAGGTAGGCGACTTACGCAGGAGATCAGTCGTGACGGTGAGCACCAGGATTATAATATGCGTCCGCAGCCAGATCATGGGGAACACATCTTCATGGTGCGGAGAAGGTTCGGAATGTCCCTTTTGTATCCGTCAGTTGAGATCTACTATATTCCCGCTGTCTAGACATTCCAAGTCGTTGAAAACGGCCGACACCCCAGAGACCCCGCCAATATAACTCTCACATTCATTCACCCATTACAAGTGGCTGCAATGTCCCATTCACTCTCACTTTCACTCACCCAGCACGGGTGTCTGTAACGTCCCATTCACTCTGACTTTCACTCACCAATGGTCTGCAATGTCCCATTCACTCTACGGTTCATTCACCCAGCACGAGTGCCTCCAATATCCCATTTACTCTCACTTTCACTCACCTACAGCACCACCACGGCAGTGATGTACAGACTGTGCGTCCATATGCGATGTTTGTCCAGGGTAACGCGTACAGTATTTACCAAGCTTACGGACGCTCCATCCACGGCAGCAGATTTCGAGAGAATATAAACTTTCGGATGCGGTGAGATTAATCAGCTCTGCGGTGACGAGAACATCGATCACTGTGAGTCTGTGAGTGTGTGAGTCTACAAGCGCCGGCCCTGTCGTGCGACCACCGAACCGGCCACTGCCTCACCAGGCTCCAGCTGACCCGGGGATGAGGAGTAGCACAAGAAACATAGGTACATAGCGTACTGTGCGTATGTACTTACGACTGGAGCAAGTGGACGGCAAGACGCTGGTATCATCGGTCGAAATGGACCGGGCCTCAGGCGCGAGCCGATGTTTCGAGTCATCACCTGCTGTCCCGAGAGGGGGGAGCGAACAATCGAGGTTCAAACTTCCCTGGTCGTCACCCGTAAACATGATGCTGCTGCCTTAGGCATACCAGTATCCACCGCAAAGCTCAAGGCCGTCAATCGTATTGCCATGGGAGCGCTGCGATCGGTCCACCAATGAGCATGTTCGTCCCAGACCTACTTATGTACGTACATAGCACTCCAGCAACGACTGTCAAACTGTGTTGGCTGGTTGGCTGAGAGCACACGATCTCATGCGTCCCCGGCATCTACATATCGACACCACGTACTAGGCAGCCGCACAGCCGAAACCCACCGAATAAGCTGCCGGACGATTGCACAAACGAGCGAGAATCTATGCAACGCAACTTCTTAGGGCCCGTTTGAATACGCTCACTTTTCAGTTCCAGTTTTAGAGCCAAATTCTGTTCCCCGCCGGGACACCGAATACTGTTCATTTTCAGTTTCCGGAAAACCTTGAGGTGAACAGAGTGTTTGGCAGTTCTCAGTACACTCAGCCAAGAGTCTGAATAATAGGCTTCACCTGAACTTTAATAGTAGATACTTTGTAATCCCGCTTTTTTCTCTTCCCCGTAAGGCGAGTCCATGAGTGAAATTAAAATGCGGTACTGAGTGGCGGTGAAGAAACTAACCTCCAGAGGTCAGTTCCCGTTTCATCGCCGGAGCCGCACAGTTTCAGTGGATGAAAGCGTTTGATTTGGGCTCATAACCTATTGGCATATATGGTTGAAAGGGGCAGAGATGACTGATTCTATACCGCAGCGATACCAGCAGCGAGGTCTCTCTTTATATACAGACAAGTTCAGACTCCTTAGTCCGAAGGTTACTCGCCCCTGACAGCACTTGGTCTCGACCCTCCACCGCGGAACCTGATTCATGCCAAAAGCTCCGGGCATCCAAAGTTTGACAGCTGTCGACCGTGTCAATGTGGAATCACTGCGACGGGTGATTCACTGATTCGTGCGGTCACAGCCTTGTGACTGCATGCAACCTACTCTCGTTGTCTGCGACTACTACCGTACTGACCATAAAGCGTCTCAAATCATCGTGTTTCCAAGGAATAGGTACGCATGAAATAAATTTTGATCCTTCGGCTTCTTCAATATCTGTCTTCGGGACAGAAGTGAATGGTGTTCCCCCTCAAGAACGAAAACCATTCGGTCTGGTGCTTCTTATAGAACAGTGGGCTTGATTAGAAATGCGGCTCGATCGCAGGCGATAAACCACGGATTGTTGGCACAGTGGGCATGGGTAAACAATCCGCCCGCGACCGCACAATATCGGGTGCAATATCATGATCCAGATTGCTGACCGGTGTTCCTAGGTATTTCGTTTCGTTTCCCCGCGACCAAGTTCGGCTCGGCCATGTACGGTATGTAGCACACGCAGAACCGATCTATTGAGCATTTCCCCGTCGTACCTGCAGGGATCCGGTGTCTTGCTTCGGACAGAACAGACCAGGGACTTCTAGGCATCCAGACAACCAGGGAGCTCTTCCGAGTTCCTCGCCATGTAGCCAATGAAATATTGGCCCGTGTCTCAGATCACCACCGCACATGATCCGACCACGTGTCCTCCCGGCAAGATATATTTGTTTGCACATCGGTTTTCTCGTGAGTCGTATTGCGGTGGCTGGCTGGCTGGGTGACTCGTTCGTTGTGTATTGTACACGTACGCTATTGAGCTCAGCTAACCAACGGTGTTGCTCCATCCGCATCGCGGAGTTCGATTGGCGGCCTATAGGTAGACGCTGGGCCGCGATGGCGGTTGCTGCTGCAATGTTGATGTTGGCGGCCTCGTTAGCCGCATCAGCGCCTGAGCGGCGCATGGGCGCCTGAGTGCATGGGCCGGGGCGGCTAAAAACGGGGGCGGGGGCGGGACAACAGAGCTATCTTCGACAACGGCGCGTTGGAAGCTAGCACCGCTGCACCGTCCGTCTCCGCCGGCGGTAGTTAGTATCATCAGCGCTTCCAAGCTATTCCAAGCTTGCCCTACCAATGGCCGCCGGGGCGCGCTGTCTTAGCCGAGTGCGGATGATGACCGGAGTCCGGATCGACGATGACTCACTCACTCACTCACCCACTCACTCACTCACTCACTCACCCACTCACCCACTCATCGCTCGTGCGCGAGCAAGCACGCTTGGTGCAAAAGTGCTGTTCCGCGTGTAAAACGATGGATTGTATCTCGCTGCGTGACGCTGGGCTATGCACCTGCTACCAAAGTGCACTCTGCCCAGGGCCAAAGTGCCGCCACCAGCGGCCAGTGGACGATGGACGATGGATCATGGACGCTTCCAGCCCTACGTCTCCCTACGGCCAATGGCCGCGACTGGGTAGTTGTTTTCGCGTGTGACATTCTTCCGCACTACGTGCAATACTCTATGATAGATATGCAATCGCTTCCGGCGATGTCCTCGGGCTCGGATGATGCCATGGGTACCGTAATTACCACTTACCTACCTACGTAAGCGCCTCAGCCCCAGCGCCCGTGTGCGACTGTGCGACCACAAAAAGCACCTACTGTAGGTAGTACTGTGCAACTCCCCCGCTGACTGGCCGCAGCCAAAATACGCCCCTCCCCCACTAAGGACACGGGTGCTAGATTAATCAATCCATCTGCCGTCTCGCAGGTGTAGGCAGCAACTTGGCCCATCTGGTAGGGCGGTGCGGTGCGGTGCGGTGCGAATCACTAGGTGGTAAGCAGACAAACGAACGAACGAATTGCTCGCTCGCTCGTTCGGGGAGGGGAGGGGAGTGGAGCGGATGGCGGACGCAGGCACGTTGCGTTGCAGGGTGCGGAGGTCATTAGTGTAGCTACCGTACAGTAAGAAGCGAGTCGAATCGTACGTGTTTCCGGGTAACTTGGTAACTAATCATGATCCTTCGCTGGGACTCACAATATTCTCACCTCATTCACACGAAAGGAGGCGATGCAAAATCTGACATTTGATTGATGGCCTTGTGGGAAAGGCGCTCGCTCGGGTCTGCGGCGGCCTTCGAGAAGCTTATGTTACGAGAAAGAAAGGAAAAAAAAACGAAGAAGAAAAAAAAGGAAACATCCTGGCGAGCTGAGTCCGGGTCGGGTGATTCTACAGGGCTGACATGGATGCCTGCGTGAGACGAATGTCTTGGTGGTGTTTGCTTTTGGAGTATGACGGGCGGCCTCCGACAGAGGCGAGGATGAGGGAGGGAGGGGAGGACGAGGGACGGCAGGAGGAGGAGTAAGGGCGCCAGATGAGATTGAGGGGGGACGGAGGCGGATGGTATAAGGTCATTGCCATTTGCACGGTGGTCCTGGGTTCCTGCATTGTCCTCGTTTCTACATACCCTAATATATCTGCATCTGCTCTCCACGGTTAATCGTCACTACCCATTTTACAAGTGCCCCTCCCTCAAGACCTCAAGACCTCAAGACACATTCTCTAAACCCGAGCACTTGTGCAAAGAATCCCCACCGAAGCCGTCGCCATGGCTCCCACTCCTTCCAGAATCCCCTCATCCGCCCTCCACTCAGAGCCTTCAACGTACACCTATGGAGGCATCCCACTGAAACCTTCAGATTACTCCGCCGAGGCCTCTGTGCCGCCCTCCTCCTCCTCGCAAAGTTTCCCCCGCATCTCCCTTCCAGTCCCCATGCTACGGCACGAATACGACGTCGTGGTGGTAGGCAGCGGTTACGGCGGCGGAGTAGCGGCCTCGCGAATGGCGCGCGCGGGCAAATCCGTATGTGTCCTCGAATTCGGCAAGGAGCGATGGCCGGGCGAGTACCCTGTCTCGACGGTCGAGGCGGTCAAGCAACTACACGTTTCCGGCAATGCCGGGAGCACGGGTGGCGCGGTCAAAAACCTCGAGATGGGAGAGCCGAACGGAATGTTCCATCTCATCCAAGGCGAAGGCCAGAATGCATTTGTCGCCAACGGACTCGGCGGCACGAGTCTGATCAATGCAAACATCTTCCTCGAGACCGACGACCGCACGATGACGCTGGACAAGAGCTTTCCCGAGGAGCTGAGAACACCAGGCGCGCTGTCAGAGTACTATGATAGGGCGAGGAGCATGCTGCAGCCTACACCCTATCCTGAAGACCACCCCGAACTCATGAAGTTGAACTTGCTAAAGAAGCAGGCGGACTTGATGGAACTGGAGGAAAAGTTCTATCGGCCCCCACAGACGACCTTCTTTAAGGATGGACTGAACAGTACTGGCGTCGAGGTGAGTGGATTCGTCACCATCCGTTCATGTGGAAAAGCACTCGCCGAGTGACAGAAGATGGCTGACCGCGCGCCCGCACAGATGAAAGCCTCGACGCTGTCAGGCCAAGACTGCACCGGCGTCAACGACGGTAGCAAGAGCAGCGTGCTGATGAACTATCTCCCCGATGCCTGGAACTGGGGAGCCGAAATCTTCTGCGAATGCGAAGTCCGCTTCATCAAGAAAGACCCGTCCGGGAAAAGCTACATCGTTTTCTTCGCATGGCACGGCAACAACGGGAACCGGTCCGAATTTGAAGATCTGTTCCACCGGGAGCTGATGTGGGTTCGCGCCAAGGAACTGTGCTTCCTCGCTGCAGGCACCCTGGGAACCACAGAGATCCTTCTCCGCAGCAAGTCCCACGGCATGAAGATGAGCCCAACCGTCGGCCACAATATGAGCGGGAACGGGGATATACTGGCCTTCGGCTACAACACCGACGAGACCGCCAATGCGATCGGCCGGCAAAGTCCGCCCAAAGATGACCTTCTCCGGCCCGTTGGCCCGACCATCACCGGGGTCATAGATATGCGAGACGAGGAGGACGTTCTGGACGGATTCGTGCTCGAAGAGGGGGCCGTGCCACAGGCGCTTGGAGGTGTCCTGCAGCTCCTGATGGACGCTACCCCAGGAAAGGAATATCCCGTAAAGCGCACCAGCCAGCAGCGCATCCGCAAGTTTCTGGCGCGTGCATCGAACTTTGCATTCGGACCATGGCACCCAGGCACTTCGCTCAACCGAACCCAGGTCTACCTGATCATGAGCCACGACTCGAATTCAGCGACCCTGACCCTCGAGAAGGATAAAACATACCTCCGCTTCGAAGGCGTCGGCCGAAGCCAGCATGTCAAGCAGCTCAACAACTTCATGGCCAAGGCAACCCATGCCATCGGCGGCGCCTTGGTCAACTCGCCGTTCTTCACGTGGGGACAGGAGCAGATCACGGTTCACCCGATCGGCGGCGCCAACTTGAGCTTCAGCGGAACGGGCGAGGACGGTGTCACGAACCACATCGGCGAGGTGTTTACCGGAAACGGGACCGAGGTACACGACGGTCTCTTCTGCGTCGACGGATCGGTGGTTCCCTGCGCCCTCGGAGTAAACCCATTCGCCACCATCACCGCTCTGGCCGAGAGGTCACTTGACCTCCTGACGAAGCAGCGCGGGCTGACAATCGATCTGGAGACGAAGAATGGAAAGCTCGATCTGATAAATGGGAAGCCTAGAGTGAGCTGGCCGTTGATGGAGGATATGCAATTGGCCTACAAATCGATCCAGGATGCGGCCGGGAAGAGCGGCGTCAGGTTCGCGGAGGTCATGGACGGTCATGTGTATCTGGGCGACGATATCGACAGCTTTGAAATCGCGGAGGGAGTAGCGCAGGGCAATGACAGCACAGCGAGATTCCTCTTGAGCGTGGACACCTACAGCACTGAAAACCGTAAGTTTGCCGACTATTTGCAAAAGAGGAACACACTAATCGGATACAATAAATAGTCGTCAATCGTGCGGACCATGCCTCTATGATAACCGGTACCTTCACCTGCAGCTCTCTCAGCAAGGACCCATTCTTGGTTCTCCGAGGCGGAGTCCAGTTCTTCTCGCCGGACGAACGGGATCCCGACACCAGAAACTTGGCGTACAAGTTCGATCTTCTCGGGACCGATGGGCAAAAACTGCACTTCGATGGATACAAGGTCATCGACTCGGCGATGGCCTTTTCCGTCTCCAACACATGGAAGGCGACAACCACCCTCTATGTCACCATCACTCGGCCCGATAAGTCCAGGGTTGCCCGAGGGATCCTTCACATCAAGGGGAGCAACTTCGTTCGGGAGATGAAGGGATTCGGCCCGAGTGGCGCACCAGGGATGCTGAAACGGCTCACCAGCATGAATCGCTTCCTGCTCAACTTCACCCTTCAAACGAGCAAGTCCTTCTTCTTTTCCTTCCAGAGCCTGAGCAACGGCGAGGTAGCCATCAAGAGCAACTCCAAGGTCCAGCCGTCAAAGGTGGTGACGTTGACCGCGGAAGACGGCGTGCAGACAACTATGCATTGCTGGAGCCCTCGGCTATCCAACTCCAACCTGCCGCCTCTCTTGTTTGTTCCCGGAGCATCCGTGGACCACCAAATCTTTGCCCTTCCGACCGTCGATACAAACGCCGTAGAGTTCTTCCTCGAGAAGGGGTTCAACGTGTACATCGTGACGCACAGGATTGGGAGGACCGAGATTGCGAAGAAGGGGTACACGATATACGACGCCCGATTGGATGTCAAAGCAGCGATGAAGTATGTGCGGGACGATTCGCGGCAGCCGCAGATGTACTGTGTGGCTCATTGCGCTGGATCGGTCGCCCTCTCGATGGGGTTGCTCGATAGCACGATTCCGGCGAACTGGATCAAGGGGTTAACAGCATCGCAAGGTAAGAGAAAACATGTCCACGACAGTCGGCAGTGCGTCTCGAAGACACTAGGTAGCTGGCCGGGTCTATTCAGTCATGCCGGTGTTCCGTGCAAACGGCTCTCACTGTCCATCTGTCCAGATCGCGCTGGCCGGTGACCCCATGTCCTCGATAGACCTTGACCCGCCGATGTAAGCGCATGGAGTTCGAGATCCGCAGGGTGGTCTGAAAGCCTCCATTGACTATTTTTCGATGCCATGGTTTTCAGATGCACGGCCGTCTCGCGCTTTTTCCGAGCGGTTCGCGACAGTTGTCGTCCGTTACGGGATATGATCTGCCGGGCGGTGATCGTCCTTCATGCGTTACGTTGACAGGCGGCCAAGCAAGAGACTATCGTGACGTAGTTAGCGGCCGGGGGAGGGGGGGATGGTTTGGAGTCTTGAGAAACTAACAGACAGCTAACTATCGTGGCTTAGTATTCTTCAATCCGCTTTTCGCCAATGTCAACATGCTCAAAGCCAGTTCGCCCGTACCGCTATCGAATGTGTACGAAAAGTTCGCAGGAGACTGGTTCGACTGCGTATCATCTCCGAACGATGGCGTCTTCCAACGGTTGACCGACCAACTTCTGAGGCTCTACCCCGTGGGAAGCCGGGAAGAGATGTGTAGCTCGAGGACATGTCACCGCAGTGAGCTCGTGTTCGGAAGGTTCGTTCGTCTCCTACTCGACTTCCTATTCGACTCCCCCCCACCGCTCTCTCCTGTTGCTTCACCATTAGAAAAACGAGCGATATATCTAACCTGAGGATAGGCTTTGGACCCACAAGCGGTTGAATAAGGCCACGCACGATAGCCTGCACACCCTTCTGGGTGGAATCTCGATGAATTGCCTGGAGAAGTTGATGCATGCAGGCACTAGCGGTGCAGTCTTTGATAACGAGGGGATTTCACTCATCAGCGAATCGAATCTTGGCCGGCTGGAGGGTATTCCAATACTGTTCATCCACGGAGGGAAGAACGCAGTGTTCTCACCCGAGAGCACCACACGGTCGTTTGAGACGCTCCAGGACCTCTTCTCGAAGCGAGACTATGAGCGTGTAGTGTTGTAAGCGAGCCATGCTTCTCCCCTTCCACACTAAAAAATTGGAACGGAAACTCACGATAGTTTCCTTGCGTACGTACAGCCCGGAATACGGCCATCTCGATTGTTGGATGGGTGAAGATGCCAACGAAGATGTATATGTCCGAGTCCACGAGCACATTGAGGACCTGATGGAGGCATCAAATGCACGAAACCCCCTTTCCGAGACGGCTGCACGGATTTCAGGTCCGGTGTAGGGGAATACGTGGCGCCTGTGGTGCTATGGAATGGAATGGGTCGCAGGCCCGCAAGGTGGATGCAGAACCGCTACAACCGACCGTCTTTGTTGTCGCTGAGCCGACGTCTAGTGAGTGGGAGGGGGGGATGAGGAGGGGATGGTAATGTTGTGGTTGGACTCTGAAAACTGCCGGCTGATGCCGCCGCATCAGCTGGTGCCCCCCGCTCGTATTAATTTTTTTCTTCTGCTTGAGCTTGTGTGGAAATGGGCTGGCTGTAATATGTGGAGGGGATAGCGAGCGAATTACCATAGTGTCCGCTCCTCCTTCTGCTCTAGTAATGAATTCTTTTTCTCAACCGTCAACCATCAAACCTCAACCCATCGTTCGTAATGTTGCTCGCGGTCCGCAATGAACATGAAGATAAGTCCTTCTCTGAAGTGTCCAAAGGGTATGGTCAAATGTTACGATGTTGAAAGGGGAGGGCGGGGGGTAGGGATGGCCGCCCGGGGGATTCCTTTCCGAGATAAAACCCAGAGAGAAGGTCGGCCGTGGCGAGCTCTTTACGCCTCGAAGGGATGTATTTGTCCACAGGGCAGCGACAGGGCAGCCTCTACCTGGCAACGATGACGTTTGAGGCAAGCACGGCGTGCCCAAAGCGGGTCATCCAGTGTAAATCGTTGATGTGTACGCTGGAGGATGCAATGTCTATAGGCGGGTATGTAGAACACGCCCCATGCGTCCGTCTCTGTGGAATCTTGGCCACAAGAGAGGAATGCCCAATCACCCCCTCCCAGCGTCCCCTTCGCAACTATCAGAACAGTCCATCTGAATCGGCCCCAATTTTCTTGATGCCTGTCTTGCACTGGGAAAAGGAGAAGAGATTGCCGATCAAGGTGGTATTAGGGCGATCTAGAGCTGAGGTTTGCTGCAGCACTTGCATATCTGTGTCTCTTGTGCGTTTGCTTTAGGCACGGCGGTGAGCAAGCAGAAGATTCGGGTGGGTAGAACGAGCACTGCAGTTTGCTGAGGAGTGTGGACGGCCGGCTCCAGCGATTAGCGCTGGAGGGTGGGTGGGGATCGTGTGTCCCATGACACGAAGGAAGGTGAGAGGAGACGTATGATGAAAGGGCTCTTACGAGTTGCGCTCCTTCCGAGCGTTGATAGATGTCGCTATCGCGATGGGCCTTCGCCACATTGCGATGGTTGTCGGTCGGTTGTTGGGGGGGCGTGTGTGGCGGTGGGGGTGGGCCGGCTAGCAGCCTCTCCGTCGTAGGGGTTGTCGGACAGCCTTTGCCTAAGGAGGCGCTCGTTGAGGGAAATTCCCTCTCCAGACCGTGCTCCCCAAGCAGATCTGCAGCGCAACTCTCCGACTAGATTACTGGAAAACTGTTCGGCGTGTGCAGACGGGCGGTTTGGTGGGGATCATCTGGTCTCACTCGGCGAGGATCCTTGCACGGAGGACGGGATCAAGGTCCGCGTAAGAACGGTTGGGCAGCTGTGGCAAACCGAAGAGCTACTATAGTAGTGAGTGTGTGAGGAGAGATTTGACAAATGCGAATGAGAGATCGAATTCGCCTCTGAACGGTTCCGCCGAATGCCGGCAGTTTAGTGGGACGGCGACAGCAAGCGATGGCAGATTATTGTGTGCTCCACCAAACCTCGCATCCGTCCATATGATGTTCTTTGGGGTGCGGAGGGCCGGGTTGCCTGGCACAGCCACACATGGAAAGGGCTGGCCGGCGGTTTGGGGGGAGAAAACTGGGAAGCGGGAAAGCCTGGAGGGTGGGCGCCGTGGGCAGGGAACGAAGGGTGTCGATCGATAGGGCTATCGAAAATAAACTTTGCCATCGGAGGGGAGATGCGGAAGGACGATTCGCTGGATACGGCAGAGTCGATATTTCGGAAATGCCATGTTTCCCAGGTTTCGGGGCCATTCCTGGCAGTCAACGGTGCGTCGTCATGGTCGAGAATAGCCGTTTCGGTACCGAGGACTGCCCGATGCGGTTAGCGCAGGACGTGCGGATGCAAGCCGCGACATTTCCGTTCAACAAAATGTCGAGCTCAGGTACCATGGCAGCGAGCCCAGCCCAGCCAGCCCCGCCCAGCCCCGCCCAGCCCCGTCCAGCCAGCCCGGCCAGCCCGGCCAGCACGATCGGGGCGGAACGAAGAACGAAAAAACCGCCACACGGTCTCGATGGCCAAACCTGTAGCCGAGGCCCAATCTAGACATGTCGATAGCACATGTGGCTAAGTGAGCAAGTACATGGTTATCGCACGTTATCGCCGCCGCAAAAAACGGCAACCTGGGTTTCGGGAAGGAAAGGGTCGGTCAGCCCCGGAGCTTGCTGGGTAGGGCGGTGTGTGTTGCACCGCCACCGTCTCGGATCCCTGTACATTGTGTGGCAGATCCCCACACAAATCCAGCCCGCCGCGCCGACCGTCTGCTCAGACTCCGACGGCGGCAGAACCCGCTTGACTGCATTATTCTCCCCCCATTCCGCCCCAACGCGCCGGCCGGAACAACACCCAGTCAAGATGACCGTTTGATGCGACGTCGACGCCACGCCACGCAGAACACGTACGTACGTACACGCTCCCTGATTGATCGTCGGCCACGGCGCTCTCTGTCGGTGAGAGCAGCGTAAGTAGGAAGCAGGTAGGCAGGTTGTAGGGCCCGCAGCGGGGCGGCGTTGGGGCCGGAAAATGGCTCACAGCGTGGTTGACAATTCAAATTATTTTTTGGCAGCAGTCGGCGTCTCGTGGGAGCCATTAGTAGGGAGGCACGGTACGCACCAAAGGCTCGGTGACCTGGGTCCGCGTCCTCCGTCTGAACCGCCAGTCCGGTTTTCGTGCAGTTTGCGGAAAGGGCCACCATGCCATGCAGTTTCAGGCGACTGGACCCGTTGGCATTGGTGCTGCTGCTACGGGTGGCCGGGCGTGCAGGCTGCTGCACAATGATTCAAACAGTGCCCGTTGTAGCACCAGCACTCCGATCCTTCTTTTCCAGCCGCGAAAAATCGAGTGGGTTCTAGAGAAGCCTGGCGGTCGACCGCTCGGGTTCCTTAGACCCCGGCTAAAGTGGCGAATAAAGAATTCGGCCCTGGCACGGACGTTACATCCAACCAATCAGACGCGTCCGTGGAGACGGTCCGCTAGTGTGGCTGGGGAACTGCTGGGGCCCCAACTGCAGGTCGCACCCTGTGATCGTGGGGAAAATGCCGTCCTCTCGAGGTCCTAAAACATCTGCAGCTGCTTTTATCAAGCCCTAGGACCCTTATCGAATCACACTGTCAACGTCATATGGCTCGTCGCTCCCAAGACCATAAACACTCTCTCACCTGCTCCCGTCCTCCTTCCCCTCTACGCACACTCTCTTGCCTCCCACCACCTTCCACCCCCCCCTTCCATTGCCGTCATCATTCAATCACCCACCATCGATTGCGGCAGATCTTTCGGCATCTACCCATTCTGGGTTTCGGAAAGTCCCTCCCCCGGGCCGATCAGCAGAGCCGATTGCCGACGCGTGGAAGTCTGTTCCTCCTCCCCCCCGCCCCCTTCCGTCTAGTCGGTCGCAAGTCCACGGACCACGCCTGTCACGCTCACTGCAAGCGATTCCCTCCCCCCCGCCACGCATTCCAGATCATACCGGAACGCCGAAGTAACCTCCCCACGGCCGTGATGGATGATGGCTTCGAGATCAATGCCCCGGACGGCGCGTACCAGCCGGAAGCTTCGCGGACCCCGGATGACCTGTTGCAATACCAGCAGCACCAGCAGCAGCACCAACTTCAGCAACATCAGCGGCAGCACCAACCACACGATCCGGACGCCCTGGACGGAGGAGCTGGCACAACATTCAAGCACCCGACCCGGCAAGTGCGAAGGGCTCGACACAGCAAGGAGGAGCGTTCGGAGCGCAAAGACCGTTACGATCGGATTGAAGTTCTGGCCCGTGAATTGAGCATGGAGCTGAGCTTGGAAATGTCTAGGCGCAAGCAAATGTGGGATGTGGAAGGCGATCGCGAAGAGGAGGAGTTTTGGGAGAGCCGGAAGCAAGAAGTGTACCATGAGTTGGACCGGCTGGCCAGCGAGATTCAGAGGGCATTTCGAGACCGGAGGAAGGAGGAGGTGTTGGAGATCTGGAGCAAGGAGCAGGAGGAGCGGAGGGTGATAACCAGCGCGGGAACCAGACCCGAGCGCGGACGACGGAACCCGAGGCGGGAAGAAGGCTGATCACGTTGAGTGTGGGCGGTTGGTTGGGTCGCGAACGGTAGGAGGCCGGAATTGCATCGGACCCGCATGGAGTTTGGTTGGCGTTATATTGTCAAAACGGTGTTCTTCTGGAATTGGTATTAGCATTTTTCACAGGCGCAGACCTTTAGAGGGTGCTTTTTCTTACGGCTCGTGAGGGGGGTTATTATGGTTTTCATCTTTTGGGTTATCTAGTGTCGCGCCCTATTGGGTTAATTCCGTATGGAATTTCCTTTGTCATGCTATCCCCATCCCCACCGGATATAGCAATGCCGAAATTGAAACCGGTGACCATAAAACCGCGCAGACTGTTGAAGGTACGTACGTGAGTTGACAATTACAGAAGTCCATCCAGTGGTGTCCAGCGGTCATGTTCAGGGGAAGGGGGTGTTCGTTCCAATGGCCATGGTCGGGGTGTATATGTGGCAGGGTGTGAAGCATTCGGAGTAGACAATGACAAAGCACTCGCCGAGATTCGGAAGCCGTTCACGGACCGGCCGACGCCCTGATGATCTTGAGTCAGAAAGGGTGATACATCGTGGACGCGGGGTGCTTAGGTAACCGTCGCCATGAGAAGGTTTCGAAAGATGGTTTACATACCGTCGACAGATCATACCCAATCAATCGTTATTTGATCCCGACACTCCAGATCGAGCCCCCCCGTGATCAGGGATATCGAAAGATCGTACGATGTGGCTGCATTGTACTCGAAAGTAAGCCACAACGCATGCGATCCCTCAACAGCCTGCGTCCTCGTCCCAAAAATCGTCTTTCCTCCCATCCTCCTCATCGCAACAGCAGATTCCCATCGCGCTGCAGCCCCTCAGAAAGAATCGACACCGAACGTTTTTCGCCTCTCGATTGCACGCGACGGTTGGAGTAGGTCCGGTTAAGATGTCAGAGGAACACGCGTTGAGCCTGCAAGAGCTGCTCCCGAGTATGTAAGACATGCGCTTCCCCCCACCCCCCAGTCGGCTCCCAAGCGGAACGAAACATCTCATCTGAAAGAGCTAACCGATCAATCGCCAGGGGGAACTTAATCTTCGACAAGACGCCACGATCGGAGATTTCCTTCGGATGCTCGCAGCGGGAATGCCGGCAAAAGTCTGCACCCTTAATTGTAATTCCTGTTGAAGCGGCGTGTGGCTGTGACGTCAGTCCGAAACCGGTTTGATTGGACTGACAGGCGTGAGGACGGCGTTAGTCAGCACGGAGGTGGGGGGAAGTCCTGTTGTCTCCTCTTTCCGCGTTGACTAGCCCGTCCGACGATCGATATCGGCTCGGCCGAGGGGGGGCAGTCGTGGAGGGGGCGGGGGAGAGTGGGGGGAGTAGTTGCCGCTGGCGTCCGCTGCTACAGGCAGCACATCCGTATCTGGCACGACGCCGCAAACTCGGCCATCCTGATGGGATCTTATACCTTTGCATTTAGGCAACATCGCGCGCTGATTGGGCGCAAAGTAGTCGAATCGTGCAGAGGAATACCGGATTTGCGAGCTGGGGATGCAGGGAGCTTGCGCTGGGAAATTTTGTGGTGATCGAACTCTGGTGGAAAATCGAAGGTTCGCGTTTCAGGTACTCGACTATTCTTCCCCCCTTCCCCTCCCCCGGCGTGGTGCTGCCATCTGGTATTGAAGGGGACGATCAGAAACCGTAAGCTGTGCGGAATCCAGTCTTCTCGAGTTGCTTTCTGATTCCAGTATTTTAGGTGGTATGTACACTCCAGGGAGGTCTTTCGTTGCAGGGCGCTCGATCCCCCGAGGCAACAACCCGTGCGAAATTCGCTATGTGATCATCCTGCTGGGCATTCCGGGGCGGCCCGCCGTGGTCGTGGTCGCGGTCGTGGTCGAGCGAGTCTGCCGTCGTGGAGACACTTGGCGGCGACGACGGCGGGGTGCTGGTACATATGTACCATCGTGACAATCGACCGAGGCCCAAGGAGTGATCTCGGATGACAACCACAGTTGGGGGCAGTCCCATCTGGCGGTTTCGTGGCCGATCGTCTGCGGTGCGAGCTCGGGTCGGCAGCTGCCGGTGCTAGTCCCCCTACCTGGTCGGTCGGAACAGAGACGAGCAAGTGAACGGACGCTTCACGGTCAAGAATTCAAAGCCTCGAGCACACAGTCGGCCGGTGAGTGCCGGAACTGAGTTAAAGTATTCCGGCGTACTGTGTCCCTGCGTGATACAGCCAGCTGCAGGTCGACCGACGAAACTTGTCATGTATAATGACCGCATAACGGATTGCACGTCCGAGCCTCGCGAGGGTTTGGGCAGTCATGAAGCGTCACTCGCCACGGTTTTGATTCGCCCACGGTCAAAAATGTCTGCAGTGAGCCGCAGCTTGGCTGCAAACTTGGTTGAGATGCGGAAAGTTCCTCTTGCAGATCTTTTCCGAGATCAGCATCGTGTCAATGCGCTTGTTGGGAGTGTTACCGAACTTACCTTCGAAAAAAAGCCACCCCCCAAAATACCGGAACGTGATCCACTCAACCGAAAAGTGGCTTAGCGCATAGGAACCGCCGATCGGACACTGCTGACGTGTGGAAAAGATGTGCACTCTTGACTTCCGAGTCGGGCCGTAGTGCACGTCCGTGGATGTGGGACGTCCGGCATGGGGGGTGGGGGGGGGGGGGTGCTGTGGCGCTTGTTTCGGGATGTTCGATGTGTTCCGTCGTATGGAACCCATTGAGGCTCGGTGGGGACTGCACTGTATTTGTAGAGAGGATGATTTGCGGCTTTGAATTCGCCGGGCAGTGGGTGATACTGCGGAGGAGGACATACCGCGGCAAACGGGACATCGCCAATGCACATACAGAGCACTGTGGCCAGTTATGGCGCGGCAATCATGGATGGTGGCTCCGGGGGGAGGGTGGGATATGTGGGGCCCAGATTCAATGAGTCGCAGAACCAGTGGCGACAATTCCAGTATGTAGCAATGGTGGTGGCGACTGTCATACCTAATAGGGGTTGGCTCTGGCGCCAAAAAAATGTTTGGCACCACCAGGTAGAGCAGAGCAGGTATGAGTACAACAGACACGTTGCGCACTGCTCAGCCCTCTGAGAACGATTGGAAGCTAGATACCGGTATCACCCTCGCTCGCATTTGCGTCCAGAAACCAAGCACGTATCAATCAATCTACGGAAGCAAGTATTCTCTTCGAATACTCGTGTCTTGCTTGCTTTCAACTCTCGCGTCTTTCACGCAGAGAGACAGAGTCCCGGGCGCCACTACCCGAGACTGTCTCATACGCACGTGATCTCACAGATCAAGATCGCTTCTTGGTCATATTTCTCAACCACAAAGCCCAGCGGAATATGTATTTATCTATTCGACGGTTCGGCGGACGACAACATACACGATTGGGATACCGCTTGTACTTGGTAGGCAGGATTCAGCTAGTAACCGGGACAAACTTCCAAGTACCTCTCCCAGTGGCAGACCCTCCCCGATCCCCCCGTAGGTGCGGTCATTTAGCTGCTGAGAATTCGCTCCACTGAAGCAACTTTGCTCTTTGCCGTTTCATGCTTGTCCGTCCTTTATCCCACAAATGCTTTGTCAGCCAATGCCCTCCCCTCCCCGGCAGATAACGACTCGAATACCAACCTTGAGCCAACCCTGATGTCCGTATGAACTCTCACGATGCCTTGGTCGTGCAGCATCCCGTGAGCTTGCCCGATAACCTTGAATACCTCCTCCCAAGAGCCCTCTGCGTGCGTCGATCAGCGCTCGCCCACTAAGCATCTCCAGTCTCAATTCCTGGGTTCACGCCCGCCGCCACTCACCCACAGTTGTACCGTTAGCATGCATGGAGTACTGCAGTCCGCTCTCTTTGAGAAGGGTCTGGACCTGCGCGATATAGGGGCTCACAGAGGCGCTGTTGATACCCATCTGTCGGCGGGGAAGGGGGGAGATTCGGATTAGAAGGCGGCACCGACAACGTGAGTGATGGCCCGACATCCACCTACCGGGATCAGACAGAAGTCCGCGCAGCACTGTGAGGGCGTCTTTGTGGAGGTCGTGGACATCGTGGTGGATGGATGGGTGTGTGGGGGTGTAGTGTGGTTTGGTTGAATCCGAAACGTTCGTGCGGGGTCGGTAGTGAGACCATGACCGATGCCAAGACCAGGGGTCGCGGCCACTCTATTCCGAGTCTGTGCTCGCGAAGACGTCTCAGGTTTGACGGGCTCGGCCAGCGTCCAGGATCGCTCATAGGCGATGATTCGGGCATGCGGACGGGGGCGACCATGGGACTCGACATTCATCTGTCAAGCACGAAAAAATCCACAGTGGAATGATGTCCATTCATAGCATAAAGCGTCCGGGAGAAAAGTGAATCGGGGGCGGATGTTGGCCGACGATCGGAGAGGATTTGATAATAGCCATGAGAGGCCTAATCTACCTGCGTACCGCGGCCGGCAGCATGGTCAATCTTCGGGAAAAAATGGTGCATTGACGGTTTTTTTGGTTTCATCTCTCTGGATTCCAAATCGGCCCAGTCTTGACAGTGCGGGGCGCGTGCATTGACAGTTTTGTTATTTGGAATGGAAGGGCTTTGTTACTCGACTCGTTGCAACGTTTTGAATACACACAAAAACAAAAAAAGTCTACGGACGCGAGATACCTAGGGCTTGCGCTTTTGGGCTCGACCCTGAAAAACTGTCCGAGAGTTGGTTCGATTAAATTAGGTATCCAGGACCAGCAGCTATCTGGCGACAAAGTGATCGACATGTTTTGCTTTTCGACCATGACCGGGGCATCGGCCAGTCGAAGTATACTAAGGGTTCCGAATTCCCGCCCGCTGCTTGTGAGCTGGCACAATGGATTCCGACCCGGCGGCCTTTCCAGTGTCGGTTTCCGCGCCTTTTTACGCCTCTCCGATGGGTCATAGTTTATGCACACCACGGGAGTGTATCGGTGAAACTGCTGCCAGCCTACTCGCTATGTTGCTTTCCTAGTCCCGGGCACTTAATGGCAGCCGTCCGGGGTGTTTTCGGATACCATGGCAAGCATCGGTGTCATCGCCGGTGTTTCAGCAGACTCTTCCGGTTTGTGGGGAATCCGACAATCCTTCCTGACCAGGACCATCATGTACCAGCTTGGTTGTAGACCATCCTTCCGGGAGAGGCGCCGATTAAACGTCATATGTACGGCACTCCGACTTATTCGTCGAAACCCTCGAGTCATACCCTGAATACGCAAGTTCCGTCTCTTGATATATCTCCATCTCTCGATAGGGGAGCCCGGATTTCCCAGAGCAGTCGACTCGGGCAGCGAAATGGAGAGAGTGACCGTGAATAAGACGTAAAGAAGAAGCCCGATCGTTGTCCGGTGTCTGTGCATCCATCACAACTATTCCGAACATCACAGGACAGAACAGACAATGAACATATATTGCGGGACAGCCAAGAGCTATACACATGGAAAGTGTGTACTAGTACAACCTGGAGTACAACTTGCTATGGTTCCATGCTTCCGATCGTGCAGCTCCGAGATCGATACGCGATATGGACTACACGCCACACGCGCCTAGGTATCGGCTTTGCACGGCCTACAACCTTCTCCTCCTACAATCTCACTACCTTACCATTAATTATTGTCATTTGTAGGCCAAACTGCTACTTCGACTTCGCCGTCGGCTCCACTAGTTGTAAGGGGAAAACTGCACCGGCCATCTCAGACCTCGACTCCTCGAATAGAGATATCGTGGATTTCAAGGTGAAACAGCAATTCGTCACTTGTACATAGCTACGGAGATGCAGGGAATGGGCTGTCCCCCGTGCCCTTCTCAAAGACTCCTCGGGCCTCTACATTACGTTTCTACTTTATGATGCAAAGCGGTGAGACTTTTGGGTCCTCCTCTGTGACTTACTATGTGCAGCTACCAAGATGAATTACTCCTCATATTCTCCCGCCCCACCCCGCTCCGCTCAAGCCGGTGATGAAATCCGAAAATCCGCCGAAGTGGGGGCGTATGCATATATCGGGCGGCATTAAGGTTGTATAAACATGTGCATAGATGAAAGATATCCACCCGCTGTGATTTTATTTGACCCGGAGTCGATGCACACCTATCAAATGGCCAAACTAGACGCGACGGCCATTGCCGCGGTCCCTGGAGTGCATTAGTTGGGTCGACACGCACCTATGTATATAGTGCTGGGATTGAGTGCACTCCCTGTCGACGATCTGGTCCCCGAAGACTGCGGGTGACTGGGGACACCGCCGCAGCCGATTCGGCAGGGGTTCTCCCACTGGGCTTCACCATCTCGCATCGTCCCACATATGTACATACGCACCACGAGACATTCTGCACCGTTTCCAGGACGGATACATTGATATCGAGAGGCTCACGCGCACGGATATTATAGCGTGGGGATGCGCTTTCGCTGGTGGGCTTGCATGTCGTCTCGCGGCCGGATGCCTGTTTACGCTCGTGCGTGGCACCGTCGATATACTGGATTCATCAATCTCCAACTGGGGACCCAAAACTCCAAGAGTATAAACGTAGAGTACTCGAGGGTTGATGAGCATCGATCTTTAGAACCGAGCGAGGGCGTAATTTTACGACCCATCGATCGCATGTAGGCATATTGTTCTGAATGGGCCAGTTATAGTATAACCTATTCCTCTGTCGCAGTCACTGGAGATCAACCATCCTGCTGTGCGGTATCTTGAGCACTAGACACAAATTCTCACCATGGTCTCTCTTTCATTCCTCTCTTTAGGCCTGACACTCCTTTGCGCCTTTGCCTCCGGCCATCCTGCCCACCTACCAACCCGCATTGATATCGCCAAACGTGAATCACCACTCAGAGTTACACTCTCTCCGACTGTAAACAATGGCGAAATTGAGGCAACACTCACGAATTCTGGATCTGAGAATGTGTCGCTCCTTAAGCTCGGCTCAATCTTCGCGGATTCGCCTATTCGGAAGGTTTCTACCGAGGACGAAGATGGTGCTCTCATGTTGTGTTCACCGAAAAACTCCCATAAGCTAACGGCACGGCCACAGGAACACCGATTCCTTTTCAGGGTCTGTACTTCACCTACGACCTCAGCTCCCTCACCAGAGAAGACTACATCGATCTTCCCGCTGGTGGCGTGATACGCAATCTAATTCCGCTCTCCGCCACCTACGATCTCTCGGGCAGCTCAAGCTACCGGGTGTCCACTCCCGGAACATTCCAAACATTGGGCCTATCAGCCGGCCGTGTCGCCACCGCGGACGCCGACGAGACCACCCGCTACTCGGTGGATGCAGCAACAATGGTCGAATTCGAGAGCGAAGCGGTCACGCTCACCGTCGACATGGCTCAGGCAAAGCGCGAAGAGATGCTGTATGAGGACCTCGAGAAGCGAGTGGTTGTTTCGAGCTACAGTGGTTCGAAGCTCTCCGCTTTGACCACGGGACTTCAACGGACCAGTAAAATACTACTGCAACGACGTACGCGGAAACTGCCAGCCGCGGTAAGTAACAACGTCACCAGCGTCCGGGGGTTGGTTAACTGACCATACCGCTCGTTATATAGTCATTGCTTGGACGCTGCCATCGAGAAACATCATAGCAAATGTGAGCAAATATAACCTCACTTTGTTTACCTCGCGATGCGTGACTTACTAAACCGGTAAAGTGCGATATATTCTACAACAATATGCCTGCAGAAACCTCGACATGCCATGGACAGGACCAGGTCTGATTTCTCCACCCTCCGAGTGATATATCATGTAACGCCGCTGACCGTGAACCAGTGGACAACGGTCCTCCACGAGTTGACCCACGCTCCTGGCGTCTTCAGCCCGGGGACTGCAGATAACGCCTATGGTTATTCGGCTTCGACGGCGTTGAGCCAAACCAAGGCGGTGAACAATGCGGATACGTACGCACTGTACGTGCAGGCGATCTACCAGAATTGTTAAGCGATGGGCTGGAGGTGGAGGATCCTGGCGGTACTGGTGACTCCACATCTGCTCTTTGTATATACATGTATGCGTGCGGGAAGCTAAATGATATCTGTTCGAACACCTCGTGATTGTGGGACCGCGTGACGTGATCGCTTCTCCGTATTTTGGGCGAGTTTTCCTGTTTGTAAACTGGAGGTCTGGGGGGGGGGGGGGGTGTTGTATTTATATCAGGACGATGCTAGTAGCTACTGGTCAGTACTTGATCACTTGCTCGGCTCCAGCACCAAATTCACCTCATATCCTGTCACTCTTCCACTCATCCGTTCTCGCCACCCAAATGTTCAAACTCGCGCTCTTCGCCCAGGCTCGCTGCCCCGAGCTAGTCAATTGGACGATAGACGGGATTCCATAATGGTGTATTTCACCATAATCTGAATCTACTGCATGTGGTTGATGAAACGAAAAATGTCTATGATGAACGGCTTTAGGCATCACGGTCAGTTCGAGTTATAAACGAGAGATGTCGCTTGTCTTTACTCTGGTTAACGACTGTATATCAGTAGTGACAAACAAACTGCATTCAGCTACAGCCACCATCAACCTCTTCATTCCGAACCAAATTTTCTCTAGCCAATTCCCCAATGGACAATCCTGCCAACCTCCCAATGCCTTTTTACATTCAATGAACCTCCTTATCGCTGACTACCGGCAGACCTCCCCAGCTAGATACTGTGATGCCCTGAGCCCCCTGGGCTTGCCCATCCACTCCCCATCATCCACGCCGCGGATGCTTTCTGCTGTTGACTACAACCATCACCCATCATCATTTTTACAAATCCCCACATGCAAACGAAGAACTGAATAAATCTATCACAATAGGTGTCAGACGATCGCCGCCAAAGCTTTGCAAGACCAGGGAAACACATCGTCTCACCTGAACCATTCACACCAATGTTCGAGACGGCGGGATTTCGGACTTCCTTTCATCCGGCGAAAGTTGGGACCACAGGTATTCGGCGACCTCTTTTGCTTCGTGTGGAGAGGAGTTCATCGCAATCTGATAAGGTGTCCAGCCGCGTCCGTCGTTGAGACGGAGAGATGCGCCGCCTTCAACCAAAGCCTTTGCGAATGGGAGTGAACTCTCTGCGGCTATTTTGTGAAGCGCCGTAAGACCAGACCTGTCGCGTTCGTCCACAAGCCCCCGTGCTCCGTTTTCCAGGATACAAATCAGTGATTTTGCATCTGCGACTTGAAGCGCACAATGTATCGCCGTTTCATGATTATCGTTTCGTGCGCAAACGTCGGCCCCTTTTTCTATCAGGAGTTCTGCAATTGCTGTTTGCCCATATCGAACTGAATGGAGTAGCGGTGTCGTGCCCCAGTGACCGCGGTCCTCGATATCGGCCCCCATCATGAGCAGCAGCAGCACCATCAGAATCAACCTCCTCGATGCTTGCCCCGGCCTCTAGTAATAACTCGCAGACCGCCTCGCAGCCCTCATATGCAGCGAGTGCAAGCGGTGTTCGCCCTTGGAAATCAACCTTCTCGAAGTCTGCCCCTGCCCCTAGTAATAACTTGCAGATGTGCTCATAGCCCTTATAGGCAGCGAGTGCAAGCGGTGTTCGCCCTTCAGAGTCATCCTCCTCGATGTCTACCCCCACCTTGAGCAGCTGCTGTACCGACTTAACCCCCCAGACTTGCACCGCCTTGTGCATGATGCCAATGCCTCGTGACATATCGATGCTTGCCCCAGCCTCTACTAATAGCTTGCAAATGTCATCGTAGCCCTTATAGACAGCGAGTGCAAGCGGCGTTCGCCCTTCGGAATCAATCTCCTCGATGTCCACCCCCACCTTAAGCAGCTGCCGCACCAACCTAATATTCCTCTCTTCCACCGCCTTACGCATGATCCCAATGCCTCGTAACATATCGATGCTTGCCCCTGCCTCTACTAATAAATTGCATATGCCCCATTGGCGTGTGTGGTGAGCATATACCAGCGGTGTTCGTCCTTCGGAATCAACCTCCTCGCTGTCCACCCCCGCCTTAAGCAGCTGCCGCACCAATTCAATCCTCTTCTCGTGCACTGCCTTGTGTATGATTCCAATCCCTCCTAATGTATCAATGCTTGCCCCCGCCTCTAGTAATAACCTGCAGATGGCCTCGTTGCCATCGTAGGCAGCGAGTGCAAGCGGCGTTCGCCCTTCGGAATCAACCTTCTCGATGTCTGCCCCTGCCCCTGCTAATAACTCGCAGATGTGCTCGTGGCCCTCATAGATAGCGAGGGCAAGCGGCGTTCGCCCTTCGGAATCAACCTCCTCTATATCCGACCCCATCGCTAGCAAAGTTCGAACTATGTAATCATTGCCTCCATTAATTGCATTATGGATTCGACCCCGCGATGACCATTTCATTTTCAACGACCGCGAAGACTGCCGCCTGCTTGACGGCGGTGGGCTCATCTGAACGGCTTTTTGTCCCATAAATCTGATAAATGAACGGGAAGTTCGAACACCGAGATCTCGGAAATTGATAGGTCACCCAGGCTCATGTCTGAAAGCATTGACCAGCTCCCATCTTCACCTGGATTACTCATGAAGGATGACGACGATTGATGATCTGCTCTCATACCCCAGAGTTGCGCCCGCTTGTATGGTCTCGAGTCTCTCGAATCCACTGTGAACGACGGTAACAGAGACCAGATTGACCGGGTGGATCGGGTGGAACCGATGCTGAAGGATGTTTCTGTGCTCTTAATCTATGCGGTGTCGTCTGGGATCGGTCGGAAAGCGAGGTTTGCGACGCCAAATTCGCTCGTGGGATTAACGGAGGACGCATAAGTGGATCCATTTGATTGATGTGCAATGAGCCCTCGAAGCTGCACCGAGATTACGTGGTTGGAATCCAGAATCTGTGCCATGATCTCGTGCAACTTTCCGAGACTTTCAGTGGCCTCTGCAGCGGTGTGACTGAGAAATATCAGTTAGCCATGCTTGTGGCGTCAATGAAAATACCGACTTACCACTGAATTATACCCAGCATCAAATTCAAACTCAGCTTGTGCCGCTGAAGGTCCTCGATGACTTCGGTGACCTGCGCCTCTTTCCACGCCGCCCATTTGACCCGCTCACACATGAGTCCCGCTTTACCGGCTGGCACACTCGGATCGACAATCCCCACCACCTCGCTCAAGTACTTATCCAGACTGGAACAGACCAAGACACCTCCGCTCAAGGTTGCGATAAGATGATGGACGGATATCATTGTTAATCTGTTCTGTTGCCGGCTCTTGCTTTGACCGATAACAAAGAGTTGAACTTCACAGAAGATGACGTTCATGTCTTGCATCTCGTCTATGACACAACTAATGGACTCTGGCGCACCCTTCGCTTTCGCTCCGCAGTCGTAGACACCTTTGAGCATACTGATGATCTTTGCCGAAATGCCGATAAGCCCGGCGATCGAGGCGACGACTGACAAAGGGTCCGACATTGTTCTTTCGGCGACGAATGTAACCGATTCGGATTCGGCAGCGGCGACTGGACGAGGGTAGATTTGGGTCGTGGGATCTTGTTATGTTTGCGAACACGGCCAGTTCGATGTAGATGGCACACTATTGGCGGCTAGTTTGCTGGGCGGGCTTCGTTCTTCCGAAGTGCGATCGATTCACGTCTTCGAAGTCGCCTGAGATGACGGCGTAGCAGGCGGAGATAGTAATAATTGTGTCGCGAGTCGTTGGGAAGTTCTGGTGGTAGCTGTGGGTTCAGGTGAAGGGTATTGAGGAAGAGTTGGCCACGTTCAGAGCCCCGCTCTCAGCGGTGGCGCGGCGAAACACATTCGACACTGCCTGCAGCCAATCATGCATGGTAGCTGCATGGCCCGCAGGACAGTAAGCAAGCTTCCAGGTTCCTGAAAGGGCGACGGCGAAGTGTTACGCTTCTAGAGAAGCAATCTTGGAGCATGACCAATGTTACCATATTTTTTTTTAGATGGCCAATCGCACGCATCATAGGTTCGTCAAGAGATAGCCATTCGCCCTGCAGGCGTTGGTAACGGAGGATCAAGAGTCTGAGCTGGAGGAATTCAGTTATGTTTTTGATTGCAACCAAGGGAAGATGGTATAGCCAATGGTTGTTTTTGTATGTACTTTGGGTGAAGGCTTCAAGTCGTATGTGCAAGCATGGTGGGGTGGAACGGCTTCAAGTGGTTGCGAATCACTAATCATCACTCGCTGATCCTCGTTCTTGCTGGCTTTATTTCCGCGAGCTTTATGTTTTGGTCATCTCGTTTTTATTCTTTCTTTCTGTCTTTCCTTCTATGCGCGGATGGGCCGGGCTGAGAGCAATAGGGAACCCACATCGAGCTTGCGGCCAGCGGCCGGAGACAGTAGGGTAGAACTGGATGTGTATACAACCATGATCTGATAAGGTCGAATGCCATGATGATAAAATAAAACAAAAAAAACACCAAAAGAGTCTACGATCAGACGCCTTTACTCAAGCTCCATTGGTATACCTCAGGGCTAATTCGGACGCACTTTCTTACGCCTCCGTTTCCGTAGCTGAATCCACGCCCGGTACACAGATAAATTCGAGCGCACCCAACACATGAGCGGACAAAGAACGAAGTGGGACCTACTAGAAGGATCTCACACATGTCTCTATAGAGTACCGTCTCCATGACGAAATAGGATAGTGGTTGCTATCCTACCGAAGCCCATGTCAATTGCAATAGCACCGAATATTGTGAAGTTACTTCCACTTTGATACTGTGATTCCTGAGGTTCTCGGGCTGAACGGTGCACATTGACCGATATGATTCCATCCTGATGCCTACCTTATATTACTGGTCCATTGCCGTTCCTGTCGCCCAAGTGCTGACCCATACCATTCAAACTCAGTTCCCGAGTCTACCATGTCCATCTTTTCCTCAAGCGCCGAGGTGGTAATGTTCCACGTTCACCACAGCATGACAGCCTTGAGCTCCTTAGCGTTCGGACGGTGTGCATTGCATGCCCCATCCATGATATAAAACACCGATTCGCGATCTCCCCGCACCACGGGCGAAGTGTTGCGAGCTACGTAGAGTAACTTCACCTCCCCCGGTGGCGCATATATCATACCTTAAACTCCCCTGCGTGATAGGTGGCGGTACACATCGTCACGACCGCCAATAAACTCTCCTCCGCGAACCGTGTCCAGAATCCACTTCATGATGACGTCTCCTCAACCCGACGAGAGCAAAACCAAACCTTCCTGCCCTGCACGTACATACTCTCATTGCCACCTCTCCACACCTCACCTCCCCACCTCCCTACCTCCCCACCACCCCACCACCCACCACCACCACCACCACCACCACCAACATCCAAACCCCAATCACCATGTCATCAATCGCCGGCTCCGCTTCGCAATCCGGCAGCCTCTGGCGAGCCGCACGGAAGGATCCCGAGATCTACGGGATGGCCTTCCTCGTGCTGTCGACATTCAGTGTATTCGGGTACTATTTCGGGCGTCACAGCACTGCGCAGATGCGGATGGGCGAGGAGCGCATCAACATTGCCGAGAACACTGCGCCGTGGAGCGAGGGAGCCCCAGTCGAGAACTCGGACCGTAACAACTTCAAGTACATGTACCACCCCGGCGGCGATATCAGGAATGCCCCCAAGAAGGCCCCGAGCGCACTTAATGCCGTGATTGTCCCTGCAGTGACGTTGCCGAAGGTATGTGCTGCCGCGTGAGGGAGGGAGAAAAGGGATGCGTGCTGATGGACAACAGAGTCTCCATGAGAGGTTCAATAAGTATGGGAAGGACAACTATTAGCTGGGAACAGCTAGAGGGATTCGGACATAGGTAGATGGTTGTTTGTGAAGGAAGAGGGGATATTCTGTTCAATGGGATAAGTCAATAAGAATCATGCTCAAACAGACGGAGTAGAAGGCTGTGACAACCGCCACTTCCCACCGTGCCATAACCTACGAGGAAGGGGGCATCGTGCAGAGGTTTCGGCGTTGACCAGGTATAGGAATATCACGCATAATCACATCGAATGGTAGGTTCCAGCAGGTACAAGTCAAAAGGAATCGCATTTTACAAAGACATCCACACATCGTTACATTTGCTCTCCTCCACGAAAGCCCAGCCCAGCTCAAATCAAGATAACGCCATAATGTAATCGTAAAAAAACAACAGAAAAAGGGGATAAGAAGATGTAAACGTAATAAAAGGAAAAAAAAAGAACGAAAAGCAGATCAAAGTACGTCAAGGCCCCCAGGCCAAACGTAAAAAAACATCGTGAAAGAATAGGAGAAAAAAGGGGGATAAGAAGATGTAAATGTGATAAAGGAAGAAGAAAAAAGGACGAAAAGCAGATCAAAGTACGTCAAGGCCTCCAGGCCAAACGTAAAAAGGGGGGGTGGTAAGATGAAAATGCAATAAAAGGGGAAAAAAATGACGAAAAGCAGATCAAAGTACGTCAAGGCCCCCAGGCCAAACGTAAAAAAAAAACATCGTGAAAACAATAACAGATGCCACAAATCTATCCTAATCGTGTCAACTCCCCCTCCCCCTCCCGGCCGCCCCCCAAGCATTACATCTCCAGTTTTCCGACCACTCCTAATTCACCGCAAGTGATGATGCAAGTAAGTAATGAAAGTGAAACCCCCCAAACTGACCAACGAAAAAGAATAAGAAAAAATGTAGAGTCAAATATGTAGGTGGAGAAAACATCAAGAAAAAAACGGGAGAAAACATCGCGAAAAAAAAGTAGAAAAAAGTAAAAGAAAACAAGTAGAAAAAAAGTAGAAAAAAGTAAAAAAGAGTAACAAAACAATAGTTCCCATCCATGCAAGTAAAATCAATTCAACATCAGTCGAAGTCTTCGATTTCGAAGAAAAAAAAAGTAACACCTGGTATAGTTGAAGCTTAAGCGGCTCCGTCATCCTCGTCGTCGTCCGAACTCTCAAAGTAATTGATGGCGGTTGAGCTGCGCTGGCTCTTTCTCCTATTCGGATCCTCGTCTCTCAGACGCACGGCTTCCCTGCCCTTCGATGCACGTTTGAGGTCTTTCTCACGCTGCGCCGTGGCTTCCGCTGCCGATGGCGTGGCGACTGTGGGGAGTCCGGCGTTACCGCCCGCAGTGAAGGCGGGCATAGGAGCTGCGGCTGTGGTGGTCATGGTCGAGTCGCCGCTTCCACTCACCTGGAAGAAACTAAGCAGGGTTCGCTGCTGCAAAGGCTGCATGCTCCTCTCAGCCGCAGCCTTGTCACCGGCTCCGTGAGGCTGAGGGGGGGCGGTAGTGTGAATGAAACGCAATGGCTGTATCGAACCGGAAGGTAGCGGTGTGGGTGTGATCGAGGTGGCGCTAGCTCTACGACCCTGCGATTTCGCCTTTGCCTTGACTTTGGTGGCGGTTGGGGAGAGGGGTTTCGAGACAGAACGCGTAGATGACGCGGAGCGACGACGCGTTGCACGAGCCTCCATGGTAAATTGGAATGGGATCTGGACGCGGCTCGCATTCTCGTTCGAGGGGGCCGTCAAACCAGGTGCTACCGGTGGTGCCGACGGGGCTTCTGAGGGAATTACGATCGAGGATGCCCGGGAGCGCGACTGCAAACGGGGAGGCGGAGGGTGACGAGAGGCGTCAATCGTTTGGTCTGGCGCGACCCCTGTCGGCGTGGGTGCAAGAGGCGCGGTGAATTCCATAGGAACATCTTCCATAACTTCCTCCTTCGTCACCGCTTCCGGTGGTGATGCCGCCGCAGGCATCGGAGCCGCCAGGGCATAGGGCTCTCCGTTCCGGTGCGGCTGCTCCTGCTGGGGCAGTACGCCAGCCACAGCCGTCTCGGTGGGTATCGCATTGTAATTGATAGATGAGTACCCTTCCATAGCCGTATCTGGCTCCTCCTTCACGAAACCATGTTTTCCATTCTGGCCATCCACCTGTGACCACATGCTGCCGACCGAGCCGGCATTCAAAGTAGTGGCAGTGGAGGTGACCGGAGGATTCCTCTCTGATCCTGTAGGAGAAGGGGTCGGCTGGCCGAATATGAACTTATTCTCCAGCCCCCCCGGTGACCACGATGATTCCTCCCAACCCGTCACCGACGGTGTAGCCTCCATGTCCCGTTCCATGGACATCGATCCTTCCGACGATTGGTCAACGGAGCCACCCTTCATGAACTTTCCGTTTCCTGCCCTTTTCTTGCCGGCAATGTCCTTCCAGTTATTATAGCTCTTGTCGGAGGCCGGGCCCTTCGGTGGCGGTGGTGGATGCTCGGTCTTCTGCTTCTTTTCGAACTTGCCGCCTTTGCCCCTACGAGCCTCCTGCATTGCCCGCATCCTCTCCCGCTTTCTCTTGGTTTCCTCGTCCTTCCTGCGGCGTTCATCCTCTCGTCTCTCCCGCATCCTGCGCTCTTCGTTCATGCGGAGATTTCTCTCCGCCTGTTCCTTCTCGAGAATCTTCGCCAAGTCCTCTGGCTCGACCTTCAGTGCACGCTCGAACGGTTCCAGCATGCGAAGGATCAACGTCTCCCGATTCCGCCAGCAGATGTCGCACTTCAGGTCACGCTCGGATGATGGATCGACGTGCATCAGGTCGTGGCCGCACTCGGCGAGGCGGTCGGGGTTTGTACGTAGGGTGCGCAGCGAGCGACGGCGGTTGCCGGCGGCGGTTGGGGGCTCCATTGCAGCGGCAATAGCGGGGGAGAAGTCAGCGTCGGTGACGGCGGCGACGGCGGCAGCGGCGGTGGCGGCGGTGCCAGCCAGGACGGAGTCGGGGGCCGGAGAGAGAATGACGGGCGGCGATGGTGTATTGGGGGGGATGGGTGAGAGTGGCGCTAGATGGCGATGGTTAGGGGTGTGGTGCTGGCCATGCAACGGAGCCGCGTTTTCGGTGAGGCAGCACGGGTAGCGAAGAAACGAGAGAACTGCACGACAGAAGAAGAAAAATCGTTCGGATAGAATTGCTCACAATTGCAGAGCGAGAGCTCCAAGAGCAATTTTGGGTGTAAGCTCTGGTTGTGGGTTGTGGGTTGTGGTGTTGTGGTGGAATGGGAAGAGATGGAGGTGTGTTGAAAGAAGAAGGAAGGATTGGGGGAAGTTATACCTAGTCGGCGAATTGTTCTGGTGAGAGTCATTATTTCTTCTTTCTGGCTGGTCCGCTTCCTTTTCTGACCTCCCTGTTTCCGGTCCGCTGCTCTTTTAATGTTTTAATGCTTTCTTTTTTATTTTGGCCGACTGTTGCGTCGTGTCGAGCCAGCCCGCTCGTCCTTCAACGTTGCCAGCAGGTCTCGTTCATTCGGGTCGTCACTCCGGCCCCTTTATGGCCGTGGCCGTGGCCGCCTGCTCGACCCTCATCCCGGCCACGCCCTTGTTCCACCTGCCGTTGCGTAGATCATGGCGTGCACACATATAGGGCTGCTGTGGCTGCTGTCTGTACTCGAGGGCCTTCCTTTGGCCCACAAAGCACAGCCTGATGGTGACGGCGGTCGATTAAAACACCGCCCGCATCAGGCGCGAAGAAATAAAAAAGGCCGGTTCTTTCCACCCCGCCCATGCCCCGCTCGCTCGCCCTCGTCTCCCGCTACGTCGACTGGCTCGCACCACTCCGTTTCTTCCAGCCAGTGCAACGCGAAGATGGTCGAGCTATAGCCCGACCTACGCATATAAACCAGCAGCCAAACAGAAGGCATACCTGCCTTCTTGCCTAGATGCTACCTAATGCACAGCGGCCACCCACCACGCCGAGCGCCCCCACAGATCCTCACCGCCGGGGACACTCAGCCAGCCAGCCAGCCAGCCAGCCAGCCAGCCAGCCAGCCAGTGTTGGCATGGTATGGCTACACGTTGCAGCATGGCAAGCGTCCCGTAAGACATCTACCTTTGTCTTGAGAAACCGCAGTCACCATTTTAATGATGCTCTCCCTAGGTGTAGAGAGCTCTCCGCTGTCAGTCGACAGCGGCTCTCGGCTAGCGGCCACCGACTTGTTTTGATCAAAGAGACCTCGTCCCTCCACCCCGGACGGTTTCTGGCAAAAAGCCCGCATCCGCCCGTGTGCATGCAAGCTCGACCAACCCCAAGCACCGTCGAGGCTCTTGGAGCTGGATAAAGCCACCACACATCTCCCGTTTCCCTCCCGCATCCCTATGCGATTTTGATGCCACCGTCACAGACGCTGCAGCACCAGAGCTCCTGCTCGCAGGAAGGCACGCACCCCCCGTGCCGCGAATCAAGTTCTAGTGGACGTTGATTCCCTTGCCGTCCAGCCAGCACGGGCACAACAAGAAACGAGCCATCGAACATCCATCATCATCGTCGTCTCTTTCGCTGTCCTGTCCTGTCTTGTCTGTTCTGTCTGTCCTGTCCTGTCCTGTCTGTCCTGTCCTGTCTTGTCTGTCCCGTCTGTCGTGTCCTTTCCTGTCTGTTCTGTCTGTCCTCTTCTGTCTTGTCTGTTATGTCTGTCCTGTCTTGTCTGTCCTGTCTTGTCTGTCCTGTCTTGTCTGTCCTGTCTGTCGTGTCTTGTCTGTTCTGTCTATCTTGTCTGTCCTGTCTTGTCTGTTCTGTCTGTCCTGCCCTATCTGTCCTGTCTTGTCTGTTCTGTCTGTCCTGTCCTATCTGTCCTGTCTGTCCTGTCTGTCCTGTCTGTCCTGTCTGTCCTGTCTGTCCTGTCCTGGCCGAATTCGGCGTTTGATCCGCCCGAGCAGATGAACGACTGGATCGGAGCAACACGACACAAGAACCCGGCGATCTCACCAATAGCTCTATCACGCGGCCCAGGATGTACTCCACTCCACTCCACTCCACTCTGGATCGAATGCCCCCACAACAAATTACAGCCGGCCACAAGCCCGCAATCCAGCCATCCGGCGCCAACCCTCCACCCTCCACCCACCACCACCCGACTCACGTGCAACACTTCACTTGCGAGGGCCTGTACGTGCATAAAATGTATGAAAATCCTCAATATCGTGGTGCTGGCCTCGGGCAGTGGCCGGAGGATCGGATCATTCATTTACCTGATCACCGTCCCCGTGGTGTCAATGTTTCATACCAGAGTATGCACTAGCTGCAGACACGTCCGCTTCAGTACGACGATGCCGGGAACGGAACCGGAGCTCACATCACGGTAAGTTCTTGAGTCGAGTCGAGTCCCCTTCCCCACTGCACGCAACTCCCGCTAACACCTGAAGCAGCCTTTATCCGCTGCAGGCACATTTACCGTGCAACGGCACCCGGAGAGAGGGCCGAAGACACAAAGTCGGTCGCAGATTGCTGCTTGTAACAGTAAATGAGGCCGTAGTGCTTAGTGCTCGGCGATGTTCAGAGAGGAAGCATCGTGGATTTCCACATTGCACGGTGGCCAGAACGGTGGTTCGTCGACCATGCCGGTGGTGTCGTCGGTTTCCTAGGCGATCAGATCCAATGCTCCTCCATTTGGTGGGCAGCTGAACTCTGTTCCCCATGTGTTCGTTTTGCCTTCTGTGCACCTTGCGAAATTCCTAAGGGCTCAGTGCGGCGAAGCCGATTCACCCGGAAGCGACGCATTTCCGAGAATTCCATGGCTCCCACCCCAGGCGCCGGTGCAGAGAACTTCAAATTCTGTGTCTCTTTCGACTACAGCTATGGTGACTCCGTGCACTTACCAGCTTTCGGTGCCATCCATCGTGTCGGCACGTTCTCTTGGCGAGTGTGAAGCATCGGGATCTCAGAGCGACTGGCTGGTGATTCCCCATACAGCAAAGCGGACGCCAAGGATGGGAACATAGGTACGTTGGGATGAAATGATCGAAGGATCGACGGCCTCAGCGATTGCTTCCCCTACGGTTGTGACTTTCAAGTTTCCACGAGCTTTGAAAGATTGCCCTTGGTGTCAAGCAGTCGATGACGTGGGTGTTCCCCGGTGGAGGAGTAACCGCATGCCGAAGCAGCAATTTCTGGTCTGGAGTCTTCCAACGACAGCAAATCGCTTCTCCTTCACAGGTTGGACGGAGCAGGTCATCAGACCCTTTGCAACCCCGGGCTGGTGTTGAATCACGGATGCTAACTAGCAGTCTATGCCAGAATCCTCCAATCACGGGCGTATCCAGATGTCCCCAACCGTACCGTTGGTGGACACGATGTTGGTCTCCTTGAAAGAATGCTATGTACCAAGCGAATCCAGCCGGGCTGTCACCAGCCACCGTCGGATGTTTTGCTGTACATGTGGCCAAGTGACTGCGCCACGGCTCTATTGTAGAGCCACTCCATCACCACGGCCCGGGGTGAAAGAACCGGCGTCTCTAGAGTAGAGTACAGCCAGTCGAGCTAGTCCCATTCTGTCGTGCTGACTGATCAATTTGCCAAGCCCCCTGGTCATCTATCATCGATCATCAACACACTGGCGAGACCCGAGGATGTAATGAGAACTTTTTCGAGCTCAATGGGGATGTGGTTTTCGCTCTTGGAGTCTCCTCGCCGGTTTGTACGGGTGTGTCGAGGCGCCTGTTAGCCGCAGAAGCGGGTTTAGCGCGGTAGTCAGTTGTTTAGGTATCCTCGCTTGCTCCTCTCTCGTTGTGTGAGCGATTCGCTGATTTCTCCTTCCTGGAAACATGTTCAGCAGTGAATCCATCACAGATGCCAGACATCAAGATATGGTACGCGGTGGAACGTCCCTGGTGAAGCCGAGATGTGGATGCGGATGTGGCTTCGATGTCAATGTGGCTGAGGCCCGAGCTGTAGAGCTTTTGTGATGTGCCCGGAGGCCAGAGCTCCAGGGCATGAACTGAAGGCGAAGGGCAGAGTTCTGCTCGTCGAAGGTTTGAAGGATCGTGGGAGAAAAGAAGAAGGTTAATTTCGTACTGGCAAGAGAAGCGAGAGAAGGATGATGAAGAAGAGAGCTGCAGCTCTCGACCCTGGACTCCCGGGCTGGTTGACTTTGCCAAGGCGGCCCTGCAGTGGGTTTGCCAAGTCGCTTCCAGGGACGAGGCTCCTTCGTCTCTGGATCGCCAAGCCTTTATCCCGTGACGATCCTGCAGGTTTCGTTCATGTAATCCTCGGCTGAATTCTTGTCTATTCTTATCACCGCGAGCTCCAAGTCACTACCCAGCACTCGTCAGTGCAATTGAGCTCCTCTATTCACGTGTCAGCCCAGTCATGATCTACCTATCACAGTCGAATGCTACGATGACCAAGCAAAAAAAAGCAACGGACAAGCCTTAGTCATCCGTTGGCACCCAGTCATGCTCCGACGCTTGGGTCCTTGCCTTGGCTGACCACACTTCTGTGTCGATAGGTACATACCAGGAATCGAAGCCAGGGATCGGAATGGGACCGGGACATCATTAAGGTACCCTTTGGAGCCGGTCACTTGCCCCAAGAATGGCTTCAGAAGACTTATAAATTGACGGATGTTCACGGGCGGAAAGAAGCGTCAAGAAATCCAAGCGTCACATTTTTCCACATGGCCTTACATAGAAATATTAGACAGAACATGGTGGCCATCTATCTCAGAAAAAAAATTCAGGAACGCCCGAAAACGAAAGTGATTATCCCAAACGCCGTCGAAATATGATGCACGCCTCGCAAACTCCTCCCACATGCCCGCCTGCGCCTCCACTATTTCCCGTTCATCTTCCACGTGCCCATCCACTTGCCCGCAGCAAATATCCACTGCCCGGCGACCACAGGCTCGCCCTTCTTGACCCTATCCACCAGGCGGTGGAGGGTTACAGTACCACCGGCATAGTCCTGCTTCTGGTTCTCCTGTACGGTCTTTGGGTTTGGCGGGAACGGCTCGCGGTTGACCGGCTTGGTCACGTTGTTGTGCGCGTCTGCTACTTTCATTGGGTCGCCCTGTTTGGTGCCGGTCAGCAATGGTCTCCCAGGTGGAAAAGCAGAGGGAAATGGGAACGGACCTGGTCAACGAAATCCAGCAGCACGAACCCGCCCTTCCGGCCCCACTCGCTCGTACACTTCTTTACGCCGTCCTTCAGGTTGCCCACCCCCGTGTCTCCATTGAGCGTGGCTGAATAGGTATCATTCGCCGCATAAAGACCCAAGGTCTCACTGATAGTTCTGTACAAGAACCTATTCATGAACCCCATCCTGTCGGTCGCCAGTACGTCCTTCAGCAGAGCCTGTCCCTTGAACGCCGACGGTCTCGTCGCATAGCAGGTATAGTTCGCCGGATCGAAGACTTCAAAATCAGTTTCGAAGATGTAGTCAAACTCCGGGAGGAGGTAGGGGACGGCCTTGACGTCGGCGGAGGTGCTAATGAAGGATACCAGCCGTTTCTTATCGAGGATCATGGACTGCAGTGTAGGCCACTGTGCGCCGGTCTCCGGGACGTACGCCAGATCCGCCAGACCCGCGGCGACGAACGCCTCCGCGATGCGGGTGGGCGGGATCTTGCCATCGTTGACCAGGAGCAGGGTGACGACTTCGTTCTGGTGCTGGCGCATCCAGGCATTGATGCCTATCAACCAGTCCTTGAGCAATCCGGCGTCGAAGATGCTGCACGTGGTGTGGCACAGGCGGATCTCGTTCATTTCGAGGTGGATCTGCGACTGCAGTAGTCGGATCCCCGCCGATAGCTGGATGCTCGCGTTGTGGAACTGGTTGCCGCCCGTCGCGAAACTGTTTTTGGCCGTCCGTACGAAGGCAGAGTTGTGCGCGCCTACGTGCAGGATGGCGTTGTAGGTTACGTTGCAGAGGGACGGTGAGGAGTTGCAGGCGGTCACGTCGTAGGCTGCGGCGGCGAGGTGGACGAGCCCGAGGCCGGCGGACAGGAGCAGGCTGGAAAGACGCATGGCGGATGGTTCGGTTCGTTTCGTGCGGACGAAAGTGGGACGATGGAAGGAAAGGAAAGAAAAGGAAAGAGAACGAGATATCGATCGATAGAAGTGCGAATCCTGTCTCCGGCCTTCTAAGTTGCTTTGTCGTCCTCAGCCCTAGCTGAGCTCAGCCCCACCTAGATCAAACAAAAATACCCCATCACCACCAATCCTGTGCCTGTGCTGCCACAAAGCTCAAACAGTAGAGTGAGGGGTGCCCAACTAGAATGCAGCGTGTTCGAGGTATCAAGGTATCTTTTCCAATCTCTAGACAAATCAGACATTGGAATAACATGCGGATGCTATTTCGGGCAGGGGCGACGTAAGGTGGACCCCGGCAATGGGCACTGGGCACCGGACATGATTGGGTACTTACTAACAACTGGGCACCGGGCTCTGGGCAGGGCTTTGAGGAGTTGCTGTTGAAACTTGAGCAGGCATGCGGAACACGCTAAGCTGCGTGATCCCTAACCCTGGGTGTGAGATCGTCTCCGGAAGTGGAGGCGAGACAGTGACAGTGGCAGCGGGGGCGGGGGGGTAGAGATGCTTCGCAGAGATGTCAGACTGAACGGGGGTTGCTGGAGATTCGAGAAGATCCGGTGTGATGAATACCATCATCGGGTAGAAGTCGTGATGGAAATGACAAACGAACGCCGCGACGAGCATGGAGATGAGCCAATCATGAGCACGCATATATAGCACCTATAGCTGTCTGTTGTACACACATAGCTCCCCGCAACCCCACCATGTAGAGTGGATACAGCAGGTGTAGGCTAACCCCACCTCCGGTAGATATCATTGTGCCATCAAAATATCCCTTTCCCCTCAATTCTCATTCTCCTCCTCACTGCAGTTACGATTCACGCCGATCACGCCCCAGCAATGTCTGCCTGTGCCTCCTATTTCTCGTCCTTCCTCCCGGAAACACTCGCAAAGTACTTCACGCGCAACCGCACATTCCTCACGCTGCTCCTGACCCCGCACCTGCTCCACCGGCTCTACGGAAACTACACGCTCTTCCACTCCCTCGGGCCCAGCGGAGTCCCACGGAACCCAATCGGCTGGGCGATCTCCTCGAGCCTCAAGCTCGTCACTCGGGAGACCCTCTCGACGACGCAGTACAGCTTGGATGGGCCTGCATATCTCGCACCTCTCCCCGCTCGAGCGGGCGAGCGTCCAACCAAGAGCTGGCATCCGGTCCCGCAGCGGCAGATCACGCAGCTGCCGTCGGAGGATGTGATCGAGGCGGTGCAGAGCGCGCTGCTGGAGATCCACGCGGAGTTCTACGACGTCACGGAGCAGCGCACGAGCGAGTTCGAAAAGCACGGGCAGGCGCTGTTCGTAAAGAAGGATGTGCCCGATGAGGGTGTGTCGAAGGCTGTGGTCAAGACGAAGAGGGAGGTCGCGCATGTGCACGAGACAGACGGGAGCGTGCATGTGGTTATGTCTTCGCATGCGGATTGTAGGGATGTTGTCGAGAAGGGGTGGGGCGAGAGGCATCCGCTCGCGGGTGTGGTGCTCGAGAAGGAATACCTCATGATTTATGCGCCGAGGGACTGGGATGAGGTCAACGTGGTGAGGGGTATTTTGGAGGCGGCGGTCAGGGGGGCGGTGGGGAAGGCGAAGCCAACGCCCGGACAGTGGAACTAGAAGAAGCATCACAGAGAGAATCGCATCATAGATGGAGATGCAAACCGCCCCCACCCCATAGAATATACATTATTTTTGCGATACTATGCCTGTCTAGTGGAATTCACATTGCCAGCCCCCATCATGCTCGTACCATCCACCATTAATCAGGTCCAATTCCGTGTCCCTCCAGTATTTCTCCTTCCCGTCGTGCTTAGTCTTCATATCCAAATCGCCAATTCCGCAATCGATACCGTCCACGCCAGGCGCATCCATATCGACTCTCAGAAACACCGTCAGATCCCTAACGGTCATGGCATCCATGAAGGTATCGGGGATGCTCCCCAGCGGCCCCTCCGGATCCAGCCTAATCTGAACCGCCGCAAGAATGGGCATCAACTCGCTCCGCACCAGGAACGCAACCACCTTCGCCTCCAACCTCTCCCGCTCAGCCTCCCACGTCGTACCAGCTGGCAACACAAACCTCTTAGGTAGCGTTCCGGGTATCAGGAACCTCACCGCGCGCCGCACCCTCTCCGGCTCCCCCGACGCAAGGTCAAGCGGACAGAAACCCCGCCCACCACCCTTCTTCAGCCTCAGCGCACAGGTCCGGCAGTGCTTGGCGCCCCGGGGCGCCGACGGGCTCTGCACCACCCACTTCGGTTTGAACTCGACTAGCAGCTGGCGCTCCGTGTGCGGCGACATATCGGCGACGAGGAACGCGTGCGACTCAGTGGTCTCGAGGTACATCCCGGCGCGTTTCTGCGGGCGCCCGTTCCGAGCCTCGAGCTCCCGTAGCCGCACGTTTTCGCGCACGATGAGCGACGGTGGGAGGCGGACCAACTCCGTGGCTACCAAGAGATCCCGGGGGAAGAGGGGGAACGCAGTAGTCGTAAGGTAGGTGTATGCGGCTAGGTTGGGCTGGGCCGACGGTAGCGTCTTGCGGAGTCTCAGCAGACGGTTGGCGAGCGAGATTGAGGGAGTTTTGTCGGCGGAGTCGGGCTGGGCAATGCGAAAGATGATGTTTGCTGCGCCTTCGGCGAGGTAGGAGAGGGAGATTTCGAGCGGAAGGATGGGGTCAGTGGTCGTGGGGTCAGTCGTATTCTTCGTCGGGGCAGTTACGGAGGCCGTCATTGGAGGCGGGGTAGAATATCCGGTGAGGGTAGAGTCGGAGGCAGCAGCGGGCACGACGGTAGCGGTGGAGGTCATCGTTTCGTTCGACGGCGGATGTGCGGAGGAGCGGTGTGGTGGTGGCAAAGGTGGAGGTGGTCGCGTGAAGAGGCGGGCGACCAGAGTCAGGGCGAGCGCAGCCACGAGTGTCGCGACGAGCGGGAATAGGTCCCAGGAAGCCACGATTGCGATTTATCGAGGTTTTTCCCGTATGTCGGGAGAGAATTTGGTTCCTGCAACTTTGCGGGGTGTTATAGCGAGATGGAAGAGGGGCGACGACCGAGGGGCAGAGGTTATCGCTAGAGGGAGGGGCGACGGTGAAGACGCAAAATACCGTAGAAAAGTGGGGAGCGAGAGAGGGATAGAAAGGGAGAGAGAGGGGGAATAGAAGGTTGATCTTCCCCGGGGAAGCCCCCATCACCCTCGCGCTTCGCCTCCGGTCCCTTGCTCCTCCAACTGGACGGGCCGCTGTTAGCGATAACCAACTAACTAGCTGAGCGTTCGTCTGAGTCCAAATTTTTCGCACAACACCCACGGAGCTTCCACCGAGATGCGCAATAGCGTTGTGTAACGCCACCATGGGGATCCCTCCCAAGACCACACAAGCTTCGAGGTGCCGAAAGCACGCAACTCAAGCGAACGAACGGGCGCGAAGCTGGGGAGGGGGGGCTGCGGATGACTGCCAGCCGGGGATTTACGAATCTGCGCCGCATTCTTCAGTCAGTATGCGAGGGCGAAACGGAGAAGTGTACTTTTGGGTGCTGCTTCTCCGAGTTGAATCACAAGGCCCACCCAAGTAGGTAATGCAACCGAGCGCAGGATTCCTTCGATTCCCAACTGCCAGTCGTCGGAGACTCTTATCTGCGGCGTGATATGTTAAGCAGCACTTCTTGAAGACCAACCACCGTTGGGGATTTGCGACCGGTTTCACTGCTACCATCATGGGTAGTACCTATGGTCACACCGCTTTCAACTTTTAAACGAGCGTGCTTCGTCTCTCGTCGACCGTTCGATTTGCGACAGGTTTCACTGCTACACATAGTCACACCACTTTCAACGACTGTGCTTTGTCTCTCGTTGGACATCATTTTCTTTCCAAAAAATGTACCCAGTGCAATCCTCATGGTCGAAGGTTGAAGAACAAGACTGTTAAGGGACTTGGTTCCGGTTCCGAATCCCGTCACATCACATCGTGGAAAACGAGGCGGCCACTCATCGCTGCTCCCGCATTCGTTCGCCTCGTGCGCCTCGTTCGATCAGAATATGAGATGAGTACGTCGGAAACCTGTTCATAGTCAGCTGTGCGCGTACGCATAACCAAGCACCCTGTATTCTGGTGGCGCAAACGTCGGTCCGGTGAGTCTTGAGCCAGGCAATGTGGTTGCGCGCCGAGATACTGATCATGTTCGCGACTCAACAGAGACCCTCCAGCTTTCCAGCTCGATTATGTACTCTCTCCGCTTTGATTAAATATCTGTTCAGCCCTGTAGGCAGCAGGGCAGTTGGGCGAGTTGGCGAAATGAAACGAGACGGGATGCTCCATGTCTACCGCTCTCGCACTATCTGATTACTCTACACGGATACGTATCGTTACTAAGAGCTGCATCAGCACCGGAAGAACGGCATAGCCATGGATTGAAGACCCACTGGCCCTTACGCAAGGCACGTGCATATACCTACCTATCCCATCATCACGCAGCGCTGTTGTTGGCCTTGCAGAATTTTGGGATGTCCCTACGCAACGCTGCTGTTGGCCTTGCAGCACGAACCTTGGGATGTCCCTGTCCAGCGGTTGATATGGGCTCAGCATATTCGCTACCGCGTGATATCGCCTGTGCCTGCGTAGCGCGACAAGAGGCAACATGGTATAATACATGCCGGGAATCGGGATGCAGCCCGGTAGCGGAAGCTAGGCTTACCTCAAGCGCCCCACCACGGGAATGATCGAGCTATACACTACGAAGGAAGGAGCCACTGCTTGCCGCCGACGTCTAAGGACTGCTTGGACTTCCGTAGTTGAGTTTGGCCAGGTACGTCTTGCTGGCCCTGTATATTTGTTGGCAGCCACAGTTAGAACTAGTAGGTGCATGCTATCCAAACGACTTTTTTTGTTTAGTTAATCATTACCCAAACGACTTTATCCGCTTCCCCGGCTGATGATGCGATCAGGCGAGTGATCGGTAGTGATATGTGATGGTGCTAAAAAGCGGCCGGTTTCCAGCAGTTCTGGGGTGACTGATATGGTGCACGGTATATCCAGACTCTGATGCCTGTACTTCCGAAAGGTTGAATCCAAACTTCCTCTTCCTCTTCCTCCAGGTTGTTTGGTTGGTTGTGGATGTTTTATGAAGCGGCCTTCAAGAATCAAAGCATCTAAAAATAGATGGTCCTCGGCACCCGGCCACAGCCGTGCAAGGTCTGAAAAGGGTACCGGGAAATTCACGCGCATCATTCCCCGACCAGAGAGTTAAAAGAAAGCTTGTTTCAGTTTGCTAGTCGCAGATCAATTGCTTTATCTCCCCGCGCAACAATCCCGAAGGTGTTCATCGAAGGCTGTGCACGCACTGTCACTCGAGACAGCTCCCAGTCGAAGCTACCTAGACACCATTGCCGCTTAGCTGCCCAGCTGACTGCCCGCACTACATTGATCATCGAGTGGTCAGTTAGCTCACCGCTGCTTGCAGGGTGTTACTGTGCGATGTCAAAAAATGTTGCATGGCCGGCATTGAGCGGCAAGAGGTACATACACATATGTACCTTCAGGCCAGCAGTACCAATCTACTTGGATAAACACCCCCTGGGAAAGTAACCCACGCCTTGGCCCTCGGCGACGAGTGTACATCTGAAGACATCATCTGCCTCTACTGATCCCAGTACGACCTGCCATTATCGCTAGAAGGGGCAACAGCTCTACCGAACGCTGCGCAGCAGCATGTACAATATCTATTTACTGTACGTAGTGACAACGCCGACAAGGAACAAGGAATCCGATATAGACTTTTTTTCTCCCCGTCGCTGCCTGATGGGTTGTCGCCTTGCCTCAACTACAAGTTACCCACTTGGGAGTACGCACGTGTGTGTGGACTACCGGAACATATAAACACGCACGTACCCACCGGCAACAATGCTTTTCTCCCGCCATCCGTCGCAGTTGAGACGAATCTAATTTTCTTTACCCAAATTAATTTTTTCCTCGTTGCATTTTCGAGCATTCTTTGCATATTCTCGACATGATCGCGGCTTCATATATACTCCTGCTCCTTGCCGCCGCGGTTTCCCGCGGCAAAGCCTGCGCTCTGCATGCCCGCTCGACGGTGGAACGAAGGGACTCCCCAACTGGACAATGTGGCGCGGCGAACAGTGGCTATACGTGCACCGCCAGCACCGGAGCGAATCAGTGTTGTTCGCCAGCTGGATGGTATGGACGCCCTTTACTTGCAAAATCCCGTGGAGCTATGTACTAACCAGGTCAAAGGTGTGGGGATTCGACAGCACACTGCGGTATGAACTTCCGATTTTGGGCCGAGCTTCCCTACTGTTGCTGATGGTAATTCTCCAGGAACCGGATGTCAAAGCGCATACGGAGTAAGTGACCCCGATAGTGACCCACGGGGGTGGAACAAAGAAAAACAATGAAATCTAACATGTGATAGACTTGCAGTCCCGCCGCAGCTGAGCCGACTTTGCCAGCAATTAGCACCCGCTCAAATCTTGGGAGCGTGCCATACGGTAGGCATACACACACCCTCACTTCCGGGACGACGCTGATTATAGTATAGGCTCGGAACTCTTTGCGTGCACGAAGGCGAATACCATTGCACTGTACGTGTGCTTTTGCTCATAGAGTGTCACTCGCTAACCCACTTTAGTACCTTTGATGACGGGCCGTACTCGTACACCGCCGCGCTGCTGGACTTGCTGAAAGAAAAGGACGTCAAGGCGACCTTCTTCATAACGTATGACTCCCCTCATACCTTCCATCCAACGAAACTGACGCCCCGCAGCGGCAATAACCTCGACAAAGGCGCCATCGACACCACCTCTACATGGAGCAGCGTAATCCAACGCATGTACGACGAAGGGCACCAAATCGGCTCGCACACGTGGACGCACGCCGACCTCTCCACCGTGACCGAAAACACACGGCGCTACGAGATGATCCGTAACGAGCAGGCGTTCCTGTCCATTCTCGGACGGTATCCCACCTACATGCGGCCGCCGTACATCTCGTGCAATACCGCCTGCCAGACCACCATGGCAGCGCTCGGATATCACGTCATCATCTGGGATCTCGATACCGACGACTATAACAATGTTACGCCAGAGCTCATCCAGAATGCTAAGAATAACGTCGATAACGCGTTGGCGGAGAATTGGGATTCCTATATGAGCATCGCGTATGGCTGACTCTTCCGCCCC